GCTCGCAGAAGCGCCCGTTATGTCGCAACCCCCCTGCAGTCCCCACACGATGGCTCCGCAATTCATGGCGTCGCAACAGTCGCACGAAGCCCCTTTGCTCCGTCTCCCATCCGCCAAAAGGTTGCGATTGTTCGGGCAGCTGATCGACGCTTCGGAAGCGTCGGCTGCTCTCGCTCAGCCTCCCAGCCACTGCTCGCCGTGCGACGTCACTAGATCGTCGTTCACGTCGCCCACGTCGCAGGCGCTTTCTGGATCGAGCAGTTCAAATTCCACGGAACGGTTACCTCCCCCGCTTTTTCCGCTTTCCGATCCGATGCAAGACCCCATGACGGCTTCTCGTTACCACGCTCCGGATCCTTGCCACGTGTCATCATCTACGCCGTCGCTTTTGGATCTCGGCGACGACATCCTTCGTCATATTCTCCAGGCGATGCGGCCGACGGCGTGGGATCTCAGCAGGCTTGCTTGCGTCAGCGTGACGTGGAAGAACCTCTGCTACAGCCGGCAGTTTTGGACGAAGCTTCGCATCGGCTCCGGTGCCATGCACCCTGGTATGGCAAAGCTCGCGCCGCGTTGCAGGAGCCTCACGGACCTCTTCATTGATGACCCGCGGTGCGAGCTCCACGTTCTTAATCCCATCATTGTCGCGTGCGCCTCGTCGCTGCGCCGCGTCGTCCTAGACTGCGATTCGATCGCCGCGGCGGCGGTAGCCGCGGCTCCGGGACCCGCCGCCGCCGCCGCAGCCGCAGCCGGAAACGGCGCCCCTCGTGGGAACGCGGAATCTTCGATCTGCAACCTCCTGTGGCTCATCTCGCTCCACTGCCGCAATGTTTCGAAAATGGAGCTTCTCTCCTCGCGCGCTTCCGCGGCAGCCGCAGCTGCAAACTCCGCGAGAACCGGTGCAGGAAATGGCGCAGGCAACGGCGCACGAAACGGCAGAGGAAACGGCGCAGACAACGTCGCCGTCATTACCCCTCCCGCCGCGAGCACGGGGTCCGCGTTCGCGAGCCTCCTCGAGTCGCGACTCATGTGGTTTCTCACGACCGCGTTTCGCGGGATCCGGCACTTCTCGTGCGTGCTCCCCAACAGCATGACGACGCAGACGACGTGCCTGATGGCGATCGCATGGCGTCGCCTGTCGTCGCTGCGACTCCACTGCGGCGCGCTCCAGTTCGCCGACCTCCTGGCACTCAGGAAATGCAGCGCACTCAAGAGCCTCGAGCTTGTGGGCGGTAAACTGGAGGATAAGTCCGAAACAGCTGCTGTCTCGGCTGGTTTCGGTTCGCAGGGGCAGCTGGCGGAAGGGGAGAGATTGGCTAGTCTGGAGGTGCTTGTATTGAACGGGTGTGACTATGACCCTGTGACTGTGGCCAACCTTGCCTGGCACGCGCCGAAGCTGCAGCGGATAGTTGTGAAGGGCGGGAGTCGAGACATCAATGCGGCACAGAGCAGTTTTGTCACGGGGAGCAGCGTATCGTTTAGCCGAAGCAACAGCAGCGGAAGCAGCAGCAGCCATGGATCTTCCACAGTGTGGGAGAGCAGAGCAGCTGGTGCTGTTCCTTCAGCCACTGACACAGCCGGTCTCCCTGTCACTCCGATCCTCTCTCCCTCGCATGCACAAGCCATGTTTGCAGCGGCTGCAGCAGCAGAGGTTACAGCGAGGACAAGTAACCAGACGGCAGGAGAATCAGAAAGGCTCGCCGGGATTGTTGATGCATTGACTCGCCAAAATCGCACGGGTACCATGTCAATGTCTGGCAGCACGGGAACAAATATACCTTCTGATCCGTTCGCTCGACTAAGATCAAGCCTTGGCGGGGTGGGAAGGGGCCATGTGAGAGTTGTTTCGCCCCACGTACCAGCCCCCATTAAGTAGATAATGGTTTGTGGCTTGCCCAGTTCATCTAGATATGAAGGTGTTCAACTCCATACGTTGTCTACTGGTACCATGTTTCATAATATGATCCATATTTCAGGCCATTTCAATTTAACTTGGAAGCTGGCCAAGAGAGTAGAGTATGATCAGAAGTTGCATTTAGGCAGAATGATGCAGGATAAACTTCTAACTAACCAATAAAAAAAGGAGGCAAACAAACAGAACAAAACAAACGAAACCCCTGCTATAATTAGTGATATGGTAAGTGAGAAACCAGTCCCGGTCAAAGTCCCCGGGGTGGACTATGTCAAAGAGAGACCCCAGAAAGACATTGCATATAAATGCCTTCTCGGAGCCTGCAATGAGCTTGAGGGGCCAAGACATTGCAGAACAGAATACAGTGCCAGTAAATCCATAAGTTTTTGCTTATACGCAAGAGAAGCCTCGTAGGATAAGTTGCGTGAAATGTATATAGGCACATTGTTGGCTCATAACACGTTACGAGTCATCTTCGTTCATACAGAGAGATTGTCAACACACCCACTGTCACCGAATGTTTTTGCCTGCACTGGTAGGTTGGGCTGAAGGAAGCAAGTTACGTCTGCAGTTGCTTACTTGGCATGTGACAAAACTGTTGATCATGTGAGCGCACAGCGACAGACAGGTGTGTGCGCGGGTGGAAAGGACTTGTTGGGTTGGCTTGGGTTGGGCCACTGGCGAAAGCTCGTTCTTGCCAATACATGCTGCAGCTTTTGATTCGCCTTGAGAACTCGAGATTCGAATACAACAACTTGATCCAAAAGTCCTCAGAAAAGTGCATCCCACGGATCCAGCCATGCTTTCTAGATCCTCGCTGGGGCTTTGCTCCTGATGACGTGGATAAACTGGATAGTTTGCGAAACCAGTCGTCGGCTGTAAGGTTGCGAGCGAATTTTCGCCTTCTTAGGGTAACCTCTGCCAGTCTGGATATCTTACAGCTCAAATACTGCTCATATCCAGAAACCCTTGCACGCAACACATAACCGCGTCTCGACTCGATTCTGCTCTCCTTTCCATCCACATCATCCTCTGCCCTGCTACAGTGCCTGAACCATGTGCGCTGTTGCTGCTCTGCCCCAAAAGCCCAGCGGCCCTCACAGAGGACGCGGTAAAAGCGCTCGATCGGGGGAATATCGAACCGGACACCGCACTGAAGTGCCGCGCTTTGCATAAGAAACGTACACAACCAAAACGAACCTTAGGGGATCGATCCGACACCTTTACCGCGTCCTGACATGCCCTCCTGAAATGCTTTTCCACTTGCCCCACACAGCCTCCAAACCAAACCTCCCCGTTCCCCGAGTTCCTTCCTTCCCTCCTTCCTTTCCCGCTTCCCACTCCCAGAAGGCTCTCCCCAAGCTGGCGCTCCTACCCTAGCCGATTCCCCAAGGATGTGATGTGAGTTGTTGTTGCTTAACCGATCTGTGTGGCTCACTGAACACTATTTGAAGTGGCGTCAGAGTTAGAACTGTCAGCTTCAAGCTTTTACTCATTCAGAACTTCCTTCGTTCACTCCTGGGTATTCGACTTTATTTTCCCTGCACGACTTGCATTAGAACCATAGGACCTCGCTCTCGGTCTTTATCATCGAGCAATTAACAAAGCTCACTTAACTTTCAGCCATGGATTACTCTGCTTTCTCGTACACCACTCCAAGTGATTCAACTATGCCCGAACCATCCTCAAAAGCATCAGAGCTTCCTCGAGACATACTGCTCTCGATATTCTCCCGTCTGGACATGCCCTCGCGGGCCCGCAGTCTCTGTGTCAACAAGGAGTGGTTTCGAACGGGGAGCGACTCTTCCCTATGGCAGTCAATTGACATTCCTCGGAAGATGGCTCACCGGGTTTGGGACTACGAACTCGGCGTCATGCTGCGACGCGCGGGTGCAGGAAACGTCGATTCTCTTCAGCTCTCTGGTTCCGGAATTACCGGAAAGTCGCTCATCAACCTCATTCGTGTAAGTTCACCGAACTCCAGTATGTCCCTCTTTTCGTTACCACGTAACGGAACAATTCGTGGCAATCCAATTGGCAATGAAAATTGTTGGATTTGTGAAATTACGGAACATCTAAACCATAAAAATCTGACGTTATGCTTCGCTTTCCTCCTCCTGTCTCTTAATTTGCAGACCAAGGCACTGGCTCCCAGTGTCACCGAGATTTCGGTCGACCATTGCTGCAACCTGAAAGGCTGCGACATCCTGGCCTTCCTTCAGGCTATTACGCCATCGCAACCCTCCGCCTCCACCTCCTCGGCACCAGCACCAGCAATAGTTTATAATCGGTATGGTTATCAACCTTCCGCGGCACCAGCGTCAGCACCAGCTTCATCTGTCATCCAGAGCTTCCGAATGGACGGTTGTAAGTGCGCCACGGTGGCAGAGGTGGACGCAATCCGGTCGCACGTGCGACAACTCGATGTGTCGCAGTGCGGGTGCGGTCGCATATCCTGCTTGAAGCACTGCGAGCAGCCGCGGTGCCCAGGGCTCTGCTCGCGCTGCACTGATGTGTTCGACGATTCCGGCCTCAAGTGCGGAGCCTGCACGCGTCCTCGAAACCCTCGCCAGGTAATTTTTAAGTGACCCTGGTTGTTTATCTCCTTGTCTTCGAAACCCTCTTTTCAATCAGACGTGCATATGCGTTTCGGAGGGTTTTCGCATGAAACTCCTTCTAACCTTTTCTTCTCTTTCCGTCGTTAATGTGTTTCCTTCAGGCGATGCGAGTCCAGATTCAGCGGATTCATGCAATCTTGGGTGGTGGCGAGGCGGCACGCACCAGATGGACGGACGTGCGATCTGGCGTTGTCACAGTCAGGATGTAAAAGCTGATTAGAACGTTCTTGTAGCTAGTAAGCACAGGCCGACCCCAAAGGTGTGTTGTATATTTTATTGTCAATTAGGTCCGGATACTTGGCGTTTAACTTGGAGTTAGCATTTGATAATTTTTTTAAATGCAACTGAGGGTTTCAAATTGTAAATATTGCTTCCCATTCTCACATAGAGAGAACTAAACTGGTACATTATTTATGTCCACATTGTCGAACCACACCGTGCAACCCTAGAGTTCGTCGATCCCAGTAGCCATGGTGCTTTTGCTGCCGGAGTGCGTCGTGTGCGTGTCAGAATTCGACGACGACTCCGCCGTGCCGCGTGTCCTCACGTCCTGCGGCCACTCTCTCTGCGCCACGTGTATAACCGCGCTCGCCGCGCCGTGGACCCTCCCCTCGTCCGCCTCCGCTAGTTCTTCTGCCTTGATTCCCCCTTCGGGCCCGGCCTCCGCTCTCCCCTCCGCTTCCGCTCCCGCTGCTTCCGCGCCTTCCGCAGCCGCGGCTAACGCCACGTCATTGATCGTGCGGTGCCCAGAATGCTCTGTACGGTCGCGCTCCACGAACGGACGCGTGGACGGATTTCCCAAGAATATCGAGCTATTAAGATTGCTTCACACGATCCGTAGCTCGAGTCGCACTGAAACGACCGCCGTTACTGACGCAGACATCAAGACGCTAGCGGAAAACGGTAATGACGTTAGCGGCGCTAGGCAGAACAGCAGGCTTCGAAGCAGTAGCAGGAGGGGTTGCTTCCGGCACGCGAAATTAGGGTTAGTGACGGGACGCGAAAGTAGTCACACCAGATGTGGTGACACATCTACACCGCAACAGGCACCAATTTGTGATAATAGCGGGGATAGCAAGTTTAGGAAATATCAGTCGGAACGGGAGTGGCTTCTGGGAAGGACTGCAGGCACCGACCATAGAGCAGCTATTGATGCGCGTATTAAAGAAGGAGGGTGTGACAATGAGGGAAGGGTTGAGGACGAAGCAGATGATACAGGAGGTGATAATAACGAAGCAGGGGGCCAGCAGGGAAGAAATACGGAGAGGGACAACTGTGAAGGGGGCGAGGCACACAGGAATGAGATCAAGGATGGGCCAGGGAGGTCCGGATTGGAAGATCAAGGGTCAGGTTCCGTTGATGAGGGGTCAGGATCGAATGTTGTGAAATCGGAGCTGGATGGTGCGAGTGAGATGGTGATGTTACGCGAAGTGGCGGCGCATCGTGATAATGTAACGGCTGTGGCGGTTACCAGCGACTCGTCTCTTCTCTTTACCGCTTCATTTGACAAGACCGTGCGCATGTGGTCCCTCCCGGTATGTGTTATAATTCCATAAACATTCTGTGCATGCCATGTGTGCATAGTTTACTACTATGAGCACGCACTGTGGTATCTGCCAGTATGTGTTGTCATTCCATGCTGATTCTGGTATGTGCACAAAGTTCATTCCATGTGCTCTCTCACGCCATGAAAATGCATGGCGGTTGCTTCCAGTTTGTGTTGTCACTCCACGAACGCGCGCATACCCCCTCCCATCCCCCGCTTCATGCTCCCGCTCCTGTGCCCTGTTTCCGTGTGTGTGCCTTCCAGGATGCTTCTCTTCTCCACACGCTCTCAGGCCCGGCCCATCGCATCACTGCTCTCACGCTCGCCAATACCGCGGCGCCACGTGGTGCCAGCGCAGCCATCAGTTACGGCCATTTGCTTGTGTGTGGAGACTACGGAGGCTCTTTCCACGCCTGGGACATCTCTCAATCTCTTCCTCCCCCTTCTCCTTTGGCTTCTACCCACCCTTTCCTCCCACCTACTGTCTCCTCTTCTCTTCCTTCCGCCCCTCCTCTTCCCTCCTGCCCCTCGTTTCTAGTTTCCTCAGCACCTGCTCTCCCCACCAACCCAACCCATCCCACATCCACCCCTCATCTGGTTACCACATCGGTCACTGCACCTGTACCCGCGCCACATCTGGTTACCACATCGGTTACAGCACCCGTAACCGCCCCGCATCTGGTTACCACATGGAGCGAGGAGAAGGACTGGCGATACTCCGGTGTGCTGTCATTGGCTGCACCGCAACCCGGTGATTATAGTGAGGATGGCGGCGCAGCAGCAGCATCTGGTGGCTGTAACGAGTATGTAGTGTACAGTGGGAGTGGCGATCGCACTGTCAAGGCCTGGGCTCCCAATGCTGATGTGAGTGGATTTTCCTTCAGAAACTTTTTCAACCTCTCTTCCTTCTCCCTCTCTTCCTTCTCCCTCTCCTCCTTCACCCTCTCCTTTTTCACCCACTCTCCCTCACCCTCTCTCCCATCCCCCTCTCCTCTTTCACCGCCTCGTCCTTCGACCTTTCTTTGTTCACCCCTTCCCATCCTTTTCTTTTCTCCGCCCCCGCTTCACCCCTCTCATCGCCTCCGCTTCGCCCCTCTCATCTCCTACGCTCATTCTTGCTTCCTTTGCTTGCAAACAAATTCGTTCCTCCACCCACTTCCCCCCCACCCACTTTCCCTCCCCCCACTTCCCCCTTCCCCACTCCCCCCCGCCCCACTTCCCTCTTCCTCACCTCCCACTAACAACCCCACCTCTTCCCTCCCCCTCCCCTCTTCCCCCCTCCCCCTCCCTTCCCCCATCTCCCCTTCAGGGATCCTTCTCCCTACTAGCTCGTATGGAGGGGCACACAGCGCCTGTCTCCTCCCTTCAGGTGGATTCTCAGGTGGTTGTCAGTGGATCGTGGGACGGCACCATTCGTCTCTGGTGGCGCCCAGACCACTCCCCCATGGCCGTCCTCGTTTGTAGAAGCCTCACTACCAGCACAAGAGCACTCGGAAGCAGCATGGGCTTGGGGCAGGGAGCGGGGATGGGGGTTCAGGGGGTGGGTGCGAGTGCGAGTGGGAGTGCGAGTGTTGGTGTGAATGTGAGTGTGCGAGCAGTGGTGGTGGAAGAGGAGGGGGATTTGATCCTGTGTGCGAGGGAGGATGGGCGGGTGGAGGTGTGGCATGGCAGCAGCAGCATCATGCTCTTGACTCCCAACCATGCCATGCCTGTCACATCTGGCAACAGCGGCAGCAGCAGCAGCAGCAGCAGTGTTAGCAGCGCCAGCACCACTGGTACCACCACAGTCACTGGCCCCACCGCCACCACCACGGATGCTTCGTCTCCGCCGCCCGCGCTGCTGTCGCTGGCAGTGTGCCGCCCGCTTTTGGCCGCTGGCGCTGCTGATGGCTCCATCATGGTATGGACGGATGTGCGGTGCTGTGGGGTGTAGTGCTGTGAATATGTGGTGGTGTGGGGTGTGGTGGTGCCGGGTGTGGTGGTGTGGATTATGTTTTTATAAAGTTATCATGTATGCGCAAATCACTTTGTCATGGCTGTACTTGTTTACGAAATGAGGCATGTGTCTCATCACACAAATGTGGACTGTTTTTGAGGTGCCAAAAGAGTCATGCATTTGTCTCATCACGCAGTTTTGGTATTTTGTTGCCAAGCTGGCAAGCCCACACTTGCACTCGGCGTCCCATCACCCATCTTCTCCCTCCATATAACCCATGCTCCCACTCACATCGGTCATATTCAGTATTGTCACTTAATTGCCGCCTTTCAATATCGTCCCGGCACATCTTATATTCGTCACTTGTTACTCTTATGCAAAAATTCCAGTAGGTCGTCCTTCTGGAGCGTTGACAAGCTAATCACCCATCTCTGCACACATCAATCAAGGCCGTATCTCCCCCTTCACACCCTGCCATGCCTCATCATCCCACCAGCTGTGGCACATGCATGGGTATGGCGCTGACGTCAGCATCACCCCATGGAGACAACTCTCACATGCTCAACCGCAGTCACACATTCAAGGGCCATGCACTGCTCTCGCCTTTGCTCCTTCCGATGCTGCTGCTGCTGCTGCTACTGAAGTCACCACGGGCCATGGCAGCAGTGGGTGGAGGGATGACCTTGCAGCCTTGCTGCTGCTGCTGTCAGGAGGGTTTGACGGCCGGTTGTGCGTGTGGGAGGGGAAGGTGGCTGGCTCTGTCACTGGCCGTGTCTAGAGTGCAAGGTAGTCACTCCTTGGGCCTCTTGGTTTTATTCAGTGTTCTCAAGTCCAAGTCGTATCAGAGGGTGCAAATCGCACAGCTTACTTACGATGCCTTACTTCCCACATGGCACTGTATTTCACCATGCTCCACCGCACTGTGCTGCACCGCACCACAGTTGGGTGTCTGCTAACAGGATTGTTCACATCATCTCGTTTAGCATAATATCCTTGCCCCAGCTCACAGTTTTTTAGTGGCACCGGAATAATATCACCACATTTGTTCATGACTTGTTTAGTATGCCCATTGATTTCTGCGTGCTCACACTTTCCCTTCTCTCTCTCTGCTCAAGACTACCCCACTGGAAACAGATCTACCAATACTGCAAACTGAGCATTGAAAAACCAAGCACTACAAATAAGGCCGCAACAGAGGAACACACAAGCCTCTACAGACTGAAAAGCAGAGTGGTCGCACTGAAAAGGGCTGTCTAAGCAGCATACTTCACTAGAGCCATTCAGAAGCCAAGTAGCAGCCCCACTAGCACAGCCTTGGAGCAGAAAAAAGAGGAATGGAGGAGGGAGGGTGGGGTGACTGGACCAGGATTGGAGCCAGTGCCTCCAGCTAAAAGTGGGGTGAAGAGCTGCTAGCCAGATGAGTCAGCAGCAGCCAGATAGCAGCAAGTCAGCAGCCAGCAAGTAGCACAGCCAGCATCCAGCCAGCAGATGAACGAAGGAGGATGGGGTGACTGGCCCAGGGCTGGGACCGCTGGATCCAGCCAAAAGTGGGGTGAAGAGCCGCCGCCAGGAAAATAACCAGTTGTTAGCCGACTCAAAGATGAATTGTGAGAGTTTTAAGATGCCTCAAAACTCAAAAGTGGGGGCGGCATGATGAGCCACAGCCGCTGGACAGAGACCTGTGGAGTCAACAAAAAAAGTGATGACTGCCGTAGGCAAAAGTGGGGAGGATGGAACCATAGCCAACAGTGAGAACGCTGTCATGACACAGAGGGAACGACGGGAAGTAGTAGGATAGGAGTGAGGAGTGGTATGATGCTGGTGGGTCCTGGCGATGCTGCTGCTGGCGATGCACGTGGTGGCGATGGGGTTGGTGATGGCCATGGTGGTGATAGTGGACGGTGGTGATAGTGGACGGTGGTGATAGTGGACGGTGCTCTAGAGTCGGCTGAATGGGTGCAGGAGACACCTGGACCCTGTAGCTGACTCCGGAAAAAAAAGGCCATCGAATTAAATTGGAGGATGCAGGTGCAGCTGAAGAGCAAAACAACCCATCTATCCGTCCATCCATATATCCATCATTCTAGCCACAGAGCAGCATGTGCCGCTGCTGCTGCTGCTGCTGCTGCTGCTGCTGCTGCTGATTGTCCATCCATCCATGTGCTGTTGCTGGCTGCTGCTGCTGTTGCTGGCTGTCCCACACAGAACGTGGGCTGCTGAAACAAACTGCTGCAGGCTTCGACCCATCCAACTGTTGAGTCACATGACACTCGTTACACTGCTGAATCCTGATTACGCTGCTGGTTACACCACTGGTTTCACTGCTTGTTACAGAGTCAGCACGTGCTCGAGCAGGTTGGCCTTCTCAGCCTGCAAGTTGCGGATTTTGGCCTTTAGTGCGTCAATGTACGTCAGCGTCTCGCACAGCAGCGTCTCCGTGGTGATGCGCGGATTGCACAGCGGAATCGCCGCCTTCAGCTGCTCCAGGCGGTGGCTGCAGCGCGGGGAAAGGGGGAATGAGGGAAAGGGGGAAAGGGGGAGGGGGAGGGGGAGGGGTACAGAAAAGATTCCTTAGAAAAGGAAAGGTCTGGGGAGTTGATGGGGGGACAACGCGGAAGAGGGAGGGTAAGATGAAGAAAGCGCGTCGATAAGGACAGCGCGCATGGCGATCAGCGCGCACGGCGGACAGTGCGCATGGCAGACAGCGCGCACGGCGGACAGCGCGCATGGCAGACAGCGCGCACGGCGGACAGCGCGCGTGGAAGATTTGCATGGCCGCAGACTGTGCGCATGGCGCGGGGTGACCAACATCGTACGCCTCATCTTCCCTGTCCGCCATACCTGATGTTGTTCCGCCTCTTCCGCTCCGCCACTGTGCGCGGTCGCACCGAGCGCGCAGCATCTCCCCCCAGCCCGTCCAGGTCCAGCCCCGACCCCAGCGCGCCCGCGCTCCGCTTCATGCCCGCCCTGCCCGCTCCGCCAGTTCCGCCGCTGCTTCCCCCCCGTCCCCCCGGGCTGCAATTCTCCGCGGGGCTGCCATCCCCCTCCAACCCCGCGCCTCGCTGTTGCTCCGGGCAGGTCTCTACGTTGCTGTCGCCGGAGCTGTCGCCGGCAGTGTGCTGATCGTCGCGCGTACGACGCCGGGCGTGGTCGTCGTTCGCGTCGTCCTGCAGCGTCGCACGATGGCGATGGTTTTCGCGAGTGAAATCGCCGTCGCGACATTCCCCGCCGGGTGACCCGCCGATTGTCGGCATTCCGACACTCAGCTTCAATTCCGCCGCCTCCGCCGGCCCTGCTGCCGACGCGCCAAGGTCCCGACCGATCGAACCGTTTTTTGGGGAGAGAGTGAGACCCGCAGATGCGCCAACAGCACCGGCGCCGACGCCGGCAGGAGCGCCGAAAGCGGTGGCGCTGGTTGCGCGAGCGATGTCGCGGAGAACGGCTTGCTGAAGCGCCGCCGCGGCCGACGAGCCGAGCGCGCCGCGTGCTGCGGTGTTTTCAAGTCTGGCTCCGTGTAATCCGGCGGCGGTGACGGTGCCATCTTGCTGACGGAAATTGCGGGCGAAAGACGGGAGGTTGGCGTATTGCTGGAGCAGCGCGGGCAGGAGCGCCTGCGCTTGCGCTTGCGCCTGCGCCTGCGCTGCTTGCGCCGCCGCTTGCGTCTGTGCAGGTGGCGGTTGCTGCTGCTGCGCCTGTTGCTGCTGTTGCTGCTGCTGCATCCCAAATCGAACAAGCGGCTGCAGCGCCAGAATTGCCTCGTCCATTCTCATTCCACCGCCACCCCCGCCGCCAGTTGCGGGGACTTGAAATCCGCCGTTTAAGGCGGCAGTTGTTGCGGCAGTGGTGTTTGGAGCGGTTGCTGTTTGACCCGTGGCGCTTGCAACACCGGCAAGCTCGGCAAGCAGGCTCGGGGAGAGGTTCGGCGGGAGTTTCGACAACAAGCCGTTGTTAGCATGGAGTTTCGTGCGCGCTTCGAGCGACGCTTTGAACGCCGCGAGGGACGCAGGTGGCGAGAAAATCGGAGACGATTTCCCTGCATGATCCGTCGCCGCAGGTGCCGCTGCAGCAACCACGGCGGCGGCCACCGCGTGATCAGCGATGTTATGAGGCGCAGCAGCGCGGAACGCGACGGGGGAAGGCGAGACTGTTAATGGACCCGACTCGTTTCGCCTTGCTATTTTATTGTTAAAAAGCTCGAAATTCTCTCGCGGCGGGGGTTCAATCCGCGGCGCTGAACCAGGCGGCTCGGCTGCCGAGCCAGGGCACGCGAGCTCCAGAAGAGTGTCGGCCATATCGGAGAGAAATCACACAAGAACGTACATGAGGCGATGAAACTGAAGATAATCGCACCTTTCAGCCACAAACACAGGGATCAAGAGGGAGCGGTGGATGGTTCTTGCAAGAAATGAAGCTTGTTGAGTGACAAATTTGAGGTGAGTGAAGCGTTATCATGGTGGGCAAGCGCGCTACCCATCCGCTTTTGTGAGTTGCTGTTTGCCAGCCAGCCACGGCCACTGGGATGAAAAAGAGAGTACTGTACTGTAAGGTGAGTTCGGAAGAGGGGGTGTGGGGGGAGGTGCGCGGGGATGCGGACGGGAAACAAGGTGGGATGGGGAAGGTCAAGGGGGGTTGATGGGGGTTGTTGGGTTGAGCATAGCCTACAGTGATTGATTGACACCACTTGCTGACAGCAGGGGTAGTTTACCCAACTTGACTGCCGACGCCCTGGCACGACAGCGAAACATAGGAGGAAGCAGCAACGGGGTGCGGGGGAAGTTGGCCCTAGTGGGAAAGAACCAGGTTTGGTCTGGATGTGTAGATTTTCCTGAAGGAGTGTAGCGTAAGCTCATGGGAGTTTGTCGAAGGAGGTGGATGGGCGGGGGCTTGTAGTTTTGCCGGTCGTGTCTCTCTCCCTCCCTCCTCCGGCGCCTGTGTCAGTCCAGCAGGCGCGGGATGTGCCACGCGCACATTGCGCTGGCGGGGGTGACAGTGGTATGAATTGGCAGCACGCTGGCGTGCGACCTCAAGTGTTCTGCTTTCTTCCCTTGTACTGTAAGACGACGACGAAGCCGATCATCAAAATTGCCTGAGCTGAAGGACAGCCCGATTTGTCATCTAATATATCCCGCCGGTTGATTGCAGATTATAAAGGGGCTGCCTTAAAAAACAAGTCTGGTGACAGAACGAGTTCACACTGGTGTTTACAGCCATACAGCTGTACGTGTTCACCATATTTCAAGAGTAGGAATATACGAGTTCACAAAACTCCACTGAATGCATCCACCCCGTTCCGTTGATCTCGAAATAACAAGTGACACAGTGCAGGGGGGCTACGCTTCCTAATGGGATGTTTTCTGTGCTTTCTCACAACCTCACATGCGACAAAGAGTACCTCAGCTGCGATGATGAGCCAGCATGTTCACTGCGCAGGTGTCACCGTCGGCATCACAGGTGGAACATCTGTTCCACTACGACTGGAAATGCATGTGCAATAGCAAAATTTGGGTAAACAATTTCCTTCGGAATAATATGTGCAAAGTGCTTGGGCAGTATAAAAAATCTCATGTGGATTGCTACACGTATTTGTTTCTGCTCTGTGCCACCCTACTGATAACAGCCAAAAGTATAAACAGTGAGAAACAGAATCAACGTAACGTACAACGCGTTTTTAGAACCCGTGTTCCTCTGTTCACATCACTCACACTAAACCTGCTGCTGAAGTGGCTAGCTAGCAGCTCTAGTGACACTGCCAAAACCAAGGAGCAGCGCATCTTTGGAGATTCCTGCTGCCGAGCCAATTCAGGCTCACGCAGCCAGGCCTGTCGAAGTTCCTGGGGCCCATACCAGCTCCTCCCTGTCTGACCCTGTATTGACCGTAGCTGAGTGTTTTCACGCCCGGTCACGGGCGCAGGCGAAGTAAAAACTTGATATCCGTTTTTGCACTACACGATCTTAGCTGGGAAAGTTCGGCTGCTCCAAAGCTGACTTAGAGATATCACAAACACGGGATTGACCAGAAATCGCTAAGGGAAAATCCCCTTGGCGCTGTCGTGCAACCTAAGTAGAAAGGAGGGGGAGGGGGGATTGGGGGGTGGGGTCTGGCAGAATTTCTTTGGAGGGGGGTCCTAGAGCCGGAAATCAAAACTTTGTGGGTAGGGAAGGCTTGGTTGGAGCACTTAACGCATCCGGGGAAGGGTCGAACGAAGCACTTAGTGGCACGGGTGCGGGGCCGTCCTAACACTTTATGCAGTCGAGCTGGAGCTAAAGTAGCCTGGAATGTCGGGGCATTAAGGGAATATGCCCGTCAATTGACAGGCCTGCACGCAGCGCAAACCTCTGTGCACGTGCCCATTTTTCCACAGTGCAACACCTGATCGTCACCACCGCCACCAGCCCTCCCGCCCACTCAAGTGGACAAGTTATAAATGGACAGACACTGCACCAAAAAGGGGTGTCAGCAAGGATGGCCGGGTCAGCATGTTTTGGGAGAACCAAGCAGACTCGGCTCGGGTCGGAAGCTTTTCAATGAGTGCGGGTCAACCGGAAGTTTTTTCAGGACACTCGGACGCGACTTCCCACCATGTGGGGGAGGCTGGATACCCCTGCGTCTGAACGAAAAATCAAGCATTGTAAAAATCCTTTTGTTAACTCTCGCATTCCGAATGATCCGGGCATTTGTTGTTCTTGTCGTGTGACTTCCGTCTCCCCTTGTCATTCACTGTACCAGGGGAGGCTGCAAACAGTACAGCATAAACGTTGCAGTGGGCCATGGATACACAGTTTGGGTTGGACATGTCACAACACTAGGCCATAAAAAGGACAGCGAGCAATATTCGACCACGACAATGCATGTAAGACAAAATGGTCCCACCAACGCACATCCCTCCCACCACTACCACATGTGTTCATTGCCAAACCACATGGTCCAGCTTTTGAACCTTTACGGCGCAAAGGTTCAAAAGTAAAGCACACTTGATTTTCCCTACGGGGCTAACCGCCCATAACTGACAAACGACTGAAACTGGCCCAGACGTTTGCCTGCCTTCGACACCTTCGCCACGGAAAGATGCGACAGTGGGTAAGCAGGTGTGGAATGTTGGTGACATTATAAATCAACGGAGTGTTATTGTACATGTTACAAGTCTTCAGAGGTCGCAAACTGGTGAAGGTCGTTGACCACGAGCCTGTAAACTGGGTACCGTTCCCTGTGATGGGCTGCAACAATGTGGTTACCTTTTATGGAAACAAGGCTGGACATTAAGTGTACACCAACCACTTGCTATTTCCCCCCCGAACACACCTGACAACCATACTGATAGACTGCCCACATTACTACAAACGATGCTCGATCTAAACACTCATCATATAACGCCTACAGAATTTTAGCGGGACAAAATATTGAAACAGACATTTACTGCAATGTTTACTTTCATCGCAGCTAGGGGCGCTACCCAGTATGTTGGGCTTGGATGGCAGTTTCAATCAAACGTATCCTAATCCAAAAATTTATTGCTATAACGTGCCCTTTTCGTTGGGAGATAGAACCTGTGGTTTGGAGCCCGTGGTCTAATTAGGGCTTGATGATCTTGTAGCTGGAAAGAAGGCACCTACCGTACCTATGTATAGAAGGTGCATGAATGCAGAAGAATGGCTTAAATGCATGCTAATAACAAGTTTGGCCACCACACCCCCAATAATTGGACGTCTCAAATCCTCGAAAGTATCCGGGTGGGTATTGATGGGGTCATCATGCGTCTATGGGAGTTGTTGACATGGTCGAATGTTTCGTGGTCGACTGTTCGTAACAGTCCGAACACACAAGGGGAGGTCCATAACCATAACCCCTTTGAAGACACACCAGAACTCCTCAGCACCAAAGTTTGTTCCTTTACTGTCGTGGGCTCACTGTCGTGATTCTCTCATTTGTTAGTCTCGTTCCTCTTCTCCCTTGCACTCCTCCCTGCTCATGGCCCTGCATCATCTGCCGCCCTCCCTCTAACCAGGCTGCACCCGCATCCTGGTCTCCTGCACCCGCTTCCTGGCAGCAGCACCACTTCCTCAGTCTCCTCCGTAAAGCTCATCCATTTGGGTGCTGCTCCCTCGGCTGTAATTATTTTTGGCTGCACCCTTATCCTGGGTTCCTGCGTCCTCTCCTCTGCCAGCCATCCCTCTAGCCAGGCTGCACCGGTAACCTGGTCTCCTTAGCACTTCCTGGAGGCATCACCACTTCCACCGGCTCCACTTCCATTCGGGTGCCCCTCCCTCGGCTGTCATTATTTTTGAGACGTCTCAGAAACAAAAGTAGTATTTTGAGACGTTTTAAAAGCCGTCTCCTGGCACCACTTCCTCCGGCTCCTTTTGTAGCATCCCACAGGGGGATACCCGCCCCTCGCCTGTCATACTGAGCATCCCCTGATCAACCAAAAGTCCAGCCCCTGCCTTCCCTTCAGCCGGGGCACACCAGGGCATGTGCATTAGAAAGAGATATTCAGGAACAGAAGACCGTCATGTGTAGTGCTCTTCGCTAACCTTAAGCTTTCACTGCGTGGAAGCAGAGGAATGGTTGCGAATCCGAAGCTCCTGATCCAAAGCAGGGTCCATCTTCCCAGGCGGTTTACTTGCTTCGGCCACCTCCTGTGCAGGCCATTCGGCAGCACACGGTTACCATCGGAACACAACCACAGGAAAGACAGATACCAGTCTCCCATGAGAAGCGGGGTTCACCATGGCCCACCAAAGATTTGATGTTGCTCCGACAGGGAGTTGGAGCAATACGTGACAATAAGAGGCAAGGGCAGATCACCCAGTCACACAATCACGTGCAGCGAATCATGAAGCAGCACTTCAAGAAGATCCCTCATCCTCAAACTCCACGCGCCTCAGCGGCCTGCATCGCCTCGTTCAGAATGTCCACATCACGGTCCAGCCGAGCCAGGTTGAATCCCAACACCCCAACGGTCCAGCCTTTTCCTTAACAACCCCCACGCACCTCAGCAGCGTGCATGGCTTCATTCAGAATGTCCACATCACGGTCCAGCCGAGCCAGGTTGAACCCTGGAAGCCGCCCCGACTGCTTGCTCCCCAGCAGCTCCCCCGGCCCTCTCATCTTGAGGTCCATCTGAGCCAGCTCCATGCCGTCCTGATGGGATGAGGACAATGGAGGCCCATGTGAGGGAACGTAAGGAGTTAGATACGCTGCCTTGCAATCGAGGGCACACTGCTTGCTCCCCATCCCAGCAGCTCCCCTGGCCTGCGCATCTTGAGGTCCATGTGAGCCAGCTCCATGCCATCCTGATGGGAGCAAAAGGGTGGGGAGGGGCGGATAGATAGGGAGGACGGGCAGGTGCTGGTACAAGGCGCCTGAAATAGACGCATTGCCTGCAAAAGGGGGCACCCTGCTTGCTTCCCAGCAGCTCCCCCGCCCGTAGCAACTTGAGATTCAGCTGGGCCAACTCCATGCCGTAATGATGGGCGCAGGGTTGGGAAAGAGGCGCAGAGAACGGTGAATTTGGCGCATTGAGGCACCTGAACTTCCTCTCAGCAGCTCCCCCGGCGCGCACATCTTGAGGTCCAGGCTCCAGCTGGGCCAACTCCAAGCCGGGTTCAAGTCGTCTCGAAAATTGAGACGTCTCAAAACCTTGAGACGTTTTTGAGATGCCTCACAACGCGAATCTTGAGGCCCAGGCTCCAGCTGGGCCAACTCGAGGCCAACTTTTGAGGTTCCTCATTAGTCGCATCTTGAGATCCATGTGAGCCAGCTCCATGCCATCCCAAGAAAAGGTGAGGGACAGGAAGGACAGACGAGCAGCAAGCAGCATAAGGGGTGCTGCTGCCATCTCCCCACACACGTGTGCAGACACAGGCACAGACACAAGTGTACACGCACATCCTGCCCCCCCACACCCAAGCTGACTTTTGAGTCGACTCAAAAGTCAGCAGGCACAGCACAGGGGTACATGCACACACATCCTGCCCCCCCACACCCACCTGTGACGTTTCCAGCAGTTTCAGCTGGTGCCGCGCGTTCTTACTGCTCCTCACCAGCTGGCAGCGAGAGGGGCGCTGCCCTCTCCCCACACACACACCCTGGAACAGGCACGCGCACACCTACACCCTGCTCTGCCCAACCCACCCTTTCCCTGTACACACGTTTGACGTTTCCAGCAGCTTTAGCTTGTGCCGCACGCCCTTGCTGCTGCCCACCACCAGGCAGCGCGAAGGGCGCTGGCCTCTGCCCACATGCACGCGCAGACGCAGGCACACGCACACTCTCCCTGTCTCTCCCCCTCTCACCCACCCCCCGTCCCCTCTACACACGTGTGATGTCTCTAGAAGCTTCAGCTTGTGCCGCGCGCCCTTACTGCTGCCCACCAGCAGGCAGCGCGAGGGGCGCTGGCCTCTCCCCACGCGCCCCCTCAGCTGGTGCAGCTGGGCCAGCCCGTAGCGCTCCGCATGCTCCACCAGCATCACCGTCGCCTCGGGAATGTCTATCCCCACTTCGATCACTGTCGTGCACACGAGCACCTGCAAGCATGGATGGAAAGGCAAGGGTTGGATGTGTCGAGTGAGTGTGCATGCATTTCCATATCCATGTCCCATGTCAGCCCGTATCACTCCGCATGCTCCACCAGCAGCACTGTCGCCTCTTGAAGGTCGACTTAACCAATCACTGACGTGTGCAGCAAACGAACAGCACCAAAACAAGCGCACCTGTATGGATCCTTCTTGGAAGCTGCGCATGACGCCCTCCTTCTCCTCCGGTTCCATACGCCCATGCACGAGCCCACAGCGCAGCACTTCCGTCCCCTCTGACCCAGAACCATCACCATCCTTCTCATCCTCCTCCTCCTCCTCCTCCTCATCTTCTTCCTCATCCTCATCACAGCTGTAGTCTTCATCATCTGACTGGCTACCATACATCGCATCCAGCTCACAGTTATACTGGTCTGTATCGTACCCGTTATAGGCACCATCAGTGGAGTTATCAATAGCACAAAGCTCATATCGGCTATAATCACTGCGACGACGAGGCCGATCTTTTTGGGCAGCTGCACGCTCCACTCGGGCAGCAGCAGCACTACCTCCACCGCTCAATGCACGGCCCAGCAGCCCGCCTGGTTCGGTCAGCAGCTGAAATTCTTCCGTGGCTGCCCGCACTTCCGGGAGCTCCTCTGAGGCGTCGATGATGGGGAAGACGATGAATGCTCGCCCGCCCGACTGCACCTCCTCGCGAAGAATCTGCAATGAGATCAGGAGGAGCAAAAGAGGAGATAGGGATGCAAAGGAGGAGCGGGGGGCCAGAGGATTCCCGAGAGCTCCTCTGAGGCATCGATGATGGGGAAGACGATGAATGCTTGCCCGCTCGACTGCACCTCTTCTCGGGAAGTCGATGAATGCTTAGAGAGTTTAGAGGTCAGGTTGCGGGGCAAAAGGGGGATAGGAGGAGTAACGGTTCAAAGGGGGCAATGGGGCGTTTCAAATCGTTTTGAGACTTGGCTGGCTGACCAGACCTGGTTTAAATAGAGCTGGAGAGAAGGGGGGAAGGGGGAGAAAGGGATAGGGGGTACAGGGAAGAGGGAAATGGGCAAAGGGGCCTTGGAGGATTGAAACACAGCTGTGGCGAGTTCAAAAGATAGTAGCTAAACAACCACTAAGGCGCCTCACAAGTTGCTTTACGTCAAACGAAAATAAAAGACGAAAATTAAGCCTCAACCCTTTTAATCGAGTGAACGACCAAAGCCGGGCCTCATACCGATCCCCCCTCCTCCCTGGCTCGCACAAAAAAAAAAAAAAAAAAAAAAAAAAAAACTGCCTAATCTCCATCTTTTCCCCAAACACCTATCCCTCACCTTGTAAGCCGCAGCCCTCTCTTTCTCCTCCCCCCCTTCACCCTCTGAATCGCTCTCCTCCCCGCTGCTGCCGCCCTTCCCGTCCCGGTCATAAAAGACAAGAGTCTCCACCGGCGTGCGCCCGGGCGGCAGCTCAGCAATCCGGGAGATGTCGGTTTGGCCGTGCAGCACGAGGGCGAGGGAGCGCGGGATGGGGGTGGCCGTCATGGTGAGGGTGTGCGGCTCAGAGAGAAGAGGGAGGGTGGCGGGGGAGGTGAAAGAGGAGGTGTCGGTTCCAGATTCAGTAGCGTCTTCTGTGTCGCTCCTGTCGCCGGCATCCTGCAGCTGTCGAAGTGCGTCAAGGCCCTGTAGGGATCACCAGTGCGGGAGAGTGTGTGGGGAAGGAGAAACAGAGGGAAATATTGACTTTAAGGGCTTTTGAGGCGCCTCAAAAGACTTTAAGGGGTCCTACGTGAGACATATGTCACCTCACACTCACCTGAAACAACCTTCAATCCCAAAGTCATGATTGCTGCATGTGCTTATCTGATGAGGCACACACAAGTCACCTCAGCACGCTCTCCCACCTTCTCATGCAGCCTGGACCGCTGCTTCACTCCAAAGCGGTGTTGCTCGTCCACAATGGCCAGCCCCAGGCGGTGGAAGGCTGCCAGATGCATACCCCCGAGGGTACCCACGGTGACTTGAGGACCTGTTTATCTGACTCTCAAACCCCCCCTCTCCCACCTTCTCGTGCAGTCTCGCCCGCTGCTTCACCCCCAAGTGGTGCTGCTCGTCCACAATGGCCAGCCCCAGGTGGTGGAAGGCAGACAGAGAGACACACGGCCGTCCTAGAGTAGCGTAGCCAACCCAGACACACAGCCTCAGCCCACCTTCTCGTGCAGTCTCGCCCGCTGCTTCACCCCGAAGCGGTGCTGCTCGTCCACAATGGCCAGCCCCAGGCGGTGGAAGGCCGTGGCTCTGGCAATGAGCGCATGCGTGCCGATGATGATGGCCACTCTGCCCTCCTTGATGTCCTGGCGTGGTGTTGCGAGCCCCGGGGGGGGGGGGGGGGGGGGGGGGGGGGGGGTGTGGGGGGTGGTGGGTTGGGGATGGAAGGGCGAGTAGAAAGCAGTTTAGGCGGTGGAAGGCCGTGGCTCTGCCGATGAGCGCATGCGTGCCGATGATGATGGCCACTCTGCCCTCCTTGATGTCCTGGTAGTGAAAGATTAGGTGCAGCGAATACGAATACGAATACGGAAAAGGAAGTGAGGGGTTGTGACAACATGAGGTGAGGTTTAGGTGATGAGGGCATGCGTGATGTGATGATACCCACCCTGCCGTCCTTTATGCCCTGTTGATGGGGAATCAGGGGGACCACTAACGGGCCAATGAATTTGATGACTCACTCACTCTTGAAGACATTTCAAGCATCTCTTGTGAAGACTCTCTTCTGAGATTTCTAGGAAGTCTCTCACGACGCTCACTCACCAGGCGCAGTGCCTTGGTGCGCTTCACACTCGCAGTCAGCAGGCAAACCCTCGGGCGGCGATCAGGCGGCAGCGCTTGGAGCCACTGTTCAAACCGTGCCACGTGCTGCTGAGCAAGAAACTGTGTCGGAGCCATCACAGCCACCTGATACCCATGCGCCACTGCCTCCATACATGCCAGTAGCGCCACCACCGTTTTCCCACACCCCACATCCCCCTGCAGCAGCCTGGACATCGGCACCGGCCAATTCATATCCGATATTATTTCCCGGGCAGCCTGCATCTGCCCGGCGGTGAGAGTATAGGGCAGGCTGGAAAGAATTTCCTGCGTGAGCAGGGACCACTGGTCGGCCGTCAGATCTCTGCGGGTCCATTCTATGGCCCCTCCTCCCCCTCCGGAGGCCACTGCTGCGGCTGCGGCTGCGGATGCCAGGTGGCAGAGTTTAATTCGCCGGCTCTGCAGCAGGATGCGGAGCTGGTAGAAGAAGAACTCGTCGAAGACGATGCGGCGCCGGGCAAGGGGAACGAGAGCGCGGTCGGACGGGCAGTGGATGGTGGCGAGGGCGAGGGGGAGTGGGAGGAGGTTGTAGCGTGCGCGGAGGGAGGGGGAATGGTATTCCATGTCCTGAGGGATGAGCTTGATTAGACTGTTCTTGGGGAGGGAAAGGAGGAGGGAGGGGGAAGAGTGGGGGGGGGAGTGGGGTTAAAGAGGGGAAGGCAAGAGGAGGAGCTGGTAGAAGAAGAATTCGTCGAATACGATGCGGCGCCTAACAAGGGAACGGGGGCGCGGTCAGATGGGGAGGGGATTTTGGCGAGGGCGAGGGGGAGGGGGAGGGGGAGTGGGAGGAAGTTGTAGCACGCGCGTAGGGAGGGAGAATGGTATTCCATGTGTGGAGGGATGAGCTTGATTAGACTGTGGTGGGAGGGGGACAAGGGGGGAGGAGAGTTAGTGGGGGGTTGAGCACACCAGTGTAGCATCATCTCCCACCTATACCCACTGCATGCACACCCAGCAGCAGCGCTATTTTGATCAGAAAACCCCACCTTTCCAGGTCAGCGCAGGGAGAGGGAGCCCATTTCCTTCCTGGTTGAATACACCGGCACAGCACCCTCCCCTCTGCGACCTTCCCCCTTCCACACTCACTGCATGAACATTGCACACACGCACAGCAGCGCATGCAATGGAGAGACCACAAGAACAGGTGAGTCGCACCTTTCCAGGATGACGCGCAGGGAGAGCGGGTCCATGTCCTTCCTGGCTGAATACACCGGCACAGCACCACCGTCCCCTCTGCTAGCGCCTGCATCCACCTTCACAATGTCACTGTTCATGTCCAGCTCGATCGTCCCATCCCCGTGTACAGTCCTCACCTGATGGGGGCAAGGGGAGGGGGTAAAAAATGTCGGACACGATAGCAAGTTTTGAGACGCCATGGCACAGCGCCCTTCCCTCTGATACCGCCTGCATCCACCTTCACAATGTCACTCACTGTTCATGTCCAGCTCGATTGTCCCATCGCCCTGCACTGTCCTAGCTGAGGAGGGCAAGGGGACGGCTGAGGAATTGTTGGACACAGAAGGAAGTGTTGAAAAGTCAGGGCCACCATCCGCCCTGATGCGGTGTGTGCATCCACCTTCACTACCCCCGTGCCCAAGCGCACCACGAGTTGATGGAAGTAAGGCCTCCGCAGCCCACCTGTCCTCTTGTGACACATCCGCCCTGCTGCGGTGTGTGCATCCACTTTCACTACCCCCGTGCCCCAACGCACCAGCTCGCACCTGGCCAGTGACAGAGACGAGGCAGCCCTTACGGTAGGTGGAGTGAAGAGCTTTCCGAGCCCAGCTCCCAGCGCGGAACTGCTTCGCTGTCACCTCGAAGTTCGAACCCACCTGCCCCTACCCCCTTGCCCCCATGCCCCCAGGCACCAGGTCACACCTGGCCAGTTAAGCCCACCCACCACCCACCTGGTCACATAAAACCGGAGGTCCAAGAGTTTCTAAGTTAGGAAGGTTGAAAGGGGAGAGAAAGGTGACTGGCTCGCGAGCCAGGGTGGTGTCGAAATTGGTGGTCTGGGGTCGTAAAGGAAGAAAATTTCACGAAAATAACCAGATCTGGAATGCAACATCAGAACTGGTTCGCAGACAGTTTCGGACGGGCTTCAAATTTGTTGGCGAAATCGTCACTGCTTTCGTCCTCGCTAGAACAGTAGTTTCGCGTGACGAAAATTGTCCCCCCGATTTGCGAAGTGAGTCGTACCTACTGCGTCACCCCTTCTCAAAGTTACTGCGAAGGTTGAGGCCCTTTGGGGCTGTTTGGGACTCCGGTTTTAAGCCCACCCACCACCCACCTGGCCAGTTAAGCCCACCCACCACCCACCTGGCCAGTTAAGCCCACCCACCACCCACCTGGCCAGTTAAGCCCACCCACCACCCACCTGGCCAGTTAAGCCCACCCACCACCCACCTGGCCAGTTAAGCCCACCCACCACCCACCTGGCCAGTGACAGAGACGAGGCAGCCCTTGGGGTAGGCGGCGTAGAGAGCTTTACGGGCCCAGCTCCCAGGACGGAACTGCTTCGCTGTCACCACAAACCCACCACCGCTGTTGCCACTGCTGCCACTGCTGCTGGTCGATTTGGGGTTGCTGAATATGGGTCCGCTGCTTGTGGTGCTGGCTGTGGTGCTGGTGGGGTGATTGGTGTTGCGTGTGGTGGCGGCGCTGTCAGGTGGGTTGCAGCGGATTCGAAGCTCGGCCACCGCACACGAGCCACCTCTGGCTGCGTTTACACTGCGGTGTGGATGGGTGTGGAGATGTGCAGATGGGCGTGGAGAGGTACAGAGTGGGGAGGTGCAGAGTGGGGAGGTGCAGATGGGCACACACAGACAGATGCAAGAGAGGCAGACTGGGGCAGTACGTACACGGTTGCATGTGATGCAGCGAATGGCGATGGATGGGTGCATGAAATAAGGAGGTATGGTTCCATTCCATCCACACGACTCAAATGTTCTTGTTCAGACCAATTGCCATGACTCGCACAGCAGACATGCTTCACATCACACATGGTCTTTTTGAGTCGACTCAAGACGGGGATGCATAAACAGGCTTCTCACTGCGCGTCCTTGTTTGGGTTCTGGTATAGGCTTGTGATGGCAGCACTCAAAGTGGCACAGAACAGGCCACCCGTTTGATGGAACAAACACAGGTGCAGCAACGGAGTGACTTTTGAGTCGACTCAAAAACTGCCTCAGCAAGAGCCACCTGTCTGGTGGAACAAAATATGATGTGAATCTCATCCACTCACTCGCCACCCGCCCACTTGGCACCCAACCAACCACTCACTGCACACCCTCCCACCCACCCCAACCACTCACATGACGCTCTCCACCACGCCCACAGCAGCCACCTGCCCGTCCCGCATCACATCCTCTCTGCTACGAGTGAGATCCTTGTACGTGTGAGGGTAATGCTCCAGCAGGTGCCGCACCGTCCACATGCCCGCCTTCTCCAGCTTCTCCCTCTGCCCCGGCGTCAACACGCCTCCACTCCGCCGAGCCAGGCTCCTCAGCGGGGTCTCCAGCCAGCTCACTCGCTCCTCTATTGCTGCTCCCCAGCCGTGCGAGGCTGGTGCTTCAGCTGCTCCGTCTGCACTCCCTAGAGTCGTGTCCAGCCATGCCATCTCTCCTGCCGCACGCTCTGCTGCATCCCCATCCGCCGCTGCATCCCCACCTGCCGATGCATCCCGATCCACCATGACATCTGCTGTGCGACTACCTAGCGGCATGACCGGCTCTTCTTCTGCATTCTCTACATGTGAGGCGGATCTCGTGCCTGGGGTATCCCAAGCCCCCCCACTGGCTTCCATTGTCTTCTTCCTCCGTCCCCGCTTCGCCCTGCCTGTGGCTGTCGCCAGGCTGTCTGCCTCCCATGCGTCCACAGCTACCACTGCAACATCACTGCTCTCCTCCTCTTCCTCTTTTACCATCCTAAACCCCAACCCCTCCTCCTCCTGTAAAAATGCGTCAAGGGTTTCTTCCTCCTCCTGCTCGCTGCCCACCACATCTAAATCTTCATACCCCCCTTCCTCCTCTTCTCCTTCCTCTTCCTCCACCTCCTCCCCATCCTCCCTTCCCTCTACGCAATCACTGTCCTCCAAATCAGCCCCTCCAAACCCCCTCAAACCACTCACACCACCACCTTCCTCTCCCATCCTCCCCTCCTCTCCTCCCTGCACCACAGCCACAACCCCCAAACCTCCTTCCCGGGTCTCCGCCCCAACAGCAATTCGAACCAGGCTCGGGAGCTTCAGCTCCGGCCGGTCCTCGAAGCAGACCGAGCCAAAATGGGTCTGGCGCCACCGAGTCAGCAGGGCAGCCACGGCAGGATGCGTCGCGGAATCAGCTTCGGAATGGTGACCCACCCTGTGACCCTCTCTCAGGGAGGACCACTCTACCTGGTGTGCCATAACATGGCCTGCTCCCTGCCCTACACTGCTGGCTCGAATTGCATCCTGCCTCATAGTTGTGGTGGAAGCAAGCGGCGTTGTTTCTTGCTCTGTTTTAATCGACTCAAACACACTGCTGGCTTGGATTGCCTCGTGCCTCGCAGTGAAGACTCGCGGTGTTTGTTGCTGAGTGCTAGTGCCCCGATGATTCCAGGGGGACCTTTGAGAGTTCTCAAAAGTGCCCTGATGGTTCCAGGGGGACCATGGGCTGTGCGTGTCTGCAGGCCAGGAGGGAGCGGACGGCGCTCGTGCGTGGGAATGGGAAGGACTGGGATGACTAGAGACGGAGACGGGAGGAGCAGAAGAAGGGAGAGAAGCAGGGGCAACAGAGGGAGGAGGTGTGGAAGGAAGGACTGGAGGGTGAGAGGACGGATGAGGAGTGGCAGAGGTGGCAGGCGTGGTAGGGTTGGTGGCAGTGGTGGGGGGAGTGGTGGTGGCGGGTGTGGCAGCACGGGCTAGAGCAGCAGCAGCACGCATGGCAGTGGCACGTCGTTGCCACTCCGACTGCACAGGAGGAGAATCAGCAGACGGAGCAGAATAAACAGAACGGACAGAATGGGCAGGATCGGCAGCAGGAGCAGACGGAGAGGAAGGGGAGGTGGGAGTGGACTGAGAGCGCTGCGGGGAGTGCGGTTTGGCTCCTGCTTGGCTCCAGTGTGGCTCCCCATTAGACTGAGTGGAATCAAACGGCTTCTGCGCTGATGAATGCGAGTTTCGGGACTGAGAGGAGCCACTGCTGCTCTCAAAAGTCAAGCTGGCGCCAGCTTGACTCCCGTTCGGCTCCTCCGCAGCAGTGTTTTTACTTGACTGAGCAGTACCGAACCGCTGCTGCACTAAAGGATCTGCTTCGCCTGCTTTCCCCAACTCTGATTCCCTAGAGCCACTCCAGCCCGCTCCCACTCTGTCACTCTGCACATCTCCTCCTCCCCACACCGCCCCTCCAGGCACATCATACCGTGCCGCATCTGCTTGCCTGCGCCATGTCCCTCCAGCTGCTCTTGCTGGTCGTGCTGCTGGCGATGGTGATGGTCGTGCTTGTGGTGCTGATGCTGCTGGTATTAATGGTGCTGGTGATGCTCCTGGTGATGCTATTAGTGCGGCTCGTGCCGCTGCTTGCCGAGCCTCTATCCTGGCACTGGAATCTGGCGTGGGAGGAGAAGTGTGGGCAGGACATGATGACGCTCGGGAAAGGAGAGAGTCGGGGGGAGAGTGCTGCCACTGGGGTATGGTTGATGGGGATGGGGATGGGGATGGGGATGGGGATGGGGTGTGCATGGACGGTGATGGTAGTGGTGCTTGAGGCAGCAAGGAAAGGAGTTCGCCCGTTGCTTCGTTTGCCCTCTCCTCCCTCGCACGCTCCATGCTCTCGCCTCCGCTATGCCCCACCATCTCCTCACTCTCCCATCCCAGTGCCTCCACAGAGGCCCTGTGGCGCTCCTCCCACACATGCTGCGTGTTTTGACTCGACTCAAAACCCATGCTCTCCTCTCTGCTATGCTCCCAAATCTCCTCAGTCTCCAATCCTCTCATCGCCTCATCAACAGCCCGGTGGTGCGCCACCAGATGCTGCGTGGTTTGAGTCGACTCAAAGCTCACGCTCTCCTCCTCCCCTCCGCTGTGCCCGAAACTCTCCAATCCGCTCATGGCGTCATCAACGGCCCTGTAGTGCTCCAGCAGATGTTGCGTGTCCGAGTACCCGAGAGCCTGGGAGATCTGCCATCGCGATTGCACAAGGGAGTGAGACAAGAACGGGCAGCGGATTTGCACCAGCTGTGAGTGACCGTTCGTTAACCTAGAAGAAAGAAAGAAAGAAAGAAAGAAGAATTTATTGCCAGAATTGAGCTCGTTAACAGAGTCGACTCAATTCGCCTCAAATAAGGCCGCGTAACTTTTTCACCTTTCATCGTCCGGACGGAGGCCCCGTCCGGACTTCTGTAGGGTAACTAGTTTCGTAACATTCCGTTTAGACGTTCGCAAGACCCCCTGCGACGTCGCTACCGTCCGGACACAATCTGACACTTTTCTGCCAAAAAGTGGTCCGGACTAACCTGCTGACTCCGTCCGAACGGCATTTCGGACGGTCCGTTTTATCTGCGCTGTGATTCGGCCACGAATTGAATGATTTTCCAACCAATAGGATGCCGTCAAATTTTGGTGGCGAAATCTCCAAGTGCTATACGATTTCTGTAATGCGTGTTATTTTTCGTGGCGAGATTCTACATTTTCGATAGGGGAAAAAGTTGCACAATTGTGGTCCGGACGCCCTATCGTCCGGACCTGCTTCCCAAACGTCAGGACGGAGCTCCGTCCGGCCAGTTTGGAGGCTCCGTCCGGACAGTTGACGAAAATGGAAAAAGTTACGCGCCCTAAGTCCCAATGCTGTTCATTTTGATTCACCCATTCCACTCGCTGCATGTGCACGGGCAGCAGCAGCATGCCATCGTCATGAGTCGCTGCCCCATAAGTTCATGGCATAATAACATGCAGAGTCAAACACATCTCACCACCGGTTCCAATCGTTGCCTGCGCACAGCAGGCAGCAGCATGTCGCACTTAACTCTTGAGGCTGCAGTTTGTGACTAAGTCATGTCGTAATAAGGTGGTTTTTTAGGCGCCTCAAAAACCACAGCAGGCAGCAACATGTCGCACTTCACTCTTGAGGCTGCAGTTTGTGATGAATTCATGTCGGGCACAACACAAACATGGAGATTCAAACACATCTCACCGGTTCCAGGCGCTGCCTGCGCACGTCACGCGGCAGAATGTCGTAGTTCACTCCGGCCCATCCCACCACCTGCTGCACTTCCAGAGAGGCACTCAGCTGTCGACGTGTCATCCTCTCGTGCAGCGACTCAAGGTACTGGTGGAAGCTGATTGGATGAGAAGAACAGGAGCACATAGGGTGGACAGGATGGATGGAGAGCGAGCAGAGGACATGCTGTAATCCAGGTGTGGGAAAGTGTGGAGCTTCACCAAGCTTGACTCACACCTGATACACGCTTCGTTCAACCTCGAGGCAAGCTTGATTCGAACGTGATAAAAGCTTGATCCAGAATTGTTTCAAGCCAGATGCTCCTTCTCACGCTCTGCATCTCTCAGCGAGCATCTCCAGCCGGGCGAGGCGAAGCCTCACCTGCTCCTGAAGCCTCACCTGCTCCTGAAGCCTCACCTGCTCCTGAAGCCTCACCTGCTCCTGAAGCCTTGGACATTTGAGAAATCCGAAGCAGCTTCAACCGCCACAGCTTGAACGAGCTCACTCATATCAAACGCAGTTGCCTCCGCTCCCCCTTTCTGCTCTTGCTGCTCACTCACATCAGACACTGCTGACTCTGCTCCCCCCTTATTCCCTCCCTGCTCACTCATACCAAACACCGCTGCCTCCGCTCCCACCTTCTGCTCTTGCTGCTCTCTGTGCACTTGCCACTTCATCTTCAGCTGCTGCTGCGGTTGCCAGGGCTGCTGCCCCCCGTTCCATGTTTGAGACACCTCAGAAAGATCCTGAATGCCCTGCTGCTGACCCACCAAAGCTGTCTCAGCCTCAGGTGTTGGCGTCGGTTCAAAAGGCTTGACTGAACTTATCACTGTGTGAATCGACTCGAAGGCCTCTTCGGTGTCGTGCAGACCAATCACCGCTTCCTCCACCGCTGCCAGATGTTTCTCCCATGTTCTCTGATCGATCACCGGTGCTGCTGCCTCCTCTTCCCAAACAATCAGCTCTGATGCTCTCTGCTTTATCACCGCCGTTTGGTGTTCTTCCAGTCCTCTCTGCTCTATCACCGCTGCCTGAGCCTCCTCCAATGCTCCCTGCTGTATGATTGCTGTTTTTGCCTCCTCCTTCCAAACAGTCAACTCTGATGCGTTTTGTACAGCCACCAGTGCTTTTGCCTCCTCTTTCCAAACAGTAACCTCTGAAGCTCCCCGCCCTGTCACCATAACTGTCCCCTCCTCCAAAACAGTCACATCTGAAGCCCGACTGCCTTCTGTTAAGCTACTGCTGCTACTCCCTTCGCTCATATCCCCTACAGTAATCTCTGAAGCTACCCGCCCTGCCACCATAACTTGTGCCTCCTCCTCCAAAACAGTCACGTCTGAAGCTTGAGCGCCTTCTGTTAAGCTACTGCTGCTACTCTCGTCGCTCACAACCTCTACAGTCACCTCTTCAACTGTCCGTTCTACAATCACGTCCCCAACAGTCACCCCGTTCACTGTCTTCTCTGCACTCACGTCCTTTACACTCACACCCTCACCTGTCTCTTCTGAACTCACGTCCCGTTTAGCTTCCTCTGATCCACCCACGTCCCCTACAATCACCTCTTCCACACTCCCCCACGACAATTCCTCCTTCTTAGCTGATCTGCCTCGACCCACTGCCCAAGCAACAGTGCCATTCCGTCTGTACCTACTACACCCCCTCCTCAGTTCCGCCTGTCCCCCCCGCATGCTGCCTGCAAGCAGCAGAGGAAAGGCCCTTCCCCCCAGGGACGGGCTCGCAACTGGGTGAAATCGTGCGCGGGAAGCAATTGTCACAGCAGCAGCAGCAGCAACGGCTCCTGCACCCCCTGGTTCTCCTCTAACTCCCACTGTCCCTCTTCCTCCAGGTGCCCTTTCCACTGCTCCACTTGATCCGCCCCTTTCCAGACGCACACACGAGAGAGCATGCCGTGAAGGGATTAATCGCCTGCCCAGAAGTGGAGTAGGAGGACTGCTGAACCCTAGGCCTATGAATCCAGGAAACAAGGAGTTTCTGTGGCTGTCGCTGTGACTGCTGTAGCAGTTGGTTCGGGATAAGGAGTTACGTGATGGTGTGGTGTGGCTGGCAGGGCGGCGGGTGGGAGTGGGGGAACATGTTCGTAATCTGTTTCTAAGAGCGGCTGATTGGCTAACTGGTGGAGAAGCTGAAGCCATGTTGAAAGAGCAGCAGAGCGTTGAGACTTCTACGGACCGGGCACATGCAAATAGAGTCAGCAGCATGCAACGAGAACTGGAAACAGCCGTGCCACGAGAAGGAGGAAAAGCAGCTGCAGCTGCAGCGAAGGAGGAATGAGCAGCAATGCCGGCAGCCACGGTACCATTTGCTCTCAGGGAACACGTCCGAGCAGCAGCTGCGGCCTCTCGGCAGAAAGAGACATGTTTGAGACAAAGGTGCAGCTGCCACTGCATGTGCACACAGTGCACCGCACTGCAATTTGAGCAGCCAATGCGCACAGTGCTACACAGCACACAGCTCACACCACGCTGGCAGTTCAGTCCAAACCCTGTGATACCAGCACAACACGGTTTGCCTCACCTTCTAAACCTGTTGACCCCCTTTTGACTGATAAACCTGGTTGACCCCTTTGACCTGAAAGTCCTGGCTGACTTGACCCCGTTGACCTGGTTGATCCCGCTGACCTGAGATACCTGGTTGACCCCTTTAACCTTTACCCCGTTGACCTCAAAGACCTGATTGACCCCGCTGAATTGAAATACCTGGTTGGCCTTGTGATAATACAGCAGTGGGTGTGAGTCTGTGAGAGCAGGAGAGGGCGTAAGGCAGGCTATGGCTGGCAGCTTGGGTTCGAATGTGGCTTGGGAGGAGTTTCCTTGAGAAAGGTGTATGGCTCTGTTGGCTCGGACCTGTACTCATGTGCAACGGGGAGAGGGGAATGTTCCAGCAGGGGTGTTAGAGATATAGGGGCAGGTCATGTGAATAAAGACAATGGAAGCCAAAGGATGGCAAAATGAGGCGAAACCGAGCACACAACAGCTGCTAGCGTGATTATTATGGTAATATATGGATTGAACTTCGTTGCTAAGTGCTGCTGGATTCTGTATCCTGCACCACAGTCATGCCATCATACCCTGGTTTGGAGCGGATGCACTGAAAGAACAGCTGAAGAGGCTTCTTGAGGTTGGCGCTCCAGTTTCCCTCAAACAAACCCTGATCAGGACAGGAATGAGGGGAGAGGACAGTAACGAATGGAGGGGACAGTGATGAATGGAGGGGACAGCAATGAATGGAGGGGACAGCAATTAATGGAGGGGACAGCAATTAATGGAGGGGACAGCAATGAATGGAGGGGACAGCAATGAATGGAGCGAACAGCAATAAGTGAAGTCTTATTTTTCAGGTTGGTTGGAGCTCCCAAAATAGACCATTATCGTGGACAGCAAAGAGAAGATTCCGGTGAAATTGGATAAGCACCGTAGAAGTGGGACATGGAGGATGTAGGAGACGGAGCTTCAATCACAGGAGGTCATTGCTGGATAATGGAATGATGCGAACAACAACGGTCAGAAAAGCAAGGAAAAAAGCGGTCGTGTCTGAATGACGTCTTTCAGAAGATGGTAGTGAGAGGAGGCTATGCCTGAATGACGTCCTCCAGTCGATCGTTGCAACGGTGAGGACCCACCCCTCCAGAATGAGTGGGGTCAGGTGAACGGCTGGGATCTGACGGCTGGCTAGAATCCGACGGCTCAGAAGGCATAGCGGCTCAACCAGAAGGTGCGAACCCTCTGACAGATCTTAAGAGCAGACTGGCGAATGGAGAGAAGAACTTTAAAGAGACACGAGGCGGAGGCAACGGAACAAAATTCTGTTTAGCAAGTTGGAGATTTAAAGAAAGTGTGCTTAGAAGTGACAGAATCGGCAAAAAAAATGGTTAACTGGTGAACCGTGAGACTACGGAACTGAGAGAACTGAAACGTCATATATCCACAAGATAATAAGCTGTTTAAAGACATTACGCAATGGAAGTGGTTAGACCGCGCATACACTCCCAGCACTTGAGCGCAGCGCGCTTTCCGCAGACGAGCTTCCGTGTTTTCCTGAGAGACCCTCAGCGTCACAAGGAAGACATTTTCAAGGTTCAAACGGCACCATTGCATCTGGTTGCGAGATGAGTGTGCCTCGTAAAGAGCTATCATGCTTCACAAAAAAAAAGTACAGCCAGAGTTCAAATCTTAGAGAGCAAATGGAAAAACGAGGTGGGAGATAACGGTCAAAGTCAACTTGGAAAATCCATATACTTGGAAAATCCATAATCCATATAACGAATGTTTATATCTTATTACGGTAGGATTGTTATCAGAAGTACATGTAATCAATGTTTATGATTGCATACATATATTTATATTACATCCTACCTAATATATGATGGAAGACATACGTTTTTTCTTCCCGCCACGCACCCAGGGCGCATGGCGGCGCGCGGCGGTTTACTACACCCATCGCGTCGCCCCAGTGCAGCCCGCGAGCTGCTCCGTGCGCCCCGCACGACGCCCCGCTGGACCCGCGCGCTGCCCCGTGGAGCCGCACGCAGGCCCCATGCACCCGTCGCGCCGCCCCGTGGAGCAGCGAGCGGGCCCAACGGACCCGCATGCTGCCCCGTGGAAACGCGCGGCCCCACGTGCGCCTGTCGCGCCGCCCCGTGGAGCCGCGCGCGGCCCCCCGTGCACTCGACACGCAACCCTCCCCACCCCCACCCCCCCCCCCCCCTGTGCACCTGTCACGCCACCCCACCGTAGCCGCGGGGCAACCTCCTGGTGTGGGGGTGGCGGGTATGGGGGTGGCTGGTATGGGGTGGCGAGTGTGTGAACCCCCCTGCTCCTCCTCCTCCTCTCTCTCCCATTGCTGCAGCTGGCGCTGAAGGAGGGGGGGTGTGTGGGAGCCGAGGGAATGGTGGTAGAGATGCTGGAGGGATGTGAGAAAGGGGTTGGGGGCAATGGAGGGAGGTTGAACGGAGGTAGCTGTTGTGGAGCCAACAGCGCCAGTAGTCCGGATGCCCTTGCTCTGGTAGCCAGCGAGCCCGTTGCGCCAATTGCCCGTGGGTCCGTTGCTCCAGCCGCTCGTCTTAGCCGCGGAGCCAGTTACTCTAGTAGTCCGGGGCCCTTGCTCCGGTAGCCAGTTCGCCGGCTGCTCCAGTCGCCCGTGTGCCAGCAGCTTCAGCAGCCGCCTCCAATCTCCTCTTCTCTCATAGTCCCTCCTCCTCCTCGCGAGCCCTCCATGTCTGCCACTAACTTTACTTGTGCTTGTGAACTTATTATGCGACTGCTTGCTGTACTGATTATACCCCACTTTGCCTACGGGGGTGTATTAGAATGTCATATTTGTGTAGTCTACAGTAGGGTACTCTATAGTGAGTACAGCCCTGTTAGGGTTTGCTATATGTATCCCATTGCTTGCTAGTGAAAACCCCCTTTTGCTATTCTTTATTCGTACCCATAGTCCTGACAGTGGGGTCACGGCTTCAGTCACTAACAACAGGTAAAAAATTACGCGAATGGTCACACATGTAACTCATGCAAAAAAAAACTTGAAACTCAACAAAGTTCCCGATCGCGTCCAACCAAGCAGCTAACTTTAAGAAAAACTAGAACCCGATCGGATTCGGATTCGGTTTGAGAACGGATCAACCCTAAACACATTGCGAGTTACGTGTTTAGGGTTGATTTTGAAAATGCATCCACGTTCTTTTTGGGTTTCATTTTGTTTTGGCGGGGGTTTCACCTATGACCATTTGCGTTGTTTTTTCACCAATTGATAGTAACTGATTAAGTGAAACGTTTTACTAGTCGCATGAAAACCCCCTTTGCAGTGACCGTACTCTTTACTTTTTTACCATTCACGTTATCGAGTCCCAATTTGGTTACATATGGCATATTTTCCCTATCAAAAATGATATCGCAATCTAATCTTCACGAAACGAGGCGGTTTGATCGTTGAGCGTCATCAATAGATGTGGGTCTCCAGCTTCAGCATTCCAAAATCGATCGATGGATGGATGCAGTTGGCCTGTGATCTTATGACGTTAGGATGATGGCAACAACCAGTCACCTTGCTTCTCCTCCACGCGTTCGGCGGCCGCGGCACACAACCTTGGCGGAAAGGGTACAAGTGTTCTTGTTTATAGTTTGACGGACTGAGACGCCGCGCGCAGACTATGTGTGAAAACCTTCAAACCACAGGCAAAACGCGATACTTATAGTCCCGTTCAGGAAAATTGCATGAAGAGTGGTTTGTTTGCTACGAGTCTTGGGATTTTGTCTTTTACGTAGATTCGGTTCCCCGCGCGGATCAACGTCGCATGACAAACGGACAAAACAAAACAAAATAAATTATGGTTTGGGGGTCGAATAGAAGGTAAAAACTTCTCGTTTACCTTGTAAGCGAGGTAAATGGGATGTCATTGTCAAGCGCGCTCGAGACCGCGCGATAGGATTGAGAATGATTACGCTCAAGAAAAACAATTACTTACAATTTCAAAGTTTAATATCGAATCGATGAGCCCTTATGTCTAGTTTTCCTTGAATGTTGGGGCTGTTTAGATCTGGAGCCTCTGATTGGCTGCGAAGTTGATTCGTGCAATGATTCGGTCAAGCTGCAAAATTTCCCGCCAAAAAAGGGACTATAGGGGTCGGGCCAACTCTAGGCGATATCGGAAAACTCTACACGAAAGGGATATGGGACTCTTTCGGCGAGAGCCTCTAACCCAAAACATTTGTAGTTGGGATGGAAAGGGAGATGGGTAGGTACAGCACAGTATCAGCCTGCACCGGACTGGATCAGCAGCAGCAACTGCTGTGATCTTTCATAACAATCGTAGGAGAACGAAATACTTGTAGGTTGTTTGATCAACTCAAAGCCGCCAGAACTCTCGCTGATTTGCTTGAAGCCCATCCAGATTCTAGCTGCCAAAATCAGCAGTTGCGAGGATAAATACAGGACAGATAGTTGATCGTCGTCCTATTCCTCGATCAAACTTGTGTCACCTTCGTTTGGGAGAAATTGTTCCGGAGGTCTTTCACGGGTCCCTCACAGTTCCCGGTTCTTTTGTGTCTCATAGCGCATCCAGCCATGTGCGATGCGCCACACTGCCAGAAACACTAACAATCGTTCCGCATTGCTTCCGATCGCCGCGTTTGGCGGCTTCAATCAACATGAAAGAGGATGGCCAATCAGAATCCGAAGAAGGCGAATTTGTCGCTCCTGACGTTCCGAATCTCGCTACTTCCGCCAGCTCGCTGCCACGTGGCAACGATTTGGACAACTCCGCCGTGTCACACACGAAAGAGCAGCAAGATCCGATCGCTGAAAGATCCGCGTTGAGAGCAGGGTCGGTATACGAAACGCAGACCCCTCCTGCTCCTAGAGACTCGAAGGACCAGGAAAGGCCGGATCCGTCAGACAGAACGAGAGACGCGGGATCGAAACCAGTCAGGCACTTTAAATCGGAAAGTGATCTTGGATCTGTGCTCGCCGTTCCAGGAGTTGACTTGGAGGAGGATGAAGATGCGATGTTCAGCGAAGTTGCCAAGCTGTGGGCCGGACACACGTCTGGACACACGTCTGGACATGCACCCGCACTCGGATCTAGTCGACCTTCGACCAGTTTCCCGGCCTCGTCCGGTCATCCAGCCGGTCTCGCAGGCGATCCTGTCGCAGGATGGTCGCTCGGGTTTGGATCGCACGGGGGTGGATCGCACGGGCGTGGGTCGCACGGGGGTGGATCGCATGGGCGTGGGTCGCACGGTCGTGGGTCGCACGGTCGTGGTTCACACGGGCGTGGGTCGGACGGGCACCATCAGAGGGGGCACGGGCGGCAGATGATCGACGCGCTCGGGGAGATGGCAGGGATCGGCGCGGGGAGCGGGTCCCCTGTGAAGCCCCGTGGATGGACCATGACTTCTCACCCCCATGATCACGATGCTGTGCATGCGGATGCACATGCCGATGCTCATGCTCCTGCTGATAGCATGTGTGATGGTGATAGCGATCCTGTTGGGTATGGTGACGACGATGGGGTTGACGGCTTGGGGTTTAAGAGAGCCAAACATCAGCATCATCATCAGCATCATGGGCCTCATCATCCTCGCCAGCAGCACCCGCACTCGGAGCCTCGAGCCCATGCCCATCCTCACGGCAATCATCCGCATCACCCCCACCATCACCCCCATCACCACGCGCACCACCACCGCAGCCGGCACCATCACAGGGGTAAGGCGCACGAAGGCGGAAAGGCCGGAGCTACTGTTAGCGCTGCTGCTGCTATGCGTTCGGGCGGCGCTGGTAGCATGGCTGATGCTGCTGTAGCTGCTACTGCCGGCGGCATTGCTGCTAGCGGTATTGGCAGCGTTGCTACTGCTGCTGATGCGGCCGCGGATGGTTCAGAAAGCGGGGTTGGGGTTATAGGCAAGGGGGGAGAAGGGTTCAAGGAGAGACCGGGGGAGGGGGAAGAGGCGGAGAGAGCAGGCGCGGATGGGGCTGGAAGAGGGGGGAAAAGGGCGGAGCAGGCGGGAGATGCGCGCGGTGGTGGGGAGAAGGGACAGCTGTCGGCGCTACTGGCGAGCGGAGGGTTTTGGGGAGCGGAAGAGGAGGAGGAGGAGGAAGAGGAGGTGGGGGCGGGGAAGGGGGAGAGTGAAGGAGCGAGAGTAAGGCGAAGAGCAGGCGTTGGATCGACGGCAGGTGATGGTGGGGAGGGGAATGGAGGAATGGTGGATGGTGGGGATGGGGAAGGGGGAGGGCAGGAGGGGGGGGAAGGATGGACGGGGAAGAGGAGAAGACACGAGTGGGAGCAGGACGAAACGGGGGGACGACACGAGGGGGCGTATCGCGGGCGAGGGGGCAGGGGCGGCGGAAGGGGCGGGCGGGACGACTGGCGGGGAAGAGGAAGAGGGGGAGGGGGCGGCGGAGGCGGAGGCGGGGGGCATAGGCGGCGCATGGAAGTGGGTCCCTCGCGTGTGTCTGTCCCCTGCAAGTTTTACCTGGGTGGGCGCTGCAGCAAGGGCGCGTCCTGCCCCTTCCCGCACACAGGCGTTCCGCGGACCAAGAACGAGCCGTGCAAGTTCCATGTAACGAATTCGTGCCTTAAGGGGGATGACTGCCCCTTCTCCCACGACTTGGCGCGCTTCCCCTGCAAGTACTTCCACGTGGGCACGGGGTGCTTGGACGGGGAAAGATGCAGATTCTCCCATGGGAGCGCGGAGGAGAGGGAGTTGGTGCGGTTGAGAGAGATTTGGCAGAGGGACAGGCCGTGGGGCGCGGCTGGGGAGAGGCAGGGGTTCAGAGAGGTGGAGAGGGGAAAGGAGGGGTTCAGGGATGGGGGAGCGGGCGGGAGAAGGATGGCTGGTGCTGGTGGCAGTGTGGAGGTTGGTGGCGTTAGTGGTACTGGTGCTGCTGGTGTTGTTGGTGGTGTTGGTGGTGTTGCTGCTGCTCTTCCTGTTGGTGGTGGGGGAGGGAGGGGAACATGGGTGGTTAAGGTTGAGGGCAGCGCGGACAGGGGGGAGAGGCTGGGCGGGGTGGGATCAGATGGGCGGAAGGGGGGGGGCATGGGGGGAGAAGCGCAGAAGGAAGGGGGGATGGGCCAAGAGCGGAAGGAAGGGGGCATGAGTGGAGGCGGGCGGAAAGAAGACGAGAAATGCGCGGATCAGCGGGGTGGTGAGGGGAGGGGGAAGGAGGGCGTATTGGGTGCTGTTTTGGGCAGCAGGACTGCTGAGGAGGAGGAGGAGGAGGATGACGAAGAGGAGGAAGGCAGTGCCCCGGATCCCTATGGTGCTGCTGGGTCAGGTCCAGGCACCCACCCATATGGGGCTCATGGGGCTGACACAGACCCATACGGGGTTCATATGGGCAGCACAGACCCATACGGGGCTAGCGGGGTTGACGCAGACCCGTATGGTGTTGGAGGGGGAGGGCCAGGGGCAGCATCAACATCGGTTCATGACTTCCTGGCACGTGCAGCTGAGTTCTTTGCCGATGGGGGGACGGGAGGAGAGGGGGATACACCGATGTATGGCAGTATGGAGTATATTGGAGAGGCGGGGGGTGGGAGTGGCCCTCGATATAGGCCTGACTATGGTGGAGATGGGGGGAGAGTCTCGTATGGGCCTGATTATGCTGGAGATGGGAAGACTGCAGGGTGTGAGGCGAGGGTCCCATTTGAGTCTGATTATGCTGGAGGGGCGAGTGTACCCCGATACAGCAGCACGGGGTATGTGGGTGCAGCAGCAGGGGATAAAGCAGGGCAGAATCCTTACACGTGGGAACATGGGAATGAAGGGGAGGAAGAGGAAGAGGAGGAGGAAGGGGAGGAGCAGCAGGAGGGCACTGCAGGAATGGTTGAAGTGGTGCTTGCTTCACAGGGAGTGGATACACGGGTTGATCATTCGGTCAGGGACCTTGAGAAGCAGCCAACAGGAATGGTAGAGGCGTTGGCTTCTAGGAAGAATGGAGCAGTCAGTAGTGAGGATGCTGATTCTGAGAGGACGGGTCGAGCAAGAGCAAATGTTGCTTCGCTCTTGAGCCAAGTGCTAGATAGTTAGTGGGGGTTAGTCATGAGGACAGACAGACACGTTTTGGATAGACGAATGGGGGTAACCACCGCGCGCTCGTTACTTAGAGAGGGATGTGACAGGTAGTGAGGTCGTACAGTAATACATAATGTAGAACATGGCATATATTATAAATCCAATGCTTGCTGTACCCGTTGAGAAGTAGTAGCCCTACAGAGCTCTAAGATGGAGTTAAATATGGCACTAGTTGAGTATGGCTTAGTGCAATAATGATGAATACTTCACATCACAAACCTGGTTCATGAAATAGTGCTGTAAGGAAGTGCGTCGTCCTGCTAGCTAGAGATGCCACCCAAAAGGGGTCACAAGGCAGAGCCTCGCATCACAAGCATACGACATGGAATGGAAACCATAAAGAAAACCTGATTTCACGGCACAATCCCATTTGCGTTTTCCGAAACGTGACTCAGTGGTGGAACACCTCCATTTGAGAAGTTGAACACCATGGTTGTTGTTTGCTTGTGATTGAGCTTGTAGCGCCTTGCTTGCATTGCAGCTTATTCATCAACCAACAGGCAGTACGGTAGCATGACCAAAACACAAAAAAGGAGATACATACGCTTGCAGTCAACCATTGAAAAAACAATGCAAAAAAATGCACAGCTTTAGTATTTTACAAAACGGTCAGTTTTGACCATCCAAGTGGCTTTCAGCTGGACAGGACTGAAAGGGCGCAGCAGGAATTCCGCCTCCACGCCACACATCCTCCTTGCACGTGGCGTATTTGCGGCATCACAGCACTCATGGACGAGCCAAAATCCATTGCTCTGCTTCAGCAGCAGCAGGTTTCATTCATTTGATCAGCCTCCTCCAAGCCACTTGTATCAACTCGAGCACAACCCTGAGACACCTTAGCAACGTCTGCTTTCGGCCCGCATGCCTGGCGCCTCCCGCATGCCTGCTGCCTCTGCTGCACTGCCTCCTTCCCGCCTCTGTAAAAGAATACAAAATTTCTACACTACAGCTCCTTCACCGTCGAAGCAGATGAGCCGCCAATCATCAGTGAAAACTGCCAGAAGCTGACAGCAGAAACTGCAAGAAGGTCTCAGCCGTCAGACGACAGCGGCGGAACAATCAGACGTTCTATGGAGACCCATGTTTCCTGCTGTGGAGGTGCGCTATGGCTTTATGAGCTTTGCCGTGCACCCAACAATGGGATGGGGAGGCATTAGGCCTCCCTTCCATGACGGTGCCATGTGTCCGTGCCACAAGGCGCTCGGCTTTGGGCTCAACAATGAATGGTGAGGTTGCTAGGCCTCCTTGAGCTTCGCCTTGTCCTCTCCGAAGTTGGCTCGAGAGCAGTCGGCAAAGAGCGACCACATGATGGTGCCCGAGATGTAGAAGGCGATGGAGGGCAGGAACATGGCCGTCTGGGGGCGACATAGGTGGGGCAGAGGGGATGGGACGGGAGAGGATGGGGGAAAAACAACAAGAGAGTGATCAGTGCGGGAATGGGAGCAGTCAGCAAAGAGAGAGAGCACATGATGGCGCCTGATGGTGCCTGAGATGTAAAAGGCGATTGAAGGGAGGAACATGGCCGTCTGGTGGGGAACAATGGGGCAGAAATGGGCGTGGCTGAAACAACAAGAGTGTGATAAGTGAGGGAATGAGCTTGAAAATATATACAGTCCAACATAGGAAAAAGGAAGAACGAAGATCACGCGACTCAATTGAGCCACTGCACAGGAGTGGGTCTGGTCAAAGAAATATCAGGTCAGTGTTCAGTAGCATGGCATGCCCACGATGACAACAACTGGGTCGACAAAGAAATCACTTCAAGTGAAGCCACATCAAGAAAGCAGTGCAGTACTCACCGCCCAGGAGTGGGTCTGGTCAAACAAATAGCCGGTCAATGGCACGCCCACGATGCCAGGAATCGCCCCCACTGTCGTTGACATTCCCTGCACAGGAGAGAGAGAGAGGGTACAGCCCAAGTTCGTCAGCACATCACACGCAGAAAACTCAGAGAGAGAAACACACAGATACCAGGACAGACAGACAGGCCAGGCCAACTGACATGTGCTCTTTCCGTAGCAAACCATGGCGGCATTGCAGTGGAGTCAGGCCTCTGACGTGTTTGGCTGGTGCTGTCCGGGCAAGGAATCAAGAGCATGGCACTGGCTGGCTTGAGAAAAGCCAACAGTATAGTGAGTGTCTGTCTGTGCACGTTTGTGCAATGACTCACCAGCAGCACACTGGCGTGTTTGGGAGAGATGTCCTGATGCGAGCAGTAGAGGCCTGGCGGAAAGGGGAGAGGGTTCAACAATTGGCAGCAAGGTAGACGTAGACATGAGCAACAAGAGTGGGAATCTGCTCTGGCGGAAGGGAAGACCTGGGAGAAGAGCAAGCGAGATAGACAGCGGTTGGGATGTGAGGTGAGGTAATTGCACTGAACGAGAGGAGTGGGATGGGATGGAATGGAATCAAAGCAGTGGGATGTGGTGGGCGCAAAATGATAGTTATTTGCAATCACGCTGCCATACCAGCGTAGGAGCACGCGGAGAGGCCAATGCCACCAGAGAGAGCCGCCACCAGCAGCCAGGTTGGAAGATTGTGGTCCGGGCCGAAGCTAGCCACTGCCATGCACGCTGCCGGACCTAGGAAGGCCATTCCCTGAGCTAGCTTCCGCACCAGGCTAACATCCGTGCCCTCTGCAATCAGCCGGTCTGCTGCTGGCGCCACCACGGCTGACACGGCGATGGAGAGGAGTGGCGGGAGGAGCGACAGCTGGCAGGGAGAGAGAAGGGGTGAGAGGGGGGGGGGGGGGGGGGGTTTGAGGAATTGAGAAAGGAGGAGGGTAACATGAGATCAATGTGATGAGGAGAAGGGTGGTTAGATAGATGGATGGATGGATGGGATGGAGAAACGAAGTACGAGACAAAGGTGCTGGGAGGTTACTGAGACGGGGGAAAGGTGCAGGAGGAGTTAGCGAGTTGGTTGGGAAGCAAAGATATCATTTGAACGAACTAGTCTGATTCGCCTTAGGTAACAGACAGACCGACGGCAGCAGGCAGGGCAAGGGCACTTACCAGCGATGCTTGAGTGATGTCCAGATGAAGCTCCTTGCTGGTAGAGGAGGGGGAAGGAAGGCGAGGGAGAGGACGGGAGGGGGGGGGGGCAGGGAGAGGAGTGGTCAGGGAGGGGAGGGGAGGAGAGAAGCGGTGAGGGGGAAGGGAGGGGAGAGTAAGACAGGGGAGGGAGGAAGGAGAAAGACATGAGGCAGAGTAACCGCAGGACAGCACAAGGAAGAAGCAAGACGAGCTTCAGCCAGCTACAGTCTTCACGTGCCTGGGAAGTGTTTTGAGACGTCTCAAAACACTTCTTCAATCAAGAAGCAAGACGAGCTTCAGCCAGCTACAGTCTTCACGTGCCTGGGAAGGCAGACCAACAAAGCAGAGAAACACCCATGCAGCACGCACACCTCATACTCACCCCCAAGGCATAGCATGACATCGTATGACCTTTACCTGTAGTAGGTGGGCAGCCAGGCGAGGAGGATGTGGTGGCCCCAGTTGTTGCAGAAGTGGGCATACACCACCGCCTGCACCGCCCTGCTCCTCAGCAGCTCGCCCCACGGCACTGCTGGGTCCGACCCTCCCCTTCCTAAGGCATGGCATGACACTCACCTGTAGTAGGTGGGAAGCCAGGCGAGGAGGATGTGGTGGCCCCAGTTGTTGCAGAAGTGGGCATACACCACGGCCTGCACCGCCCTGCTCCGCAGCAGCTCGCCCCACGGCACTGCTGGGTCCGACCCTCCCGTCTCCTCCACCAGCCTCCTCTCCTCCTCACTCTCCCTCAAATCCTCACTCACTATGTCTCCCTGCAAAAGGGAAGATGTTAGGGGAGGGGGAGGGAGCGGGACAAAGGGGGTTAAGACAACTAAATAGGGGAAGGAAGCCAAAGAAGACAAAGACAAAGGAAGAGCTTCATTGAACTACATCGAATCAAATCAGATCAGATCGTACCGGTGCGTGGCACTCCTCAAAGACGCAGACGGAGAGCGCCTGATTGGTGCTGGCGGCTGCTGACTCATCAAAGTCTTCTGACGTGACCTCGGATGGCTTGGGGTTGAAAGCAACGCTCCAGAGAATCCCGAGGAACCCGAAGATGTAAAACATCGACTCCCACCCCAGATGCTCTATCAGCACTGGTGCTGCTAGCAGGCTGTAGGAGTGCGGTTGGGAAGGCGGCAAGAAGAGGGAGCATGGAGAGAAATGAGGAGAGTAGGGGATGAAAACAAACAGGAGCCCGGAGATGTAGAACAACATGTTTTGAGACGTCACAAAACAAATCCTCATACACGAAGATGTAGAACAACATGTTTTGAGTCGACTCAAAACATCCCAGATGCTCGATCAGCACTGGCGCTGGTGTGTTTTGAGTCGACTCAAAACATCCCAGATGCTCGATCAGCACTGGCGCTGGTGTGTTTTGAGTCGACTCAAAACATCCCAGATGCTCGATCAGCACTGGCGCTGGTGTGTTTTGAGTCGACTCAAAACATCCCAGATGCTCGATCAGCACTGGCGCTGGTGTGTTTTGAGTCGACTCAAAACATCCCAGATGCTCGATCAGCACTGGCGCTGGTGTGTTTTGAGTCGACTCAAAACATCCCAGATGCTCGATCAGCACTGGCGCTGGTGTGTTTTGAGTCGACTCAAAACATCCCAGCTGCTCGATCAGCACTGGCGCTGGTGTGTTTTGAGTCGACTCAAAACATCCCAGCTGCTCGATCAGCACAGCACTGGCGCTGCTAGCAGGCACGCTGTCGAGAACGAGAGGCAAGGGGGAAGAGAGAAAGCGGAAGGGGAAAGGGGGAAGGGGGAAGGGGGAAGGGGGAGGGGGGAAGGGGGAAGGGGGAAGAGTGGGGTGGGAAAAGGGGGCCCGAAGATGTAGAACATGGACAGTCTGTGGGGGACATTGGGGAGAGGAGGCGAGCCAGGGGAAGAAAGAGGGTGAGGGAGGGTGGCTGAAGATGTTAAACAGCTCTTACCCCAGATGCTCTATCAGCACAGGCGTTGCCAGCAGCATGCGTCAACTTTTGAGACGTCTCAAAAGTACCCCGGATGCTCTATCAGCACTGGCGTTGCTAGCAGCATGTGTCACTCCCGCCCCCCCACCCCTTGCCTCCCCGCCCTAATCCCACCATGCTTCCCACTCGTGACTCATTGAAGAAAACGCAAAGCCCACACTCTAAATGCACCGCCCCTCACTGTCTTCTTCTCAACCCACTCAACCCCTGCCTTTCCTCAACCCATGTTCGCCTCTACCCGCTCACCCCTCGCCGTTCCCCCTTCCCCCCACCACGTGCCTTTCCCCCTCCCCCCCACCCCTCCCCACACTCACCCCACCACGCCTCCCACGTTGAACCCGTTGAACACAAACGCAATGCCACGCGCGCGCTCTTCTGCTGGCATGGACCTGCGGAGACACGAAAGTGGGATGGGCGAAAAAGGAGGAGGATGGGTGGACGGACAGGATGCAATGCCGTGCAGGCACTCCTTTGCATAAAAGGATGTGAGCCCACAGTTAAGGCGTTGGATGGAAGGGAGAAAAACCAGACGAGGATGAGGCGGAGAGCTTAGGATGGGGGGGACAGGAGTACGGACGAGTCCAGGGTGTGGAGCGGTGCAGTGCGGTCACAGCTCGGTTCTCACCTGGCGACGATGTCAGTAGCTGCTGGCGGAGCAACGCCCTCCCCGAATCCAACCTGCTCGCAGCAGACAGCAACGGACCAAGGGCGCAGCGGACCAGCGGACCAGCGGAGCAGCAAACGTTTAGGGCGATAGTGAGGAGAGAGGATGGTTACACGGAGACTGGCGAGAGTTTGAGTAGCAGATGGGATGGTAACAGGAGCAGGCGGAAATCGAAGGGGAATAGCTACTGACTAGAAACGGGAGGGGGAGGGAGAGTGGGAGGGAGCCAAGGGTGAGGTAAGTGGAAGGAGGAGAGTGATGAGGAGGACTTGAAGGAGGGTGGGCGAGGAGGAGGGAGAGAAGCCATCGAAAGTGGGCGTTCGTGGACTTACGGCAACACGTGAGAAGAGGAGGGAGGGGAGGAAGGCGGCAGCCGAGGGGATGGCAGCAGTGGCGATGGACCAGATGAGCACGCCCGCGCGCAGCATGCGCCTGCGATGGGTTGGTTGGGGATTGAGATAGGTGTAAGGCGGTGACAAGGATGGCAGCAGTGGCGATGGACCAGATGAGCACTCCCGCTCGCAGCATGCGCCTGGGAGGGGTTGGCGCGGCACGGGGATGCGGCCAAGGGGAGATATTGGCATGGGGATGTCAACATTGGGATGATTGTAGGGCGGCAACAAGACAACGAAAAAACGTCAGCCGGGGCGTTAAACCAGATGAGCCGCTTGCTCCTAGTGTGCGACTGGCATGGGTTGGTGCGGCATGGGGATGGGGATGTGGCATTGAATTAGTTCACTGGGATGGGGGCCTGTTGTGAGGCGCGATGAGGCAACGAAGGGATTGCAGACGGAGCGACGGAAGTGACGAGCAGCCCGCATGCGATTGCGATGGGCCGCAAACACGAGCTGGCAACCAATAAAAATTTCCAAGGTGTTACAAGTACGCACGTGCCGGTAAACTTTTGGCAGAGCCAGCCGGCGGGCAGCAGCGAGAGCGCATAACCCCAGTAGAAGGACGACTGCACCACGCCCACCGTCGTGGCGGACCAGCCGAATTCGTGCGCCATCGGGATAATCGCTATGCTCAGATTCACCTGCGCGCACGCGGCGAGAGGGATTGGGGGAGGAGGGGTGGAAGGAGAGAAAGGTCGCGAGGTGAGAGGGGCGACCAGCAGAGAGCGAGGCGAAAGGAGCGTGGTGACAGGGGCGAGCAGCAGGGAGCGAGGCGAAAGGAACGTGGTGGCAGGGGCGAGCAGCAGGGAGCGAGGCGAAAGAAGCGTGGTGACAGGGGCGAGCAGCAGGGGGCGAGGCGAAAGGAGCGTGGTGACAGGGGCGAGCAGCAGGGAGCGAGGCGAAAGGAGCGTGGTGACAGGGGCGAGCAGCAGGGAGCGAGGTGAAAGGAACGCGTTGCACAAGGAGAGGTAAGAAACAATGTCATGTCCTGCGGGAAGTGAGAAAATATCACCGTAGAAGTGATGCAGAGGAAGGGGCGAGAAGAAAGAAATACCTTATCCATGTTGCAGAGAACGAACGCCAGCGACGTACTAAAGATGACCCAGTACCGATCCGGCATGTCTTTAAGCGCTACTCTCAGCCGACCTAACGCCGATAAAGCCGCTTCCGCATCGTCCCCGCCCGCTTCCAGCCTCCCTTGCAGCTCCTCCCCCACCGCTCCAACTGCTGGTATGGTCGTCGCGCCGTTCGTCTGCCGACTCGTTTCGCGAGATGCAGGAGTGAAGCTCCCCGCCAATTCGCCTTCCGCAGGGGTCGTCACGGCGGCCGAGGCGACTCGCTGACGCTGCTTCGACAGAGGAACGAGGCCGATCGGCCGAGTCTTAATGTCGTCGGGCTGCGTTCCCGGAGGCGACGCGGAATTCGCGTTATTCTGCGACGACGCTCTGCAAGGGGCCGGAAAGGAAGTCCTAGGCGACGCGAACGTACGTTGAATGTAGCCGCGGTGAGCTTGAGCCGACGACGTTAAACAGAAGCCGTCCCCGAGTCCCAACACCTGGTAGCCATTAAGTGCTCCCGTCCGTCTTAGGCGAGAGGCGGGTGGAAGGCTTTGGGACTTTTCTGAGGTCGGGAGTCTATGTGAGGTCTCCAAGGTCGGGATCCCCGGTAATTGACACGCCATTTTGCGGCAATTCAAGCGCGCTGGTCGATTGATTTGCACTTGAAAAATCGCGGTGGAGTCTTACGCTAGCCTGTCACCATAACCAACTGGGCCCCAGGCGGGAAATGCACAAGCTAGCGTGCAGGCGATGCTTATTCGAATAAAGCGGCTAAATGAGCGGCGAATTGGCTGACAAGGACCTGTGGCTCTGGAGCCGCTCCACGAGCTGTCAGCAGCAATAGCTTACTCAGCGTGATAGTCTTGGTTCACCTTTCCTTGTATTTACCAGGAATGGTGGCTGGTGTCGCTCTGAGTTTGCTAGAGCTGACGGCTTCTGACAAACTAACGCGCGTCACGGAGAGTGAGTAGAGCACAAGCTCGTGATAGGCACGAAAGCTTTAGTGAAGCAAAGAGAGAGTATGAGGCTCAGATGGAGACTAAAACATAAAAAGCTGAACCTGAAGAAGTCCCGCCCGGGAGGGAGGGTGACCTTGTGGTACTGTACATGGGTGGGTGAGTGGTCGGAGTTGAACTGTGAGTCATCCCTCGAGATTGACCACAGGGAAGGCCAGGGCAGGCGTGTGAGAAAAAGGTGTCCGGTGTGCGATTTGACGAAAACATGCACGAGCGATTACCCGCTGATGTGTAACATGCTTGCAGTACTTTATTGGCTCAACTCGCTGTCACGACGGAGATTGCGGTTCCTAGCGAATTTCGCCGACCCGATTGTTCTTGCTGTGGCTCAGAAAGCAAGCAAAGGGGTGCTGCCCGCAAACGAGCAATGTCCACGTGCATCCAGCAGAAGCGCGCCAACTGTGTGAATCAAGGAACTCGAGGCCGATGACGACCAATCCCCTATCGGTGTTTAGGGATATGCTGCCCGTGGTCTGTCCGCGCTTCACGGGCAAATGGAAGCAATGGCATTCCAGTGCGCTCCGGAGAACAGTCGGTCCATGCTATGCCCCATGGCAGAATTGAGGTCTTCATTTATGAGCCGATTCGTTAACCTGAAAACACTCGAAAGCTCGCTTCCTTGTTACAAACAAACAGAGGAAGGTAAGACCTTGGGAATTGAATTTTTGAATTTCCCGCCACTGCAAGCAGGTTCGCACACCACTTGCAACACGCTTCCAAGCCTCCAACGGTCATTTTCTGCTTCCAACTCCAAGGTCTCGAATCCTGAAGTTCATTACCGTGGCTCACTAATCAGGCCCCTGAGATTGCCTCAACCTGTACTTACTTTCTGTATTAGCATTATGTTCGTGTAAATACGCGCCTCTAAATGTTCGAAGCAGTCTCATCGCTTTCATAACGTGATAAGGACGCAACAAGTCTGATCGATAGGTGCCGTCGTAGAAGGGCGCAATAGTTCCGGCGTAAAAGATCAAGCTAGTTTCCAACCACTCTACGAGCCATGCCGGTGTACAAAATATGTTCAATACCCGTGTCGTTTCCATACGAGGCATATGACTGCCAGATTGTGTACATGACTAAAGTCATGCAGTCACTCCTTCAGGTGCGAAAGCCTCCATTCTCCTCCTCTGCTTTTCTCCTCCGCGTTTCGCGTTTCATTGCATGCGTCCGAGATCCTCGGCCATGCTGAGCGAGCGTCAAAGCCACGACCATTCTGTTGCATACCGTCTCTGTCAAGACCGCCGTTACCTTGCCTTACCGTCTCTTTCGAAGCCGGTTCTCTTTGCGTTAGCGTCTCTTCCCGAGCCCATTTTTAAACCCATCCATCGCCTCGACGCCCGCACCGCTCCCTCGTGGCCCGCAACCTTTGCTCCCTCCCGTCCTTCGCATTATTCCTTGTCATCGCGCCGCCTCTCCCGCGAGCTCTTTCTTTCGACTGCGGAGGAAGACGCTTCCGCATACTGTGTGCCTCGTCACTAGCGCAACTCGTCAACCTGTAGTATTCTAATCGTTGAAAAATGCCCGAATTTTCCGGTGCAGGGGGGAAACGGACTGCTGGAATCGCCGACGGGGACGGGGAAGACGCTTTGCCTGCTCTGCGCGTCCTTGGCGTGGCAGGCGAGCCTCATCCGCGCAAAGAAGCGCCGGGATGCGCAGCAGCGGAAAGCCGTGCGCGAGGGGCGGGGAACGGTGCGCCAACCGAGCCAGGGGGCGGAAGACGGGGGTTACGAAGCAGTACGCATGTCGCAGGGGTCGCACGAATCGTCGCAGGGTTCGCAGGGGATGGGGTCCCAGGGGATGGGGATGCAGCAAGGAGCCGCGGGGATGGGAGGTTGCGAACGTGGGGGAAGCCAGAAAGGGGGAATCGGGGGAAGCCAGAACGGCTTGCCAGGGGGAACTGGCGGAGTAGCAGCGGGGGAAGAGGGGTTGGGCGGAGAAGAAGAGGAGCGCATTCCCACGATTATCTATGCGTCGCGCACACATGCGCAGCTGCAGCAAGTGGTGCGAGAGCTGAAAGCGACCACGTACCGGTGAGTGCAAAGGGAGAAGGCACGCAACTAGTCGGTGTTCCAGCTCCTCTCCTTGCCTTACTCCCAAGCAGGCCGCGCATGTGCATTCTGGGGTCGAGGAAGCACACGTGCGTGCGCAGGAAGGTGGGTAAGTTGAAAGGCAAGGTGCAAAACCACGCGTGCTCTGCTGCCGCCTGGGCATTTCCCAACCTCTTTTTGGTCTCCACTCGCCTTCACATTCTCCCAACCAGGCCGCGCATGTGCATTCTGGGTTCAAGGGAGCACACGTGCGTGCACAGGAAGGTGTCCAAGCTGAAGGGCAAGGCGCAGAACCACACATGCAGACAGCTGGTCAAACGCCGCAAGTGCCATCACAACCTCATGGCCGCAGGTCAGGCTGTTGCTTTGTGAAGTGCCTTGGAAATCGTGTCAAACCGCACAAGTGCCATCACAACCTCATGGGAGCACGTCAGGCGAGGCTGCTGCAACCACAAGGTTAAGACTTCCACCTTCCTTCTGTCTTGTCTTGCTCTTAACCACCCCTTAATTTTCCCCCTTCCTCTGCCTTTCTGTTCTCCTCCCCTCCCTCGTCTTTCCCTTCTCTCTGCTTCACATTCTTCTGCTTCCTCTTTTTGTCTCTCCTAGCCCCCCAACGTTTGAGTCGACTCAAAAACCTAGCCCCCCAACGTTTGAGTCGACTCAAAAACCTAGCCCCCCAACGTTTGAGTCGACTCAAAAACCTAGCCCCCCAACGTTTGAGTCGACTCAAAAACCTAGCCCCCCAACGTTTGAGTCGACTCAAAAACCTAGCCCCCCAACGTTTGAGTCGACTCAAAAACCTAGCCCCCCAACGTTTCAGAATGACACGAGCTGAAAGCCACGCTGTACCTCCCCGCTCTTGTTGCATGCCCACTATTCTCCCTTTCCTCTCCGTCACTTTCCAGACCATCTATGAACGAACCCACACAAGCCATTTGAACCCTACAGCTCCTCTTCTTCCCCACTTCTCACTTTAGAGCTCTACGGTATCTATCCGACCCTAACGTTTCCTCGCCTCTCCCCCCAGACTATGTAAGGATGAACCCACAGAAGGCATCAGAGCCGCATGACATTGAAGACCTGGTCAAGCTGGGGCAGATGGAAGGACCGTGAGTCTTATTCCCTCCCACCTCTCCCCAGCCATGCTCTTCCTTTCTCGCCACAGACACTACAAACCGTGTCTCAGCAGCTATCAGAATGCATCTGCAGGTGTTCTTTACATCCTGTAAGAAAACGTCTCCCACCCTTTGGCTCCACGCTGTTCCTTTCTTGCCACACACCAATGGTGTCTCAGCTTGTCCAGGTGTAGATTGGTGGAATTTTTTCCAGGCCTCAACTTCTCCTGAAAAAATGTCGTATTTTCTTGTTGAGGACCTTACTGTCACTTGCTTTACCTCTCCCCGTCGATGCCCCTTCCGTGCCTATGGCACTCCGCATCCATCCCTGCCGTTTGGCCCTGCAGCTGCCCCTACTACGTCTCACGAGGCTTCCTGGAAAAAGCGGAGATCATCTTCATGCCTTACAACTACGTGTTGGACCAGGATTACCGCAAAAACCTCAAAGTGCTCGAGATGAAAGGAGCTGTACTCATCTTTGACGAGGCACACAACCTGGTGAGTTTTCTTGCCCTGGTTGCTGCCTAACCATTCCACATGGCTCACGAGAAAGCCTCTAAGTGCTTGAGATGAAAGGAGCTGTACTCATAATCTACGAGGCGCACAACCTGGTGGGTTCTCTTCCTCCTCCTCCCAACCCCCACCCCCCGGCCCCCCTCCTTTTCCCCCACTTCAATGGCTCTCCCCTCCTTTTCCCCCACTTCAATGGCTATCCCCTCCTTTTCCCCCACTTCAATGGCTATCCCCTCCTTTTCCCCCACTTCAATGGCTATCCCCTCCTTTTCCCCCACTTCAATGGCTATCCCCTCCTTTTCCCCCACTTCAATGGCTATCCCCTCCTTTTCCCCCACTTCAATGGCTATCCCCTCCTTTTCCCCCACTTCAATGGCTATCCCCTCCTTTTCCCCCACTTCAATGGCTATCCCCTCCTTTTCCCCCACTTCAATGGCTATCCCCTCCTTTTCCCCCACTTCAATGGCTATCCCCTCCTTTTCCCCCACTTCAATGGCTATCCCCTCCTTTTCCCCCACTTCAATGGCTCTCCCCTCCTTTTCCCCCACTTCAATGGCTATCCCCTCCCTAACACATGCGAGGAGCTGTGCTCATGCCGCCATTGCCATCACCCACCTTCCCTTCACCTCCTCTCGATCTCCCCTCCTTCCTTTTTCTCTTACCCGTGTCCTCCCAGGAACGCCTGCTAGCAGATCAGGCCTCTGTGCAGCTCTCCACGTCACTCCTCTCCGCCTGTGCAGCCGAAGCCGCCAAATGCGCCGCCATTGCCACTGCCCGCCTTGCCTTTCCACCCTCCAGCAGCCAGTACTCGGAGGGGGGTGATGGGGGAATGGGTGGCGGTGGCAAAGGGGGACGGGGAGGAAGAGGGGGCAGAGGAGGCGGGAGGGGAGGGGGAAGAGGAAAGGACGTGATGGTGGGGGGGATTGGTTATGGGAATGGTGGAGGAGGAAGAGGAGGAGGAAGAGGAGGAGGAGAAGGGGGAGGGGTGATGGGGGAAGTGCAGCCGGACACATTCAGCATCCTGCAGGGGCTGCTGCTGGCCATGGAGAGAAAGCTCCTTGACTTCCCCATGCACAGCTTTGTCCATGGCTTTGCTGTTGCTGCCCGCACTGCTCCTGGCGCTGCCGGTGCTGCTGCTGCTGCTGCAGCTGCTGCTGCTTCTGGTGCTGTTGGTGCTGGTGCTGCCTCTGGTGGTGCTGCTGCTGCAGGGGGCATGGGTGCTGGAGCAGGGGGCGCGGGGAGTGGAGGCGAGTGGAAGAAAGGGAAATTGGTGGGGGGAGGCGAGGAGGTGGGGGTGGCGTTTCCAGGAAGCTACATCTACGAGTTCCTGGCACAGCTCAACATCAATCATGTGACCGTGATGTCCCTGTTCGCCACTGTACAGCATGCATTGCTGCTTCTCACTGATGGTGCGTGATGGCTTCTGGCATTCTCAAATGTCTTATGGGACATCTCAACATGCGTTCTCAGGGAGTTACATCTACGAGTTTCTGGCACAGCTCAACATCAATCATGTCACCGTGATGTCCCTGTTTGCCACAGTACAGGATGCATTGCTGCTTCTCACTGATGGTACGTGATGGCTTCTGGCATTCTCAAATGTCTTATGGGACATCTCAACATGCGTTCTCAGGGAGTTACATCTACGAGTTCCTGGCACAGCTCAACATTAAACATGTCACCATGATGTCCCTGTGTGCTACTGTACAGCATGCGCTGCTGCTTCTCACCGATGGTGCGTGTGTGTCGTACTACCTGAGGTGTGCCCCGATCAGGTTACCAGCTCTCAGGCCACCCATTCTGCACCGTGTCAAAACGAGATATCCCTAATGTAACACAGGCACATGTGACCAATCGCGTGCACACGCCGGCAGAAGCTCTTTCCTCCAGTCGACGTATCCTTTCTTCCTTCCTCCGCTCGTTGCTGCCTCTTCCCCACTCTCCGCTCTCCACTCTCCGCTCCCCACTCTCCGCTCTCCACTCTCTGCTCTCCACTCTATTGGTGCGACTTTCGGCAGATGCTGCAGCGTTGTCACCAGGCGAAGCAGAGGCAGGTGGAGCAGCAGAGGCAGGCGGGGAGCAGGGGAATGCGGGCACGGAGGGAGGAGGGGCGTCAGGGCGAGGAGCAGGGAACCCGGCCATGTCGTTCCGCCTGGAGCAGCTGTGGGCAGCGCTGCAGCTCATCTTCCCGCCCACTGGACCCACCTCCCACGCCAGTTCCTTCAAGGTGCTGCGTTGAGCTAAGCCGAAAAGTAGCATGATGCAACCCTCCTTAGTTTACTCAAAGTATGAGTCGATTAAAGAACCTTGACTATTGAGTTCATTCCGAGTCTAGAAAAAGAATCGAAGGTGATTCGTGCAATGCACTCCTCTGTGAAGTCCACACCCGAGTTTTGAGACGTCTCAAAACTCGCTCACTTGAGTGCGTGCGATGCACTCCTCCATGGAGTCCACACCACAGCAGATTCGTGTGTGCGATGCCCACAGTGGTTCAGTTCAGAGGCTCGACTGGTGGTGCTTCGACCACAGCCATTTCGCTCTCCACCACATGTCATGCTCCCACCCCCCCCCTCCCCCCCCCCTCCACACAGGTGTGCATAACAGAGCGCAAGGTGAAGGCAAGGAGAAACGCGTCAGTGGCTGCCCCCTCGGTGGTTCGAACGCTCAACTGGTGGTGCTTCGACCCGGGCCTCGTGATGCAGCAGATCAGAATGCTGGGGGTGCGATCCATGCTGCTCACCAGTGGCACCCTCTCGCCCCTGCAGCCCTACGCTTCAGAGCTAAGAGTGTGAGTGTAGGGGAGGTGCAGCACGAGGTTTCACCTTGTAATATCCAAGTGGAGCGTTAGGTTCAGGCCTCGTGATGCAGCAGGTCAGAATGCTGGGGTTGCGTGCGATCCATGCTGCTCTCCAGTGGCACGCTCTCGCCCCTACCGCCCTTCGCTTCTGAGCTCCGAGTGTGAGTGTGTGGAGGGTGATGCAGTCCATTGTACACTCCCATTGTGAAACACCCCACACCCTCCCCCAACCCCTTCCCCACTTCCCGCCCGCACCCATCCCCACCATTAATGAACAGGCCTTTCCAGCAGCAGCTGGAGAACCGGCATGTGATAAGCCAGGAGCAGGTGTGGGCGGGTGTGCTGCCGGTGGGGCTACTGATAGCAACACCACACGATATCCCACTCTATTCTTCCTCCACAACCTCTCCGTTTTAAGCAGGCCCTCTCAGCAGCTGGAGAACAAGCGTGTGATCAGCCAGGAGCAGGTGTTGCCAGCTGGTAGGAACACTATATCACCCCCCCCCCCCCCACCCTTTCTGACCCTTCTTCCTAATCCCCCATCAATTCACAGGCCCTTTCAGCAGCAGCTGGAGAACAGCCACGTGATCACACAGGAGCAGGTGTGGGCGGGAGTGTTACCTGTGGGGCCATCAGGGGTGGTCCTCAACTCGGGCTTTAAGACGCGCTCCCAACACGATTACCTGAACGACATGGGCTCTGCTATAGGTGTGCTTTCTTTTATGTGCGCTTTGTTACAAGCGTGTGTCGTGAATCTAAAAGAATAATTTGCTTTGCTTTAGGTGTGAATCGTTACATTTAGGCTATTGGTTCGTCTCATTATAGGTGAGCCTAGTTATAGGTGTGCACTGCATAGTGTGCTTCGTCAGAACAGTGATTTGCTATAAGCATGCTCACCCTTCCCCTTCCCCTTCCCTTTCACCCTCCCTTTCTCTCCTTCTCCTTCCCCCTCCCCTTCCCTGTCTGTACTGCCCGCAGTCAACATATGCCGCATCGTCCCGGGCGGCGTGCTTGTCTTCTTCCCCTCCTACTCATGCATGGACTCGTCAATTCAGGCCTGGCAGCTGCCCGTACGTCTGCTCTCTTCACCTCCCTCACAGACCTTTATTGAACCCCTCCCTCAAACCTTTCTCACATCTCCGTCACACACCTCCCTTCACACTGCCCTCACACCTCTCCCATTCTGCCACAGCGGCATTAGCTGCAACCGTTTTCATCATGTTTCTCTCAAAAAAATATAAAACTCGCTGAGGATTCGCCTTCTTTACTGCCTTCTTCTACTACCCTCATGTTTCTTTCCAAAACCTTGGTAAAAGCACACCACTTATCCTCATCTGCCACTTATCCTTCCGCTACCAATCAACCATCAATAAACATATCGTCCTTCTCCTGCCTGGCATCCTATCATGGCACCTCTTTGCTTGTCCTTCCTTCATCACCTCCTTCCTACTCACGCACCCTGTATCCCTTTCGCTCCCTGCCGCCCAGCCTGCAGGGCGGCACAATTCGGCAGCATTATCGGTGTGGCAGCGCATTGGCTTGCAGAAGCAGGCAGTGGTGGAGCCACGGGATTCGGCACTGCTTGGTGAAGCCAGGGAGGTAGGTCTGATTAGGTACCATAGGCGTGCTGTGAGCATGAATGCATGTGCGCATCGGCATGCAGAAGCAGGCTGCTTCTGGCTGTGGTGGAGCCACGGGACTCGGCACTGCTTGGTGAAGCCAGGGAGGTAGGTTCTGCAAGAGAGGTGATTGTGCTTCATTAGGCCAGGAAGCAAGGTTCGGCGAGGTAGAAGCAAGCAGTGGTGGAGCCACGAGATTCGGCGCTGCTTGGCGAAGCCAGGGGAGGTAGGTCTGATGAGGGACAAGAACGTGTGCCTGAGAGTGGCAGCATAGGCGTGGCACGTGTGCCTTCATTGTATCATGTGACCATAGGCGTGCTGTGAGCATAAATGCATGTGAGCATCGGCATGCAGAAGCAGGCAGTGGTGCAGCCAAGGGACTCGGCGCTGCTGGTGCAGGCAAGAAGGTACATTTGATGAGGGCGAGAAACATCTTGTGCACTTGAGACGGGATGGGGCACGCGGCAGCGAGTGCTTGTGCATGGATCAAGAAACATTTTCTCACGTGTGTCCCCCTTCCCCACACCTCCTCATTGCAAGGAGCCCTTTGCCCCTTGTGTCTTTCCCTTTTACGCCTGTTCCTCACATCTGTGCCTTACGGCTCCTCACGCATTGGCACATTTTGTCCCCTGCTTTGCTCTCGCTGCCACAAGCCTCCTTATTCTTGTCCATTTGACCCTTTCCAACCCCTCTTCGCCCATCCCCGCCCATCAGGACTACGTGAGGAAGCTAGAGGAGGAGGGGTCAAAGGGGGCTGTGCTGTTTGCCGTGTGCAGGGGCAAGGTCAGTACATGCTTTTTTATACTGTTTCAGACCTTCCCAGACCCTTTCACAAGCTTTCGGGAATTCCGTTTTTAGACGTTTCCAGGAGAATGAAGATTGGAGCTCGTATTGTTGTGTGATTGCCATGTTCTTTAAAAAAGGAATCCATTACCAGCCGAACAGGGAATTTAAAGTCCACAACATGCATGCATGGCGTGTGTGTTGCTAATGTCAGCATGGATCTATGCATGCGTTCATGTCCTTTTGCGTCCATACATTTGTTCAGTCTGCGCAAATGCTTGAATTGCCGCATGCAACCCCTATTGTTCTGAGCAGGTGAGTGAGGGAATCGACTTTGCCGACCATCTGTCCCGTGCTGTCGTCATCACGGGCATCCCATATGCACAGCAACTCAGCCCGCAGGTCAGTCTTGCTGCGATTATTTTGACCGAATGTGCTTCGAGACCAGCCGTGTCTTGTGTGTTTGCATCAATTTTCTGGGTGCTTACCAAGTCCGCTTTTGAGTCGACCAGAAATCCCTTTGTTCGCTCTCATTGATAAATTTCCGGTCCTTGTTATGCAGTGAAAACAATATTTACACCATTTTCTTCTCTCCCTAAATCTATATCCCACAGTCAGGTGGAAAAGAGTACCTGGACGAGCGGGTCACGGCCCACCAGCACATTTTTTGTATCAAATGTTCTTTCCTCGTTTGTCTCTGTCTCTCTTGCTATCCCGCCACCAGGTGGTGCTGAAAAAAGAGTATGTCACAGGCCACCCCACCAGCACCACCTGTACCAGCCGAACCTCCCACCAGCACCATTATCAATCGGTGATCGTTTGTCTCTCTCGATTCAATCCCACCAGGTGGTGCTGAAGAAAGAGTATCTGGATGAGCGCGTCACGGCCCACCACCACCACCAGCAAACACTTCTCTTTCTTACGCCATACTTTCTCAAACGATCTTTCCATGTTTGTGTCTCTCGGCTCTATCCCACCAGGTGGTGCTAAAGAAGGAGTATCTGGATGAGCGCGTCACGGCCCACCAGCACCACCTGTACCAGCATCCAGATGTCTTTGCTTCCAACTCTGCTGCCATTGTAAGCACATGTTGCCATGTGACTATGTCACAACTCTAACAGCCAGCCTACCAGCACCACCCGTACCGACAGCGGCTTTTGCCTTAGTCTTCTTCCATCGTAAGCACGTCTCACCCCATGAGTATGTTGCAGGAGGTTAACCTGCTGGTTAGGTACGATCATCTTGTGGCTTCTCTGTAGCTGCCTAATGTTATCAACCACTGGGTCAACTGATTTACTCCTTCTTCGTCTGCCTCCACACCTCCTCTTCTGCCTCCTCTCCCTCCTCCTGCCTCCTCTCCCTCCTCTCCTGCCTCCTCTCCCTCCTCTTCTGCCTCCTATCCCTCCTCTTCTGCCTCCTATCCCTCATCTTCTGCCTCCTCTCCCTCATCTTCTGCCTCCTCTCCCTCATCTTCTGCCTCCCATCCATCCTATCGTTCCTCACCTGCCTCCTCTCCCTCCTCTTCTGCTCATCCTTCCTCGCCTGCCCCGCGCCACCACTTCCATCCCACCAGTCGCCAGTATCAGGAGCGCAGTGGTACACGCTCGACGCCATACGAGCCGTGAACCAAGCCGTGGGGCGAGTGATTCGCCACCGCCATGACTTTGGCTCCATCATCCTGCTGGACGAGAGGTGGGGCGAGGAGGGAGGGGAAAATATGGGGGAGGGAGAAGGGGGGGGTGTGTGATCGTGATGTTTTGCCACCGCCATGACTTTGGCCCCATCATCCTGCTGGACGAGAGGTGGGCGAGGGGGGAGGGGAGGGGGGAGTTGGGCTGGGTGACACGTGTTTGAAAGTGATTCGCCGCCGCCACGACTTTGGCTCGATTGTCCTGCTGGATGAGAGGTGGGCGTGAGGGAAGGGGATAGTTGGGCTGCATGAGATGTGTGTGAATGTGTTTACCATCTGCCTCTTCTGCTCCCATCTGCCCCCATCCTTGCCCATCTCTCCCATCTGTCCCCATCCTTGCCCATCTCCCCCATCTGTCCCCATCCTTTCCCATCTGCCCCATCTGCCCCATCACCCCCATGTTCTGCATGTCCCGCAAGTGCCCCATCAGGTTTGCAGAGCCCAAGCTCAAGGACCGCCTCTCCATGTTGATTTATCTTCCACATTTTTATCCATCTTCCCTGCGCACATCTCTCCCATCTGTCCCCATCGTCCCCCAATCAGGTTTGCAGAGCCCAAGCTCAAGGACCGTCTCTCCATGTGGATCCGCCCTGCTCTCAAGGTGGCTCCCCCTTCTCTCTTGCTTTCCCCTTCTGTCTTGCTTTCTCCTTCTGTCTTGCTTTCCCCTTCTGTCTTGCTTTCTCCTTCTGTCTTGCTTTCCCCTTCTGTCTTGCTTTCTCCTTCTGTCTTGCTTTCCCCTTCTGTCTTGCTTTCCCCTTCTGTCTTGCTTTCTCCTTCTGTCTTGCTTTCTCCTTCTGTCTTGCTTTCTCCTTCTGTCTTGCTTTCTCCTTCTGTCTTGCTTTCTCCTTCTGTCTTGCTTTCTCCTTCTGTCTTGCTTTCTCCTTCTGTCTTGCTTTCTCCTTCTGTCTTGCTTTCTCCTTCTGTCTTGCTTTCTCCTTCTGTCTTGCTTTCTCCTTCTGTCTTGCTTTCTCCTTCTGTCTTGCTTTCTCCTTCCCTCTACGCCTCTGCCACCTGATTCTTTGACCGTATGTGCTGCCCTTCCCCCCTCTTCACCTCGTTCGCTCTCTATGTGCTCCTCTCACTCCCGTTTCAGCATTGTCGACTTCTCGCCCGTGTTCCAACGCAAGTGCCCTTTCGGTCCAAACCACCCCCTCCTCCCCACCAACCATCAGGTCTACAGTGGGTTCGGCGAGGCGGCCTTCTCCCTCACCAAGTTCTTCTGCAACCAACCCAACGAAACCCACCCCATCCGCGGCCTTCCAGTCCTAACTACCCCCGAATTCCCCTCTCTTTTCCCTCCATCATCAGGTCTACACTGGGTTCGGCGAGGCGGCATTCTCCCTCACCAAGTTCTTCCGCAGCCAGCCCAATGGAGCCTGCCCCAAGCCCGCCTGCCCAGACCCCACCGCCCCAAGCCCCACCCGTTCGCCCACCCACATGCATCCTGCTGCTGCCACTGCTGCTGTCACTGCTGCTGCTGCTCCCACCACCGGCACGTGCCCCATGACCTCCAAGCATGCTGCAGAAGCTGCTGCTGCTGGTCTGCCAGGAATGGATGTTCTTCCCCCGTTTCCCTCCAGCCGGTCCCTGCTAGACACAGGTAGGTTGCTCCGAGGCAAGCCCAGCAGTACCCTGCAGTACCTAGCAGGATCGAAAAACGTGTAGCAAGGTTGAGCACGTGCATTGCGACTGAGCCACGAGCTGCGGGCAGTGGGCAGAGGGCAGAGGGCATCCACCATTTACAGCTAGCTTCCTCATGCCTCTGTTCCCTGCTTTCAAAAGATGCCCGCGTGTAGTGAGTCGGTTTTTGAGTCGACTCAAAAACCGACTCATTTACAGCTAGCTTCCTCATGCCTCTGTTCCCTGCTTTCAAAAGATGCCACGGTTTCTCCCATATTATCTCATCTGCTGCACTCATCCACCCACCCCCAATGCGCCAGACCCCTTGCTGGTGCCAGCTGCCAATGAGGTGTCGGCAGCAAGGCGGCAGGGAGCGGGCACGAGGGGGAAAGAGAGCAGTGGCGATGGGAACGAGGTTGCTGGCAGAGACAGAAATGGTGCAGGAGGCGTTGACAGGAGTCAGGCGGGTGGAGAGGTGAAGCTTGAGGGTCGCACGGCAGGGAAGGTGCGTGGAGGGGAATAAGCATTATAGGGGTGAGTGTGGTATGGCTTTTATGCATACTCGTATGAGTTTGCAGATTACGCCCTTCAGTAATGTGTGTGTGGTAAGGTAGTGGGGGTGCCACTCACACTCTGTGTGTAGGGTTAAGCCAGATACTGTGTTTTGGTCAATGCGCTCATATCTGGATTCGACTCAGCACTTTTGAGGTGTGTTCTGAACGACTCAAAACACGCCCATAAAGCTAATCACTGGGCGTGAGTCAAGGCACTGATATCCGGATGTGACTCAGCACTCTTGACTGTAGGTCGAGTGACTTGAGCAGACATGTGTGTGTCTTCGCAGGTCGATGGCTCGCTTTGAAATTGCTGCAGAGGGTGTCACTATCCTCTTGACTTTCAACAAGGTGACTTTTGAGTAGACTTTTGAGTAGACTTTTGAGTCGACTTTTGAGTCGACTTTTGAGTAGACTTTTGAGTGGACTTTTGAGTAGACTTTTGAGTCGACTTTTGAGTCGACTTTTGAGTAGACTTTTGAGTCGACTTTTGAGTAGACTTTTGAGTCGACTCAAAAGTCACCTCGCAAAGGGTGTCAATATCCTCTTGACGTGCAACGATTATCCTTTGTTCTGAGACGTCCCAAGCAATCTGCTTTTTCTCTGCATATTCCTCCTTGCCTCCTCCCTTTTCACTCCTCCAACTTATCCATTTTCCCGCCCCTATCCGTATCCTATGTGTGCCCGTCTCTCACAACAGAACTCGCGAGTGCCGTCTCTCTTCTCCCCCACCATTCCCCGCCTGCCTGTAACCTCCACCTCCTCCCTTCTCGCTGCTGCTCGTGCCCACGTGAGCACACACCAGCCTGCACCCAATGCAAATGTATCAGCTAATCTTGAGACATCTCAAGTGCGGCAGCAAAAAGCATCCAAGCAGCATGAGTCAAGCGCACTACTAGCAGCACCCCTGAGACCACAAGCACCCAGCACTCAACACCTACCAGCGACCCAGCAAGAACCAGCCACGCCACCCCAACCAGCCTGCAAAGCTTATTCCACCACCATACGAAAGTCAACCACGAAATGTGTCTCCCCTGCCTCTCCCACCATCGAATTGACTCAAGACTGCGCGTCACCCGAGCCTGTTGCTTCTCCTCCCTGCTGCTCCCCTCCCGCGTCCCCTCCTCTCCCGTCTGCTACGAATGGTGTCTCCCCTGCCTCTCCCGTCATTGACTTGACTCAAGACTGTGACCCACCCGACCCTGCTGCTGCTGCTCCTCCCTGCTGCTCCCCGCCTGTGCCCTCTGCTTTGCCTCCCGCTGATCCCCCTGAGGCCGATAAAGAGAGGAGAGGGACAGGGCGGGCGGGGGGGAAGAGGAGGCGGGATGTGGAAGAAGCTTTGCAGGATGGACGGGTGGAGGATAGAAGTGGAATGGGAAGGAGAGGAGCAGAGGGGGCAAAAGGTGACGATGCAGAGAGGCGGATGGAGGGTGGAGATGCAGCAATGAGGATTGGAGATGTTGAGATGAGGATGAACGGTACAGATTCAGAGAGGAAGATAAAGGGTGGAGATGCAGGGAAGAGAAAGGCGAGCGGGGAAGGAAGACAGTGGAGCGAGCAGCAAACTGAAGCAGACATAGGACTAGCAGGCGCAGGAGAAGCAGGGAGAGGAGCAGCACTGGGCGATGGGGATTGCCTGAGAGACCCCAGCGGTTGTGGCAGCGGGGGTGCACCACCTCGGACCGGAGATGAAACTGCACCAATGGGGCAGCAGCGGGGCAGCAGAGGAGCCTCTCAGAAGGAAGAATCCTCGGCAGGCCCACGGGGTGAATGTCTAGCACCAGAGGGCCCCCTCAGGAGCAGAGGAGTAGCAAGCTGCCAGGGGGGCGGTGCAGGGAGCAGAAGAGCAGCAGCTTTGCAAGGGAATGGTGCAGGGAGTCTTGCCACCAGGGACGGGAACGGTGCAAAAAAAAGCCTTGCTGCGAAGGAGGAGGAGAACAGGCGGGCACGCGAGTACCTGAGTGTGGTGCAAACTTCCCTGCCACCGCCGGACTTCCAAACATTCCTCTGCCTGCTCCGTGAGTTTCGAAAAAGCCGAGCACAGGTTCGGCAGCCCCCAAACCAGCAGCAGCAGCAGCCCGTCTTTTCCTCTGCTTCTCAGCCAGCAGCAGCGGTGCCAGTGGGCGTTGGAGCGGTGGTGAGCGGTGGTGCAGTGTTGGCTACTCGCTCAGACCTGCTGCATTCACTGGCGTCACTCTTCGCAGCCTCCAACCAGCTCCCTCTGCTCGCAGGGTAGGTCGTTGCTTGCCTCTTCGTTTCGTTCATTTCTTGTCTTTCCAGCACAGCCCCTTTACGACCCTTTTTTCCGACTTTTGAGGCGCCTCAAAAGTCGTCCCTTCACAATCCTTTTTTCCGACTTTTCTGTTTTCCCCGTGTGTGTCATGTCAATCAGGAAAGACACTGTTTTCGTCCGTTTGATTCTTTTTCTTGACCCTGTTAACCTTGGGTCCTTCCCTACCCCCGTTTCACCACCCTGTAACTCTCACCTGTCACCACCAGTTTTGACTCCTTCCTCAGCAAGCAGGAGGACAAAGCTACACTCAAGGATTTGTTAGGAGAGACAGCTGGGTAACTTCCAGCGACGGTTTGTTTAACTGGAGTGTTGATCTTACCTGACCCGAGGCATTTTGATATCACAAATCCTTAGACGTCCCTAATGAATAAAAATCCCCATGCCGGGGGTTATAGCATGCTGTCTAGTAAACTAACAATCCATGTACATGACCGACATGGAGAATGATAAATGATGAAATATTATTTCATAGCATTTCCAATGCTCCATGGCAGGGTGCGAAATACTAGTGGCATACATGATGCGCACTAGCCAGAGGGTCAAATCATTGCGTTTTCTTCAACTCTGCACCCTCGTTTTCATTTGACTTACAATTCATGCTGGAACTGCCTTATGAATATCAATTGACGGACATCCAATTTCGAATGTTTTTTTAACGGTATGTCAAATATTGAGTGTTCATCCTTTCACGTTAGCGGATTCCGTATTTGAGGCCTATAAGAACAGAAATATGCATTCTCGACCAAATTCTGTATTTCTCAGGACTGCCGTCGCGTGTCGCCTCGCGCCTATCGTCTTCGTCGTCGTCGGGAACAGCAACAGCAACAAGGAGCAGCATTTCTCGTCATGGCGCCCTCGCTTTCCGTGGGGCTGGCAGGATTTTTCACAGCGTGCCTTCGCATCTCATGTTTCTGTTTCTTGATCCTCGCGCTTGCCGTTAGCACGGTTCGCGCCGCATCCCGTCCCTTCGGTTCAGTCTCCGCGGGGAATTTTGACAGCCACTTACGTTCTTCCACGTGGCAGCCGTCAGAGTTCTCGCTCCCGTCGCACGCGATTCGCTTGGGTGTGATTCTAGAAAGAGGTTCTTCTGGCGAAGTCACGTCCGTTAGAGTAACGAAAAGGAAAGCAGAAAGCCCATGGATCCAGAACGAGAAAGCGCGAGCGGAATCCGGGGAGGGCCGTGCGGAGCGCGGAGTAGACGGGGAACAGGAAGGGCAGAGGGGACCAGGGAACAGGGCGAAGAGGGAGCAGGGGGAACCGGGGGAGCAGGGGGGAGGGGAGCACGGAGAGCGGGAGGAATCTGGAGCGGCGGAATGCGCGTGGGGTATTTTCCAAGAGTCAATGCTACAAGTTGGGTGGCACTTCTTGTCCGTAGTGACCAACGCGAAGTGCTCCAGCAAGGATCAGGCGTTTGCAGCGGGATACGCGGAGGGACAGTTGACGTCACTCCCCATGCAGCAGCATTTCGTTAACGAGTTTGGCAAATTGAAGCGTTCTCCGCGCCTGCTGCAGTACCTGCAAACGAATCGCGCTTATATGGAGGATATGGTCGCTGCCGCCGAAGCTGGTGACGTGGCGAACGAGGATAGGACGTTCTGGTGGCAGGTGGGGGGGGGAAGGGAAGGGAAGTTGGGGGGCGAAGGTTGTGATATTGCCACACAGTCCTCTTGTGATATTAAAAAGTTCAAATCTTGCTTTTTAAGCACCTTATAATCACTCGCCTTCACACTTATCTTGTAGTGGCCAGGCCTATCCCACTTAACAACCTTAGATTGCATCGTGCTTCGCCTCCCTTCCATCCCTCCCCTCTCATCCCACGGTAGGTGGGTTTGGTGCTGGAGCAGGTGAGGGGCCTGCACATGGGCTTTAACGACGCTGTCACGCCTGAAGAGAGGCTGCAAGGTGGGGCGCACCCATGCATGCATTCATGCATCTATGCACCCATGAATGCATCCATGCATCTATGCACCCATGAATGCATCCATGCATCTATGCACCCATGAATGCATCCATGCATCTATGCACCCATGCATGCATTCATGCATCTATGCACCCATGAATGCATTCATGCATGCATCCATGCATCTATGCACCCATGAATGCATTCATGCATGCATCCTGCATCTATGCACCCATGCATGCATTCATGCATGCATCCATGCATCTATGCACCCATGAATGCATTCATGCATGCATCCTGCATCTATGCACCTATGCATGCATTCATGCATGCATCCATGCATCTATGCACCCATGAATGCATTCATGCATGCATCCATGCATCAATGCACCCATGAATGCATTCATGCATGCATCCATGCATCTATGCACCCATGCACGCATGCACCCTTGCACCCATGCATGGGCCTGTTGATTCAAGGACCTATTTGACCTCTGATCACATGCGCCCTCACCTCACCTTTGTTAGAATTGTGCTGAGGGCTTAACACTAACAACCTCATCATGCACATCTGCCCTCCAGTCTTCACGTGACCAGTTCACATCTTTTTCACTGTTTCATTTCCTTTCACTTCTCACTCCACGTCTTCCTGTCGCTCACCGCACTGCACTCCTTTCTACTGCTCACCACCGCCAGCCATTGACTTTGACATCATGAATCTGCACGGGGACATCCAGGATCTACAGTACGTACTCGATATAGCGCATGCTGCACACGCGGACCATGCCAGCACTGACGCGGATGGTGACAACAATGGAAGCAGGAGCGATGGGGCTGATGGGGGCAGCAATGGGGACAGCAAGGGGAGCGAGGGTGTGAAGGAACGACTTATGCTCGTCCTCCCAGATGCATGCTCTGCCATTATCAAGGTGAGCCTGTTTTTGCAGACTTATTCCCAAGCTTAAGAGCAGTTCGTTTCCAGCTTTTATGCGCGCGGTCGTTCTTCCAGGAAACAGTCTTCGTCTGCATGCATACATGCATGCCGTTTCTTCCCTACCCTACCCTACCCTACCCTACCCTACCCTACCCTACCCTATCCTACCCTACCCTACCCTACCCTACCCTACCCTACCCAACCCTACCCTTCCCTACCCTACCCTACCCTACCCTACCCTACCCTACCCTACCCTACCCTACCCTACCCTACCCTACCCTACCCTACCCTACCCTACCCAACCCTACCCTTCCCTACCGTACCCTTCAACCCACATGCTTGCTCTGCCCTGCATCCCCTATGCGCTGCCCTGCACCGCTGTGTCCCGCACTCCACCACACCAGCTACTGCCTGGCAACGCGGACCTGCTCACGGCTCAAGCCACGTGGACTCGCCTCGAGACCATGCTTCGCATCTACAAGTCAGTTTTCCCTCCCTTTTCCCCTTGCTCCCATGCCCCCCATGCTCCCATGCCCCCATGCCTGACCCCCCATGCCACCATCCCCCAAATGCCCCCCATGCCCCTTTGCTTCCCCCCATAGCCCCATTGTCCCCCTTGCCCTACCCTCCCATGCTTCCCATGCCGCCATGCTCACCATGCCGTTTCCCCCATGCCACCATGCCCCCATGCCCCCTACCCATCATGCCCCTCGTGCCAGCTATGCCCTCTGCCCCTCACCTTCTGCTGCTGCAAGGCCATGTTTCGCATCCACAAGTCAAGTCAGTTCGCCCTGTGGTTCCTTCGCCCTGTGGTTCCTTCGCCCTGTGGTTCCTTCTCCCTTGCTGCCGATATCGCTTCTCCCCTCCTCTCCCTCCTTTCCTTCGCTCTTCTCTCTTCGTATGCCCCCCTCCTTTCTCGTATGCCCCCCTCCTTTCTCGTATGCCCCCCTCCTTCCTCGTATGCCCCCCTCCTTTCTCGTATGCCCCCCTCCCTTCTCTCCCTTCTCACCTACCTCCACTGTTGCCCCCTCTACCCCCATCCTATATCGACTCCCACTCACCTCCCGTCCAGGATCTACGATTTCTCATTCCAGCTAAATCCACCAATCAACATCAACGCTGCTGCTGCTGCCACGTCAGCTGCTGACGTCATCCCAGGTCGTGCCATGTCGTTCGCCAGCTATCCCGGCCGTCTGTTTTCCGGCGACGATTTTTACATCACCAGTGCCAGGCTGGCAATTCAGGTAATCTATGGGGCGAGGGTGTTTTTGAGACGTCTCAAAAACACCCTCGCTACACCAGGCTGGCAATTCAGGTACTCTATGGGGTGCCACCAGGCTGGTATCGTGGGTAGTAGAGGCGGGGGGAATGGGGGAGGCAGGGAAAGAGGGGAGGCAGGGAGAAGGGGAAACACGTTTTTTTCCGACATCATTAGCCGAGAAGTGAGCAGCACACTTGCTCTGGTGACACGCTTTGTTCGCTTCTTCGGGTATGTATGAGTCCATTCATATGCTGCTGAGCAAGGCTAGCGCATGCTCCCTTAGATGTGTATGATTGACATGCAGCCACATGATGGGCATGAATATTTTTTCTGAGGCGTCTCAATAGTTGATGCATGCTCCTTGTGACCTTCATGACTGACATGCAGCCGTCTGTTGGGCATGTAGCCGTCTGATGGGCATGCAGCCGTCTGATGGGCATGCAGCCGTCTGATGGGCATGCAGCCGTCTGATGGGCATGCAGCCGTCTGATGGGCATGCAGCCGTCTGATGGGCATGCAGCCGTCTGATGGACGGACATGCAGCCGTCTGATGGGCATGCAGCCGTCTGATGGGCATGCAGCCGTCTGATGGGCATGCAGCCGTCTGATGGGCATGCAGCCGTCTGATGGGCATGCAGCCGTCTGATGGGCATGCAGCCGTCTGATGGGCATGCAGCCGTCTGATGGGTATGCAGCCGTCTGATGGGCATGCAGCCGTCTGATGGGCATGCAGCCGTCTGATGGACATGCAGCCATCTGATGGGCATGCAATCACAAACATCTAACAAACATCCGATCGCATATCTTTTTGGCACGTTGTGTCCCGACCTCCCACCTCCATTGGTCGCCACGTGTCACCAGGAGACCACCATAGGGAATAACAACGCTGAGCTGTACCGGCGCTACGTGCGGGCCAATGGCACGGTGAGTCGACTGCGGTGTGGTGATGCGTGAGAGGGGTCAATGGTGATGCGTGAGAGGGGTGAATGGTGATGCGTGAGAGGGGTCAATGGTGATGCGTGAGAGGGGTGAATGGTGATGCGTGAGAGGGGTGTGTGTGACAAAGGGGACAGTGGGTGGGTCAATGGGCGTTATAAGTGGTTCGTTTCTCATCCAATCAACACGCCATTTCATCATCCCAGGCCTGCCCAACACAAGCAACTAATTGGTTCTGTTTTTTTCTTCTTCTTCTTCTTCTTCTTCTTCTTCTTCTTCTTCTTCTTCTTCTTCTTCTTCTTCTTCTTCTTCTTCTTCTTCTTCTTCTTCTTCTTCTTCTTCTTCTTCTTCTTCTTCTTCTTCTTCTTCTTCTTCTTCTTCTTCTTCTTCTTCTTCTTCTTCTTCTTCTTCTTCTTCTTCTTCTTCTTCTTCTTCTTCTTCTTCTTCTTCTTCTTCTTCTTCTTCTTCTTCTTCTTCTTCTTCTTCTTCTTCTTCTTCTTCTTCTTCTTCTTCTTCTTCTTCTTCTTCTTCTTCTTCTTCTTCTTCTTCTTCTTCTTCTTCTTCTTCTTCTTCTTCTTCTTCTTCTTCTTCTTCTTCTTCTTCTTCTTCTTCTTCTTCTTCTTCTTCTTCTTCTTCTTCTTCTTCTTCTTCTTCTTCTTCTTCTTCTTCTTCTTCTTCTTCTTCTTCTTCTTCTTCTTCTTCTTCTTCTTCTTCTTCTTCTTCTTCTTCTTCTTCTCTTCTTCTTCTTCTTCTTCTTCTTCTTCTTCTTCTTCTTCTTCTTCTTCTTCTTCTTCTTCTTCTTCTTCTTCTTCTTCTTCTTCTTCTTCTTCTTCTTCTTCTTCTTCTTCTTCTTCTTCTTCTTCTTCTTCTTCTTCTTCTTCTTCTTCTTCTTCTTCTTCTTCTTCTTCTTCTTCTTCTTCTTCTTCTTCTTCTTCTTCTTCTTCTTCTTCTTCTTCTTCTTCTTCTTCTTCTTCTTCTTCTTCTTCTTCTTCTTCTTCTTCTTCTTCTTCTTCTTCTTCTTCTTCTTCTTCTTCTTCTTCTTCTTCTTCTTCTTCTTCCTTCCTTATTGTTGATCCCTCTCACTGTTCTTTTACTGTTCTCTTTCTCCCCCTCAACCCCTGCCTCTACGCTCTCTCTCCCTGCCCGCAGGTCTTGGAGTGGATTCGCAACGTGGTGGCCAACCGGGTGGCGAGCAGCGGGCGGCAATGGGTGGACGTATTCTCACGGCACAACAGCGGCACGTACAACAATCAGTGGATGGTGGTGGATTACAAGCTCTTCCTCCCAGGCCTACCTCCCCCGGATGACACCCTCTGGGTGCTTGAGCAGCTGCCAGGGTGGGTGTTATGTGGTTTGCATGGTGGGATGGGAAGGTGGTGTTGTATGAAATAGGTGTCATTTGGGGTGGGTTGTGTCGGGTGCAGCGCGTACAACAACCAATGGATGGTGGTGGATTACAAGCTCTTTCAACCAGGCCTACCTCCCCCGGATAACACCCCTGGGTGCTTGGGTAACTACCAGGGTTAGTGCTACATATGGGGTAGTTTGGGGTAGGTGTTATATGGGTAGGTGGTATATGGGATAGGCGTTATATGAGGCGTTATATATGGGGTAGGCGTGTTACATGGGGCTAGGTCATATGTGGCATGTGTGGGTAAGCTCTGGATGATTCTTTGAGGCGCCTACAATAATTCCCCCATGTTTGCCTGCGTCTCCCTTGTCCACTTGCTGCAGGCACATTGTTGTGCGAGGCGAGATATGAGCGCCCACCTGTGAGGGGAGATATGAGCGCCCACCTGTGAGGCGAGTTATGAGCGCCCACCTGTGAGGGGAGGGCTACTGGGCGTCAAACAACAACAACCCGGCCTTCCATCCTTCTCCCACCCCTTCTCCCACCCCTTCTCCCACCCCTTCTCCCACCCCTTCTCCCACCCCTTCTCCCACCCCTTCTCCCACCCCTTCTCCCACCCCTTCTCCCACCCCTTCTCCCACCCCTTCTCCCACCCCTTCTCCCACCCCTTCTCCCACCCCTTCTCCCACCCCTTCTCCCACCCCGTCTCCCACCCCTTCTCCCACCCCTTCTCCCACCCCGTCTTACCTGCAGGCACATTGTAGCGGAGGATATGAGCGCCCACCTGCGTGACGAGGGGTACTGGGCGTCGTACAACAACCCGGCCTTCCCCGCGATCTTCAACCTCAGTGGATTCGCCGATCTGGGTACGCGAATTAGAGTGGTCGGATGCACCCTTCATGCGCATGCGTCTCACCTGGTATGCCATGCCATGCCACACCATGCCACACCGTGCCACATCGTGCCACACTGTGCTGCACCATGCCACACCATGCCACACCATGCCACACAGTGCCGCACCATGCCACACCATTCCACACCGTTCCGCACCATGCCTACGCCATGCCCACACCATGCCACACTGTCCCGTACCATGCTATACCATGTTATGCCACACCATCCCACACCACACCACACCACACCGCACCGCACCCATCCATCAGAGCGGCGCCATGGCGCGTGGTTCTCCCACTCGCAGTGCCCGCGAGCCAAGCTGTTCCGCAGGGACCACGGCCAGGTGGGTCTTCACTGCACGAATCACGGTTCTGTGGGTGGGTGGGTGGGTGGGTGGGTGGGTGGGTGGGTGGGTGGGTGGGTGGGTGGGTGGGTGGGTGGGTGGGTGGGTGGGTGGGTGGGTGGTTGAGTGGGCAAGTGGACGGGCGGGCAGGTGGGCAAGTGGACGGGCCGGTAGGTGGGCAAGTGGGTGGGCGGGCGTGTGGGCAAGTGGGTGGGCGGGCGTGTGGGCAAGTGAGTGTGTGGGTGGGGCACCACAGAGCCACTCTTTATCTGTTTTTTAACAGTCTAAAGGTGTTCCGCTTTGACCAGCAGGGTGGGTGGTCTCTGTGCTTCCAAGAGCCCATGTATCATTGTGTTACTGTGCCAGTGTCACCAATTCAAGTGCCCATGGGTGCATGTACCCACCACACCACATGCCCCTGGTCACATGCCCCTGGTCACATGCCCCTGGTCACATGCCCCTGGTCACATGCCCCTGGTCACATGCCCCTGGTCACATGCCCCTGGTCACATGCCCCTGGTCACATGCCCCTGGTCACATGCCCCTGGTCACATGCCCTTGTAACCCTAGGCCCCTGTAACCCTAGGTCCCTGTAACCCTAGGTCCCTGTAACCCTAGGCCCCTGTAACCCTAGGTCCCTGTAACCCTAGGTCCCTGTAACCCTAGGTCCCTGTAACCCTAGGTCCCTGTAACCCTAGGCCCCTGTAACCCCGGGCCGCTGTAACCCATTGTGCCCATGCCCCTGTAACCCCATGCGCCCATCGCTGATGGCAGGTGGTGGGTGTGGCATCGCTGCAGCGCCTCATGCGATACAACGACTTCAAGCACGACCCGCTCTCCGCCTGCAAATGCACCCCGCCCTACTCTGCAGGCACGTTCCCTTTGCTTCACACCCCACCTTCCACTCTTAACTGCACCCGACCCTACTCTGCTAGCGCGTCCCTCTTGCCTTGCTCCCCACTTATATTTTGAGTCGACTGGTCGTTTGAATCACTCCCCTGCATTCATTCGCCTTCATTCCCATCCACCCTCACTAGCAAACATCGTTTTGGGATTCACACGAACCACTTTTTCCTTTTGTTGTACTTTCTCACCCTGCCCTTTTCCTGGCCAATCAGAGATTGCAATCGCCGCGCGTGGGGATTTGAACGAGGCGGATGGGCAGTACGAGTTGCCATTCCTGGGCCTCAGGGACCATGCAGAGACGGACTCCAAAATAACCGGGTAAGTCTACTATTTACCTTGACTTGCAAATATCAAATTACCAAATTCACGCACCCAATGTTACCGGGCAACTGTGCACGACCATGTTTCTTATGCGATGTCATGTTTTGAGACGTCTCAAAACACCAAATTCACGCACCCAATGTTACCGGGCAACTGTGCACGACCATGCTTCTTATGCGATGTCATCATCGCCAATCACCGTCACATCATCACCTTTGGTTGCCACATCATCGCCATGTCATAGCCATGTCATCACTATGCCATCACCATCTCACTCCCATGTTCCGTCACCATGTCATTGCCACATCATCGCCATGCCAAAGTCTTTCCTAGAAAAGGTTGTTCTGTGTGTTGTTCGTTTTTCACATGGTACATCCCAGCCAGACGGCGCGTGCAGTATGACTCCTTATGTGTGCTGTTCGTTACCACAATTACCATATACATATACATAACTATAACCAGAATTATATCCATGAAGGTAACCATAACCATGCCTGCAGGTACCACAGTCATTATCATTACCATATACATAAACGTAACGATAACCAGAATGCTAACCATTTATTTAACCACAACCATGCCTGCAGGTACCACATCTTACAGCACAGCCTGGCAGCACTCGCAATAAGCGGTCCCACATACGACCAGCAGCCGCCATTCCAATGGAGCAAATCACCCTTCGCTAATGTCTCCCATCTGGTGAGTTGTAAGGTCGAGGCAGGTTCAGAGTTGTTTAGACGTCTCATCAAATGCTTTAAAACGAATGTCATCCATCTGGTTCATTTTTTTTAAGTGAGGAGGGTTCGTCGTAGGCTGTGAGTCAGGTCAGGTGCTAGTACCGGTAGATGCCTAAGAGCGTGTGGGAAGGTGCAAGAGAGTGATTTGCTATCTCGTTGGGTGTATTGATTGATTTTCTATCTCGTTGGGTGTATTGATTGATTTGCTATCTCGTTGGGTGTATTGATTGATTTGCTATCTCGTTGGGTGTATTGATTGATTTGCTATCTCGTTGGGTGTATTGATTGATTTGCTATCTCGTTGGGTGTATTGATTGATTTTCTATCTGCTCACGTTGCAACTCTTAATGTGAACCATGTGCCGTGTGCTGCTCCCTGTGCCATGTGGCATATTCCATATACAATGTGCCATGATGACATGATGCCATGATGCCATGTCTCTTGTGCCATGATGACATGATGCCATGATGCCATGTCTCTTGTGCCATGATGCCATGTGCCTGATGCGCATCCACCAGGGTCATCCGGACCTGTTTCTCTTCCCATGGCTCGCCATCGACTATGGCTCGGAGGGCACTGGCTCGGAGGGCACTGGCACGGAGGGCACCAGCACGGAGGGCACCAGCACGGAGGGCACCAGCACGGAGGGCACCAGCACGGAGGGCACCAGCACGGAGGGCACCAGCACGGAGGGCACTGGCAGCCGGCTGTCGGTGCGTGTTCAACCCCAGCCACAGCAGCCGGGCACAGCCAACATGTAGGGCACACCAGCCGGGGTACTGTGCGAGCCTGTACATACATGCACGGCCATCCTGACCTCGTTCTTTTCCCATAGCTCGCCATCAGCTAGGGTACAGAGGGCACCAGCGGAGAGCACCAGGAGCAGCATAGAGAGCACCAGGAGCAGTGCAGAGGGCACCAGCAGCAGCACAGAGAGCACCAGCGGCAGCACAGAGAGCACCAGTGGTAGCACAGAGAGCACCAGTGGTAGCACAGAGAGCACCAGTGGTAGCACAGAGAGCACCAGTGGTAGCACAGAGAGCACCAGGAGCAGTGCAGAGGGCACCAGAGGCAGCAGACAGTCAATGACTCTCTGCATATCCTTCCCCAGTCACGCCAGCTAGGCACAGCCAACATATAGTGGACTGGGATGTATGGAATAAGGGCATGGGGTTGTACAAAACACGTAGTGTGCAATTGTAAAGCTCTATGGTGATTTGCCTTGTTCCAGTTGGTGTTCCTGAGTTCTGGTCTTCTAATGGTTGTCATAACGAGAAGCCGTATCTTCCTAAAGAGTCACGGAGAGCCTATTCTCACTAGAAATGCTATGGTGTTCGGTCATGCTGTATGGGAGTTTACACAAACGTATGCATTCAGCTGACGTCCTAATGATCGACCACCCCAGATGGTCTTCCATCATGCCTTGGGTGCTGCTGGGGCGATCGGAGATCCCGAGGTTCCCTCTGGCCTGTTACTCCCGGTCCCCGTCGTCGTCGCAGCGGCGGTCAGCGCGGCGGCAGCGGCGGCGGCGGACCCAATCTTGACTCCGCCAGCTGCTTTCAACGCGCCGCCGATCTTAGCCGCAGCCGCCACTGACCCGGCTAATGCGGCGCGCACGATCACTCCGAAATTCGCAGCCATAGTTGAGCGTGGCGAGCTTCCTTGTCCTCTCGAGCTCGGCTGTAAAAAAATCAAGCCCACTTTGCTTGTCGAACCAATACGACAAGCTTATTGGCCAGCTTGACCACCTTTCGACTCAACGATAAGCTGAAAATTCGACGCTATTGCTATTGAGCACAACACGTGAGCTTTCCTAAGGGTGATCTGTGCATATCAGTAGCGAGTCGCGTTTTAATCATTGCACGAAGAGCTTGAGTTGCGGCGCTGAAAGGTCGTGGTGAATGCAAGAGAAAATATTTTGGGAGCTATGGGAACTCGTGATGAGGAAATACTGACAGTGCTCAGCTTGCGTGTGTGGAGGAACATACTGCTACATTATAAGACTCTCCGATATCAACGCACAGCATCGACATCTCTACATTGTGTGAGACATAAGCATTTTTGTAGGCCTTTTTGGACGGCATCGACCGGAATTCCCCGCAACCCGTCAATCTCACTCCGAACACCCCAGCGGAATCAGGTCGACGGACCCGAATTGCCGGTGTCGTCGAGGGGGGTCGTCGAAGCCTGGGCCGACGGGGCGGAGCACTGACGCGCGTGCGGGCCCGCCAGCCTGGCCCAGGGCTGGGCCGAGCGCACGACCGCCGCCCCGCGGCCCCGCCCCGAACGTGAACAGCGGCCCACGTTACCGGGTGGGGTCGGCGAACTGGCGACACCTCGCGCGTGGGAAAATTACCCTCGCGCGAAGGCAGCCCACGCGCGCCACCTGCCCGCGAGGTCCTAGTAACCCATCGCGGCCTGCCCGGACGAGCAGGCGAGGGCCGGGCGAAAAGTCGGGGCCCCCTCGGGACGCTCGACAATTTCGCGACCCGTTGCGGCGACGCCACGTGTTCGCCCGCCTGCTTCGCATCGGGCAACATGCAGAATTTGATACATTGCGAACTCAATTCGGGACATCGCGAATTCGATGTCGATCGCTTCGCGGCGCACGTTTTTCGCTTCGGGGCGTGACATCGACTTGCTGGCTCGGCGGCGAACGAGGACTTGTGCCACTTGTGGAGGACTTGTGCCAAACCCCGCCGAGGCAGGCACCACGAGGGCCAGGCGATGCCTCGACCGTTCCTGTGGGGCACCGACCCCCTTTTCTTGGTGGAAGGGGGCATAGCTCCTCATTTTCGGCATCTCGTTTCCCTTTCCACCTTTTCCCCAGCTCTGCGCCTTCTCCCACATTTCACGTCCCTTAGCCGCTTCCCTTCCCCGCCATGTCGGCCGCCACGAAACTCGGCGAAGTGACGCCGACTTCGCAGGACTTCCCTCTGTATCTCGACCTGGGCAGTGGACTGACTGCCAAGCTCGACGAACACGACTACGCCGTCCTCGTAGACCATAGGCTAGAGTTCAACGCCCGTTGCTTGGGATTCGGCCTCAAGTGAGTGTCCGTATTGGGATGTCGACGTCGACCGCTGGATACCTTGCAGGTCGACGTCGATAGGGTTGTCCCACGTTAGGGTTTAGATCACTACTCGGTGACGCACGCAGCCGTAGGTAGGCATCGTACTCCGATCACTACAGTAGGTCGGTGCCCGCATCGGTAGGCGCCATTGATTACAACGTAGCGACGGTGGTGCACCGTTCTACTCTAGCCATCCCCGTCAGTTGTCGGTTCCAGAACCCATGTGTCCATCCGTCGTGCCGTGCACGTCCTCAAACACTTCTACTACCCATGCATGCGTGCAGGTACGCATGGATTCGCGCGGCGCCGGCCAACATGCGATTGTGGTCGATAGGACTCGGCCGGCTTCGGGCGGCGATGGGCAAGGAAGACCACTCATGCTTTGCAACGGTGTTCGACGCCGACGTAGCTGTTATCCCTCTGCATTCGAGGTGAGCCTAAGTCATGATGGTGTGCCTTGATGCCTTATGTCGCTGCTCCGTTCTGATCGACGTCGTGGTGCCTAGCCTGTGCAGCATCGCACCGCTTCCAGGGGCACATTGCAGCGTCGTGGTCATCCTGTACCCCGGCGACTTGTTGCGGGCCGGGGGAGAGACGATCAGGACCTCTGTCCGGCACTTCGACCCGCAAACCGTGAAGCAGTGGCACCGCGACGAGGCGATCCGCGTGCTGAAGTGAGCTCGATAGTGTAGTCGACGACGCATGCAATTTCGCCGCTGGGCGTTAAGCAAGTCTACCGACGATATGTGCCATGTTGCTTCAGGTTTTTCCGGGCGGCGGTGCTGGCCGAGCTCGGCCGCGATGGCCGGCACTGGGAGTGGCCGAAGCCTTCTGCTGAAGAGGTGGCGGCCAGGCTCGCCGACTTCAATGAACCCGTTCGAGATGTGAGTACCGATCGTTTTACCGTCCTAGCGCGATGCCATCGCCGCCGTCGGTGCTCATCCTTGCTCTCTCCTCTGTTGTTTGCAGAAAATGCGCGACACCGTCCGGGACGGCGACGCAGGCTCTGGCCTCCTCTCAATGAGCGCGCTGTGCTGGGTGGTGAAGAGGATGGATCGCCTGACCGGCGACGACCGTCGCAGTGCGACCAGCATGGACAAGGTCCTCGTTTCGGGGTTGAAGGAGCTGCGGATTCGGATGATGACATACATCAAGGAACACGTCGCACGCAGACGGTCAGGCCATGTCGGAGTTGGTGTCGATGCCTGTGAAGACGACGCCGCGGAGCCCCCTTCGGCATCCCAAGCAGTCGGTGTCGCCGACACCAGCGGAGAGGCCGGAGACGGCGTCGACAAGGCAGATGAGGAGGCAGAAAGGGCTGTGGCGAGGACCGCGGATCAGGAAAAGGAGGAGGAGGAGGATGACACCGACGATCAGGATGATAACGAGGAGGATCGTGAGGAGCGTGAGCAGGGGCATGGGCAGGAGGAGGAGGAGGAGGAGGAGGAGGAGGAGGAGGACGAGGAGGAGGAGGAGGAGGAGGAGGAGGATGAGGAGGAGGAGGAGGACAAGGAGGCGGCGGCGGCGGAGGCCGTGGAGCAGGGTTTCGGGTCGGTGGAGCAGGTGGCGGAGGGGGAGAAGCAGCAAGAGGGGGAGGAGGAGGTAGAGTTCCCCTGGGTCGAATTCGAGATGGAGGATGTTGAGGGAGCGGCGGCGGTGGCCGTGGAGGGAGCGGCGGCGGCCGTGGAGGGAACGGGCGGGATGTCGGCGGATGTTGTGTACGTGCGAGGGGAGGGTGCCGATGTGGAGAATGTCGGCGTGGAGGAGGCGCACGTGGTCGGCAATGTGGTTGGCGACGCGAAGGAGGAGGATAACGTCGCGTCCCCGACGCCGACGGGCGTGGAGACCACCACAGGGAACGCAGGGGTGGAACGCCGGGGTGGAGCGGTAGAGGCGGGCCGTCAACCGGGTTCCTCAGCAGCTGGTCGGCAGGCAACGCCGGCCGTCGTCGCGCAGCTGCGACAGGAGAACATGTGGCTGAGGGCAGAAAATGCTCGTCTCGAGACGGCGCTCGGAGTGGAGAGGGGTCGGGTGGACAGGTTCGCGATGGGGATTGGCCACCTCGTGGACAAGCTCAGGTCGTTGGCCGACCAGGTCGCCGCCTCCGACCAGGACGCGTCGAGTCGGCTGATGGACGCGTCCTTGACCATGGCGACGACCGTGACGGAGAACATCACTGCCAACATGGGTGAAGCATGGGAGGCGATGAAGGCGTACGCCGAGAGGGCGGAGAGCTGGTTGGACGATCTAGAGAATCCGGAGGGGGTTATGGCGGTGCAACGTGCGAACGCGGTCGTCGCCCTGGGCAACCACGTGGACGAAGCGAGGAAGGGATTGTAGGAATACATATCGAAGCACCTAGTCGCCGCGCAGACCAACATCGCCGCCGCCGTAACTCAACGCGTCGCCGTCCCGCCGCCCACGCAGCCCGCCCCACCGCCAGCCTTCCCGGACGAGCTCATGAAGTCTTTCAAGGCGGACGTGTTGAAGGCGGTGACTGAGGCCACCCAGCAGTCGTTTGCTGCGTCCGGGTTAAACCTCATGACCCAGGTGATCGGCCATCTGGCGCCTGGTCGGCATGGGTCGTCGTCGTCGGACAACGAGGCCGACAAGAAGGGTGCGAAAAGGGCGGGCGGCGGAGATGATGCGTTGAGCTCGAAGCGGAGCAAGGGAGCCGATGGGAGCCGCGGCGTCGGCCAGGTGGCTCCAGGCGGCTCGCGGAGCAAGGGAGCCGATGGGAGCGGAGGTACGAGCGTGGTCGACCAGCTGAAGAAGAACGGGGCCAAGGTGATAAGGACGCACAGCAAGGGCGATGGAATCAGGAGTGCGGAGGGGGGCCCTGCCGACCAGGTTGCCGCTCAAGAGGCTGGACCAACAGCCCCGCCATTGGTCGCCGAGAAGCCGGCCAGTCTAGCGACCGCACCAACGGCGATAGATGGCGGCGCCAAAACCGTCAAAGGACCGTCCGTCGGAGTGGCGGGGACCACGTCGATCCCCCGCAAACCCCCTGCGGCTAGCAGCGCGCCGGTCGCCCCGTCAGCCGCCAACAACGATGGGCCGTCCCTTGCGGCTACTCCAGCACCAGCAGGCACGTCTGCCGCCAAGGTTGACGCGGTGGATGCTGCGGCTAACCGCGCTGGTCCGTCCGCCCCAAAGGCGAACGCGCTCAGGGAGATGCTCAGCCGCATGGAGACCCATCGACAGGACGTGCAGCAGCCTCCCGTGGTCGGCACCGCGCCGGCCACAACAGCACGTCGCTCGGTCACTCCCCAGGTCGCCGCCACAACGTCCAGTGCCCCACCTACCGCGCCTATCATCGCCGCCCGTCCTCCTGTGGACCCAAAGTCCGCGTTGCTTCGCGCCCAGTTAGGCGTACGTACTGCGGCTGCGCAGGCACGGGCTCAGCCGGTATCCAGCTCATGCGCGACGCCGACGTCGGTGACCGTAGCTGCACACACACTCGGTGCGGCTACTATCGAGGCGGTGGCGGAGAAGGGCGTGAGTGCAGCGCTAGCCACGGGCGGCAGATCAGTTGACCCTGCACAGGCGGCGAAGGACCACAACGACGCCGATATCGCTGCCATCCAGGACCTGTTGGAAGCGGTAAACCGCCCCAAGCAGCCCCCTGTGCTGGCCATCTTGGACTCGGCGAGTCCCACCGGCTGTACAGCGGAGCCAAAGACGACCACTGCTGCGGTCGGCGCGGGAAAGTCGAAACGGAAGGGGACGGTCGACGCAGGGAAAGCGAGGCCGAGCTCGAAGAAGAAAACACGGGCGACGTCGGCGATGGTGAAGTCGGTGCAGAAAGGACAGGGGATGGCGACGGCGATGGTGGAGAAGGAGAAGAAGGAGGAGGAGAAGGAGGAGGAGGAGAAGAAGGAGAAGGAGAAGGAGAAGGAGAAGGAGAAGGAGAAGGAGAAGGAGAAGGAGAAGGAGAAGGAGAAGGAGACGGAGAAGGAGAAGGAGAAGGAGACGGAGGAGGAGAAGGAGAAGGAGGAGGAGGAGGAGAAGGAGAAGGTGGAGGAGGCGGAGGAGAAGAAGCTGGAGGAGGAGGAGGCGGCGACGGAGGAGGAGAAGGTGAAGGTGAAAGAACGGAAGGGTCATGGCATCCGCCACGACTCGACGGGCGACAAGCAAGGGTGGGTGGGCGAGATCAAGGTGGTCGGGAACGAGAGCAGATACATCGGCAAGTCCCGCGACAAGATGGAGCTGGCGTACCTTCACTCCATTGTGTACCTCCTGTACGACGGTTTCGTCAGCAAGATCCTCATGGCCGAGCTCACCGGCCTGGAGGAAACAGTGATGAAGCAGTGGAGGGCGGTGTGGAAGGAAGTCCGGTTCTTGCCGACTGGGATGTGGACGGTGATCTGGGCAAGGGGCGCGTTCCTCCCAAGGACACGGTAAGTCGGATAAACGTCGGCCAAGCTATGATGTCGACGTCGGCGTTCCTAACGGCCAGTTTCGTGTGATTGCGTGACAGGTTCGACGACATCCTCGGGAAGTATAGAGCGTACAAGACATCAGGCGATGCGCACCACGACGCGCTTTTGCCCGCGATCTGGTTCCCCGTCGATGCCGACGGGAAGTCGGATGCAATGATGTCGGCCATGCTTGATCGCGTGTCCTTGTGCGCGGCGTATGGGGAGGTCGCTGCATCCGCGGCGAGAATGGAGGGCGACACGGATCAGAAGACGGCGAAGGTCGCACAGGCGCTGTCGGCCTCAGCTTGCGCACTGTGGTGCTTAGTCGAGGGCGACGGCGCCCAGGTGGCTGATGCCGTCCGCGAAGGGAAGGCGGCGGCGATGTTGGTCGGCGCCAGCGAGGCTACCGCCGCCGAGTTCAAGAACGTCATGTCGGCGGTGCTGGAGGTGGCGATCAGCAGGCAGCAACCCCTTGGGGAGGTTGCGCACAACGTCGCACCGGCGCTTGAGTCCACCGCTCTGGCCAGAGCCTATCCGGGGTTGGATGTTGAACCCGAGGCCAAACTGATCGCACGAGCGACAGTGGAAACCCTCGCGTTCTGGGGGATGTGCCACGTGGATGGGCCGAAACTCAGGAAGATCGGCATCGCGGTGCCGCTGGATGCGCAGATGGAGTACGACATCGAGCACAGGGGGAGGAAGAGGCCGAGGGGCAAGCAGGGCAAGGACAGCTCGGGGAAGAAGGGGAAGGGCAGAGCGGGCAAGGACAGCACGGCGGCGTAGTCGGCATAACAATCTGCCATGGGCGGCCGGAGGGAGCGCAAGTAGGTCTTCTTGCAAGGATGGCCTGGTATGGGCGGCGTCGATTATGTGGTTTTTTTTGGGATTTTTTTTCCGTTTGATTGTATAGTTTTCGTTGGGATTTCTTTTGTTGGCTGTAACTTTTTGGTAATGCATGTTACTAGAACACTCCTCGGCAAGGTCGACCTGATATCTACCATGTTACTCAAATGCGGGCCCCGGTTCGATGAACCCCGTCGTACGGTGTCGACATAGTGCGTCTGGCTGTATGCATGTATATACTCGGCGATGAGCATCGTCGGCTAGGCCGAGATGGTCTATGGTCGGCGCTTTGGGGAATGTGCCGCGCCGCCCAGGTGGCCGAAACTCTAGGAGGTCGGCATCGATGTGCCGTTTGACGCGCATATCGAGCGGGCATGGACAGCACGGATGCGTAGTCGGCGCGCGGAAGGAGCGCTAGGTGGTATGATTGCTCGGTTATAGCGTGATGGGCGCCGTTTGCGCCGTTTTCATGCAGTCAGCGATGTCGACATGAATAAGGCACAATGAATTGCACACACATGGTGGCGACTATGTCGGAGTCCGACATATCTGGTTCGGATGTATGTGTTGGATCATGTATGTTCGTGTTGCATCAAAATGAACAAGTACGATGGGAACACAACGGTTTGCTAAATTAACGTATCATCAACCTACGCTAACACATATACACCGAGGATCTTCATGCCGACTTCTTGCGCTTTGACGGAGGACGCTGCGCAGGTGCGGTCTGCTTGGCCAAGTCGGCAACGGTCTTCGGCATCTGCTCCTCCCAGGTGTCTGGAAACAGGCGGTCGACCCACGTCGTCGGCTTCAGCTCGAGCGCCACCAGCGCACAGGCGAGGCGTAGCTTCGAGACCACCTTGGGGCCAAGCCCCTTGACGCCCATGCCAGGCTCCTTGGACATCGTCGGTGCCGTCACCGGGTTGAGCACCGTGAGGGCATCGCAGAAGGTCCCAATGCCCGGTGCCGCGATCGTGTTCAGTGCATCGACCACGGCTTCGGTGTCGGCATCGCCGTCGCTCGCGCGTAGCTGGCGCACCGCATCCATGGCCTTCAGCATGCGGCGCACCCTCATGTTGAGTGCACCCTGGGTCGCGCCTTTGAGGAGGGTGTGGCGGTCGATGAACCCCGGCTCGGCGATCCTGTCGCAAAGACGACGGGTGTCATTGGCGGTGGCGGAGTTCCAGAGGCGCCAAGCGTCCCGCACGGTCTTTGAATCCCGCCAAGGTTGCACGACGTTGAGCTCGTAACTGGCCTCCTCTGCCGTCTGGGGGGGTGGCGGGGGTTTCCCATCATCTCTCTTGGCTCCGGTCCCCGTGTTGGCCGAATCCGCGGAGCCACCTTCCCCCGGAGTTTGATCGGTAGCCGACGTCGGCGCCGCCGGCATCCTCCGGGCTTCTGACACACGGAGTGCCTCAGTGAGTCGAGCAAGCTCGGCGGTGAGCGACGCGATGGTGTCGTTTTGCTTCTCGATCGTCTCCTGAAAGCCTAGCTTCTCGAGCGCCGAGCGCTCGACCTCCTTCTTCAGCGCCTCCTTGAGGGACATGTTGTGATACTGGGTGTCCATGCGCACGGATATTTCCTGCAATGTTGGGTGTGCGGAAAGGCGACAAGAGGTTAGAATTCACCGGCTAAAATCCAACAACGCCGACATGGTCGGCAACTCACCTCCGATTGTATCTGAGTCGGGTCCCGGCGCTTTTTGATCGTATCGGTGTCGACCGACTCGACCCTTTTCGCCCAGTGCTGGAAGAGGGCAATCCTGCAGAGCTTGGAACCTTGGACGTACGGGTGCCACGGTGTGCGGACGAGCTTCACCGCGAGGTCCTCGGCGACGATTTGTCGGAACATCACGAGGGTGCGCAAGAAGTGCACTGCGGCTGCAGCGGCGTCGCTCCCGTTGACGGCACGCGTCTCCGCCTGCAAGTCGGAAAGTGGCGTGGGTTAGTAGGGAGTTGGGCAGCCAACTAGGCCACGACGACTGAAATACATTGTCGGCGTCGCGTGACATACATCGCGCAGCATAGCATCCACGCCGGGGAAGATGTGCTCGGCGAGCAGGTCCAGGAGTTTGTCGGAGGGCTCGACCCTGCTGCGCCCCAAGAAGTAGTCTTGCTTGAGTCCCGAGTAGCCGGCCTTCTGCATCACCACCCCAACGGGAATGGCCGTGATGTACGCACGCGTCATCTTGTCGAGAGCCCAGTGTCCCAGCTCGGCGATCTGGGCGCGCGGCGTCCCTCCGATGGCTAACTCCTGCGCACCTCCGGCGCGGGCGGCGTGCACGTTCCTTTTGCAGAACACCATGTTGGCCGTCCACACCTGCCGAGTCCAACGTTGGTGGGTGGCGGAGGAGAGCTCCTCCTGCTCCTTGTCGTTTCTGGCGAAGAAGAGATGCTTCTTGTACCAGCGTTCGCGTTCTGTGATGTCAAGCGGCGAAAGAAAGTCGGTGCCGGAGAACTGACCGATCTGGTCGAGGATGAAGTGCAGCCACAGGCCGGTCTCGCCGACGGCGCACAGCTCCGCTTCCAGGTGTCGCGCAGCGTAGCTCTGCTGAAGACGGGCATCCTTGGAAGTCTTCGAGTTACGCGCGGCGATCACCATGACGACCGGCTGGCTATCCGGGTTCACCTCCGAGGTGCTCGCCAGGTGGTACAAGAAGATGTCGGGGAGCGTGATCTCGCGGATGCTGCCGCCGCGCAGGAGAGTGTGGTGGGAGAGTAGCGTGAGCACCTTGATGAGCAGGAATCGCCACAGCGTCTGCGACGGAGTGGTAGCCCGCGGGTTCCACGCCGCCGCCGCCCATGTCGGCAGCACCCTCATCATGATCTGGCGGAACTGCTCGGCGGTGTAGGTATCGCCGATGGTGCCGCGTCGACGGTCGGCGCAGTTCCTGAACGCAAATCGGCGGGGAAAATATATAATAAGGTTGTCGACTTCACAGTGCACAGTGATATATAATAAGGTTGTCGACCAACTTACTTGAGGTCCCTCTCGTTCTTGTGGCGGACGTTGAACCGCACCTCCGATCTCACCACCGAGATCTCCCTCATGAGGCCCAGCTCCTTCTCTCGGTACAGCATCGCCTCCACCCTCGCCGCCATCTGGCATGCCTTTATCCGGCCGAGGATCGTGTGCACAGTTGTCGACCTCACAGGCCCCGTTCGCGTGGCATTGTTCTCCTCCCCGGGCTGGTCAACAATGAGGTTACACTCACGGCTCATTTGCTTCACGTAGGCGCGCAGCCGGGTTTCGGTGACCCTAGGGCCGTGCAGCCAGATGTACTGTCGGCGGACCACTTTCTCGTTGCACCAATCCTCTTTCTTGTTGTCGCGGATGTAGTGGCCGATCTCGTCGACGTGCCTAAGTCGTTGCTCATGGGGTAGCTTGTCGCGTAGCTGCTTCAGCATCTTCGCCGCCCACTTCTTGTAGTGGTAGATGAACGCGGTGTACAGCCTGAGCGTGCTATTCTTCTCCAAGCATTGTAGGTGTCGTAGGGCGTCCATTATGAGCACGTCAATGCTGGAGTACACCATGTCGTCCACTACAAAGTCCGTCGCCTTCCACCCTTCGCGCGGCACCGCCATGTGCTGATCGTCCTCCTTCTCGTCCGCGTCGAGCATGTCACGTATGTATTCAAATTCCCGCCTAAGGCGTTCTTCCAAGGTGCGCGGATTCGTGCTACGCGGAGGACGGTCGTCGACTTCGTCGTCGCTCTCTTCCTCGTCCTCCTCGTCGTTATCACCTTGGTTTTCCGAGCCGGCGGGCACCGACGAAGGTCCAGTCTGCCCATCTGCCGTCGGTGTCGACTTCTTCGTAAACTCCCCAATTGGCGGATTCGGTATGTCCTTGGTGTACTCCCCTTCGGGAATCTGAGTAAGTTTGTCAAGATCGTAAAGCAACTTCAGCGTCTCTACGGGGGCAGAGGACGGACTGTTGTCGGTTGGGGTACCAACGTCGGGCATGTCGACGTCGTCCATGACCGCTCGTATGCTCTACCGCCGGCCGTGGAAGAGGGAAAGATTGGTAAACCAGAGATGGTACTGATTCACGGGTGCGGTGTACGCCCTAATCGTCCTGCGGCTGTCTTCCTCGAATTCCCTCTCAAGTGCTTCTAACTCAGCGTCGACCTCGAGTCGTTCCAGTTGCGCTTTGATGTCGTCGTCTACCGAATCGGCGGGGGGTGGGATAAGTTGTTGTGGCTGTTGGGCACTAGCCCTTCCTCTGGCCATGCGTCGCCGACTCGGTAAGGTTGGGAGATGCTATCGTCGCCCTGATCTATCGTCGCCGACTTTCCTAGATGACGACCTAGAACCTAGTAAGGCGAAGTCGACGATTGTCGACCCCAACACCGACCTATGGCAGTCTATTCCAGGTCGTCGCCTTTGTGCCGCCGCTCGGTCGACTCGGCCGTCGAGTAACCTACACCCGCAGAGATAGCGAGGGTCCTGTGAAGAAAACGAAGTGCTAGATGGCGCACAGGAGCATGAGAGAAACACGAAGCTGAACCGGCAGAATGAGAGCGTTGTGCGTGGTCAAGGAGGGGTATGGTTGCGAGCCACTGCGCACCGCAGCCCTCTTTGCAAGCGCCGATGTGCACGTGCATGACGTTTCACGATCGATGCATGTCTAGTGTCACGCCGCTCTGCGCTCAACGGCACTCCCGCCGGTGCCTTGCCACGGTGGAATTCACGTGCGCCACGTGCAATAGGCCAATGACCTAGTTCCACTCTCCCGAAATGCCGTAGCGTCCTGCTCTCCCGCGCAAGCCTCATCGACCTGCGAGTAGGCGCGTGGCCGGAGGCTTGGTCGACGCCGACATTCCCTGACTCTGGGACTCTCTTCGCCTATCCATTGTTTGGTCCCAGTCGTCTTTCGCCGCGTGGACGATGGTTACCTTTTTCGTCGGCGCGCCAGGTTTCGCGCGCAGCGAAATATACCCGGTGGTGCGAAGCGGGGCCACGTCGGCGCCGTCGTGGCACCTCCCGATTGTCAGGCTCGATCTCGGCCGTCCCTACTAAGCCACGTGGCAGTAACCGCGGCTCGGCGCACAACGTGTCGAGCTGTGGTTCAGGGTCCGCTGAGGTATCCTTCTCGGGTTTCTCTCAGCGAAACCCGAGGTCGTCAGATAGTCGACAATCCCGAGGGGTTCAGAGCCTCGGAGGACTGCCAGGTCGCCCCAGTTTGCCACTCGCAAGTCGTCAGGAGCTCGTCAATCCCGAGGGGGTTCGTTGTCCTATCGCAACCGCGAAATTGGGCGGCAGGTTTCGTCGGCTGAGGTATACCATCCTGAAGCATTCCTAAGAACTAACGACAGCGGCGAACTCTGCGACTATTGCAGATTCAGCGGTAAATAGAACAGCCTGTTTCGGGCTTTAGTTCGAGTCAAGATCCACCTTGCGAAGGGTTTTCTGATTAAAATCCGATCGTTGATACTCTTCGTCTGAAATCTCGCCGCGATCGTCGTAGCAGCAATTAGACGTTGAGGTTCTTCACGCCGGTCTTATCGCCGTGTTAGTGCCTACATCTCTGCCGTACACCCGTTCAGGTCGTTTCTTCGCACACTTTTATTCTTCAGTGCATCTTCCAGCCTGAAGTCAAGCCGCCTATAACTATGTACTTTTCATTCTTTCTTTCCATATGTTCCCTTTCCTGATTCCAGTGATTCATTCTACCGTTGAGTTGCAAATTGCTCGCGTCCACTTCACGCCGTACGATCGACTCCCCTCCTTATTAATCACCGCCGTCGGATCCCCGGACGACCATCCCCGCATTGCGCCATGCCTCCGCGCGCCAGAAGAGGCGGGGCTTCTCGCAAGTCCCCCGCATCCGCCTCTGCCCGCGGAAAGGCTTCTCCTGCCGCCGCCGCTTCCCCCGCTTCCCAGCGCGGACTTTCCGACATCCCCAGCGTTGCTGAGGTTCCCATCGCTACGTCGCCGCTCGCGCTGCCTGGAAAATCTCCTGCAAAATCTCCTGGGGGTCCTGCTGCGGTTGACGGGTCGCCAGGGCAGACTGGCAGACAGCTGCGGAGCCAGAAGCCCGGAGAGTCCCCGAGCCTGCCAAACGGAGGTTCCCCGAAATCTCGGGGAAGGAAGCGAGGGTCGTCAGACGGGGAGACGGACGCTAAGAGACGACGGTCGGGCGAGAAGGGCAAGGGAGGTGAGTTGGCGGAGGGGTTGGGGGGAAAGGTGGGGGGGTTGGGGTTGGACAGGTGGGAGAGGAAGGAGGAGGGGGAAAAGGGGAAGGGGGAGGAGGGGGGAGAGAGGGGAGGAGCAGATGTCAATGGGTTTGACGTTTGATCGCTGTCATAGAATTTATTTCAGATGTCAATGCAATTTCATACAGACTGGTGCCTCGCACACGACTCACTCGCGCCTCTCCTCTCTCCTCCCACCAGCAGCATCACCAGCAGGAAAGGCCGCAGAAGCAGCAGCTGCAAAGGCAGTAGCATCGCCAGCAGCACGGAAAGCAGGGAAGGCAGGGAAAGCGGGGAAAGAAGGGGAAGCGGGGAAAGGAGGGGAAGAAGGGGTAGCAGAGGAGACGGTAAAGCTGGAAAAGGCAGATGAGGCTGCTGAGCGAGAGGACGAGGGGGACGCGGACGAAGAGCAGGGAGGTTCAGGCGAGGAGTCCCCAACAGGGGGGGAGCAGCAACGGCGGGGCGCGCGCAGAGCACGCGGAGAAGGCAGGGGGGGAGCGGGAGGCGCAAGCAGAGGCGCGGGGGCTCGCGGACGGGGTCGTGGGGCGCGGGGGAGAGGGGGTAAGGCTGGCGCTGGACTTGTTTCCCCTGACCGCCCCATGTCCCCAGGGGGAGCGGCAGGCGCGGGGAAAGGAAGAGGCCCCAGGAAGCGGTCCCCTGCTCCGCCTATCCATGCTGATGGGGAGACAGGCGGAGCGGGGAAAGGGGGAAGGGGCGGGGGAGGTGCTGGGGTCGCGGGGGCGGCGGGAGGGGCGGGGAGAGGCGGGGAGGAGCTGCAGGAGGTGGTGCATGAGGCTGGGGCAGCGGGGAGTGGGATTGTGAGGGATGAGAAGGCGTTGGACTCGGTTGTGAAGGTGTTCTGCGTGCACACTGACCCCAACTTCTCCCTTCCCTGGCAGCGCAAGAGACAGTACAGGTACGTTGGTTGAATGCTTGCAAAGGCCGGGTGATTCGGTTCCCCCCATCTGCCCTCGACTCATTCTCCTCCTCCCTCCCTCACCATTCCGCCTTTCTCCCGCACCCACTCCTTATCTTTCCTCGTTCACCATCTCCCTCCCTTTCCTTTCCGCCGCCATCCCCTCCCCGCCCCCTTCTCCCCTTGCACGCGCAACAGTTCCAACAGCAGCGGGTTCATCATTGAGAACCGCCGTGTGCTCACCAACGCGCACTCCGTGGAACACCACACGCAGGTGAGAATGAGATGAGCACCACGCAGGTGAGAATGAGATCGAAACTCATAATGGAATACATCGATCTAACTTTTGAGTCGACTCAAAAGTCAGCATGGAATAGCAATGATCTTGAAGAAACGGCTTAAGCAACTTTAAGGAACAAAACGATAAAACTTCCCAGAAATTCAAGTAGGTACAAGAAACTCCTTAACTCGCAGGAATCTTAGTCCACGCCCTCGAGTTCTTATCTTATGGAACCCCAGCTCCTCAACTGTAATTCATTTCGTTTCCTCCACACCCTTGCCTCACGCCCTTATCTCCACACCCTTGCCTCACGCCCTTTCCTCCACACCCTTGCCTCACGCCCTTTTCTCCACACCCTTGCCTCACGCCCTTTCCTCCACACCCTTGCCTCACGCCCTTTCCTCCACACCCTTGCCTCACGCACTTTTCTCCACACCCTTGCCTCACGCCCTTTTCTCCACACCCTTGCCTCACGCCCTTTTCTCCACACCCTTGCCTCACGCCCTTTCCTCCACACCCTTGCCTCACGCCCTTTTCTCCACACCCTTGCCTCACGCCCTTTTCTCCACACCCTTGCCTCACGCCCTTTCCTCCACACCCTTGCCTCACACCCTTTCTCCACGATCCTCCCCGCAGGTGAAGGTGAAGAAGAGGGGATCAGACACCAAGTACCTCGCAACAGTGCTTGCTGTGGGCACTGAGTGCGATATAGGTATGCGTACTTGCCTTCTTTCAGCTAGTTATCCGATATTGTTTCCTAGTTTTGACCCATAGCCGTTCGTCTTCATATATCTTCCATGTGTCCTTTTCATCGTCCTCATCAACCCCTCGTTTTCCCCCATTCCTTACCCACTCTCCTCCACCCATGCGTCGCCCCATTCTCTCTGTGACCCACCCACTTGAAACTCGCGGAATCCAGCACTCTTCTCAGTGGAGGATGATGAGATCTGGAAGGACATGCAGCCTTGGCCATTCACCCACTAATGTGTCTCCTCCTCACAACGCCCATCTCCCTCTTTTCCCCTTCTCGTCTCCCGCTGCACTCACTCCCACGGAATGCAGCGCTACTGTCAGTGGAGGATGATGAGTTCTGGAAGGACGTGCAGCCACTCAAGCTGGGGTCTCTCCCGCACCTCCAGGTATGGCTGGGGTCTCTCCCGCACCTCCAGGTATGGCTGGGGTCTCTCCCGCACCTCCAGGTATGGCTGGGGTCTCTCCCGCACCTCCAGGTATGGCTGGGGTCTCTCCCGCACCTCCAGGTATGGCTGGGGTCTCTCCCGCACCTCCAGGTATGGCTGGGGTCTCTCCCGCACCTCCAGGTATGGCTGGGGTCTCTCCCGCACCTCCAGGTATGGCTGGGGTCTCTCCCGCACCTCCAGGTATGGCTGGGGTCTCTCCCGCACCTCCAGGTATGGCTGGGGTCTCTCCCGCACCTCCAGGTATGGCTGGGGTCTCTCCCGCACCTCCAGGTATGGCTGGGGTCTCTCCCGCACCTCCAGGTATGGCTGGGGTCTCTCCCGCACCTCCAGGTATGGCTGGGGTCTCTCCCGCACCTCCAGGTATGGCTGGGGTCTCTCCCGCACCTCCAGGTATGGCTGGGGCTTGGCCCACCTACAGGTAAGGTTGGGGACTTTCCCGCACCTGCCAGTACGGATGGATATTTTTTTTCCGCTCCTGCGTAGAGTGACATCGCATGTGCACGGGGCGTCATAGCTGCTGGGCGTGCAGATCGACGCCGCCATCAATTGGGGGGAAGCTCTATCCCCATCTCCAGGCCCCTTCACTCCCCCTCTTTTCCCCAACCCTCTCCCTCCCCCTCTTCCCCCAGCCTTCCCCTCCCGCTTTCTTTGCCCCCGCCCCCCAGGACCCTGTAACGGTGGTTGGGTATCCGATAGGAGGCGACACCATTTCAGTCACAAGCGGAGTGGTGTCACGAATCGAGGTGACAGCATACGTGCACGGGGCGTCGGAGCTGCTGGGCGTGCAGATCGACGCCGCCATCAACTCAGAGGGGGCTCTATCCCCATCCGCAGGTCCCTTCACTCCCCTTCTTCCCCCAACCCTCTTCCTCCATCCTGCCCTCTGCCCCTCCCCTCCCCTCCCCCAGGACCCAGTGACTGTGGTGGGGTATCCGATTGGTGGAGACACCATATCAGTCACAAGCGGGGTGGTGTCGCGCATAGAGGTGACAGTGTAGGTGCACGGGGCGTCGGAGCTGCTGGGCGTGCAGATCGACGCCGCCATCAACTCGGGGCACTACCACCCCCAGGCCCCTTCACTCCCCATCTTCCCCCGACCCTCCCCTTCCCATCCGTCCTTCCCCCTCCCCGCTCTCCCCACTCCCACCTCAACCCCAGGACCCAGTGACAGTGGTTGGATACCCCATAGGCGGCGACACAATCTCAGTGACCAGTGGAGTGGTGTCGCGCATCGAGGTGACAGCATACGTGCACGGGGCGTCGGAGCTGCTGGGCGTGCAGATCGACGCCGCCATCAACTCGGGCAACTCGGGCGGGCCGGCGTTCAACGCGGCGGGCGAGTGTGTGGGGATTGCATTCCAGTCGATGCGGGGGGATGAGGCGGAGAACATCGGGTATATCATCCCCACGCCCGTCATCCACCACTTCATCTCGGATTACGACCGCAACGGCCACTACACAGGTAGGTGGGGTTTGGGTTCGCAAGGCATTGGGGTGGGGATGGAGGTGGGGCAGAGCGCGGATGATGAATTTCCTTGTGATTCGTTCTACATGCAACACTGCTCTCACACTCTCCCCCTCCCTGCCGGTCTCCCCCTCTCCCCCCCCTCCCTAGCGTGGCATAAGATGGAGAATCCAGACATGCACAAGGCACTGGGGATGGAAGCTGCCTGCTGTCATAATTTCATCTCCAACAGTGTCCCAAACTCGCTCTATCTGCCATTCTCTCGTCCTGTCCCCCGTTACCCTCCAGGGTTCCCGATTCTAGGAGTGGAGTGGCAGGAGATGGAGAATCCGGACATGTGCAAGGCGCTGGGCATGGAGGCGGGGCAGAAGGGCTGCTTATTGTGTCGCGAGTACAAATCTCACATTGTCTGAATTCGCTCTCCCTGCCCTTCTTTCGGCCTTTCCCTCCTTACTCCTTGCTCGCCAGGGTTCCCCATCCTGGGCGTGGAGTGGCAGAAGATGGCGAATCCAGACATGCGCAAGGCGCTGGGCATGGAGGAACGCACTGGGGCGCGTGATGAATGGTTGTCAACTCACCCCTGCTCCTTTTCGCTCCGCCCCCCTTGTTCTCACCAGGGTTCCCCATCCTGGGCGTGGAGTGGCAGAAGATGGAGAATCCAGACATGCGCAAGGCGCTCGGCATGGAGGCGGGGCAGAAGGGCGTGAGGGTGAGGCGGGTGGAGCCCACCTCGCCTGCCGCCCAGCTGCTGCAGACCTCAGACATCCTGCTGTCCTTCGATGGCGTGGCAGTGGCAAATGACGGCACAGGTATGTGCGTGTGAGAGCAATCCAGGTCTGAGAGTTCTCAGCACCTCTGCAGCCCAGCTGCGGCAGACGTCCGACATCCTGCTGTCTTGGGATGGCGTGGCTGTTGCTCATGATGGCACAGGTGGGTGGGTGTGTGGCTTTGGTAGGTTGGCGGTGGTGATCAGTGTGGGCTCAGATATGTGCGAAGTTAAGCTGGTTTGCACCCAGGGGATGTTTCAATGGGGTCGCAGCCCATCTGTTGCGGGCGTCACTCACCCTTCTGTCGTTTGATAGCGTCGCTGTTGCCAATGACGGAGCCAACCCTTCATCTCTCCTTTCCCTTCCTCCGTGCGTCCCCTGCCTGCCTGCCTCCCACGCCTCTCTGCCCCACATGTGCCCTCCTCGTCTCGTCCCAGTGCCGCTCCGCAAGGGCGAGCGCATAGGCTTCAGCTACTTAGTATCTCAGAAGTACGAGGGGGAGATGGCACAGATCAACGTGCTGAGGGCCAACAAGGTGCTGCAACTGCAGGTGGAGCTGCCGTGCACAGCCTGTCCCACCCCCTGCCCCTCTGCCGTGCTCGTCACTGCTCTCCGTTCCCCCGCGCGTCCTGCATTTCCGTCCCCCTCTCCCGCCCTTCCCCCCCACCCACTTTCCCCGCCCCCAGTGCCGTTTCGCAAGGGCGAGCGCATAGGCTTCAGCTACCTGGTGTCTCAGAAGTACGAGGGGGAGACGGCACAGATCAATGTGCTGAGGGGCGGCAAGGTGCTGCAACTGCAGGTGGAGCTGAGGAGGCACAAGCGCATGGTGCCCGTGCACATTGCGGGGCTGCCGCCCTCGTATTTCATCGTGGCAGGGATTGTGTTCACCTGGGTCACCGTGCCTTACCTCCGGGCAGAGGTGAGCTGATGTGTGTGTTTGTTTTAAGGTGTGGAGGGCCAGCTGGGGCAGGGTGGTGCTGCAGCTGTAGGTGGAGCTGAGGCGGCACAAGCACATGGTGCCCGTTCACATCGCAGGGCTTGCCCCATCATACTTCACTGTCGCGGGGATTGTGTTCACCTGGGTCACTGTGCCTTATCTCAGGGCTGAGGTGAGTGAGAAGGTGTGGGAGGTGTCCTGGGGAAAGGTGCGTGCAGAAGGGCTAGAGGTGGGCTTTCAGCAGCACAAGCGGCTGGTGCCGGTGCACATTGCACTATTGCCTCCCTCCTACTTCATAGTGGTGGGGATTGTGCTCACCTGGGTCACCAGTGCTCCGCCCAACTCCTTGTGTGCTTGCTTGCTTGCTTCCTAACAGTACAGCAAGGACTGTGGCTCATAGCTATTCCCTGTCCGTTGTTCCCTCGTGTTGCTTCCCAACAGTAGGGCAAGGACTATGACTACAATGCACCGGTAAAGCTGCTGAACAAGCTGATGCACCACATGCGACAGTCGGGGAGTCCTTTCATTCCAACCCTCCCACCCGTAAACCCCCCATAATCGTCTAACCTGTGTGTTCCCTCCCTGTGTCTGCTGGCAGTACGGCAAGGACTATGACTCACAGTTACCCCCTACCCACTGTTCCCTCCCTGTGTCTGCTGGCAGTACGGCAAGGACTATGACTATGACGCGCCGGTGAAGCTGCTGGATAAGCTCATGCACCGCATGAGACAGTCAGACGATGAGCAAGTGGTTGTCATCTCACAGGTGGGTTCTATTCCAGATGTAGCAGCTGTATGGAACATCAGGCAGGTTACATTCAAGCGTTTATGGACGCTGCTGGATAGGCTGATGCACCACCGCAGGAGACAGTCAGATGACGAGCAAGTGGCCGTCATCTCCCAGGTGCGTGACTGCCAGCAGTGATCGGTGTGCTGAAATCACTTTTGAGGCGCCTCAAAAGTTGCATGACCGCCAGCAGTGATCGGTGTGCTGAAATCACTTTTGAGGCGCCTCAAAAGTTGCGTGACCGCCAGCAGTGATCGGTGTGCTGAAATCACTTTTGAGGCGCCTCAAAAGTTGCGTGACCGCCAGCAGTGATCGGTGTGCTGAAATCACTTTTGAGGCGCCTCAAAAGTTGTGTGACCGCCAGCAGTGATCTGTGTGCTGAAATCCAAGTGTGGGAAGATTCATGTATGCTTGTTCCCCATGCCCAGCTGCTGCTGGCATATGTGAACATCACGTCCTCTGACCGGCCTAGGTTCACCTATAAGCTGTTTGTCGCATGCATACTCATATCCGTGTGCAGGTGCAGGTGGCATATGCATCACAAGTAAACCCCTGTTGCGTGTATGCCCGTTCCCCATGCGCAGGTGCTGTTGGCAAATGTGAACATCACCACGACACTTGACTGCCGTAGGTTCAGCTAAAAGCTGTTTGCCGCATGCATACACTTTACCCGTGCCCTTTTCCTCCATGTGCAGGTGCTGGTGGCGGATGTGAACATAGGCTACGAGGAGGTGGTGAACACGCAGGTATGGGGCGGCTCACTCTCTCTTCACCTGAATACATGCCCTTCTTCCATGCCCTTCCCCTATGCGCCTCCCCCGTGAGCAGGTGCTGGTGGCGGATGTGAACATAGGCTATGAGGAGGTGGTGAACACACAGGTGGTGGGCTTCAACGGCGTGCCGGTGAAGAACCTGCTGCAGCTCGCTCGCCTCGTGGACCAGTGCACCGACCCCTTCATGCAGTTTGACCTCGACTATGACCAGGTAAGCCTGGGAAGGATTCGTGATCAATCAAGGAGAATCGATGCATTGGGGGTTTGGTGTTTGGGTGTTGAGATAGCTCGCCTTGTGGACCAGTGCACCGACCCCTTCATGCAGTTTGACCTGGACTACGACCAGGTACAGGGGGGGGGGGGGGGGGGGGTTGAGGCGCCTCAAAAATCGTGGACGAGTGCACCGTGCCCTTCATGCAGTTTGACCCTTGACTATGACCAGGTACGAGGGAGGTGAGAGTGCGGGTCAATGGAGGGAAGTTCATGAAGAGTGTGCAAGGTGTGGCTCGTGGAGGCGCGCACCGAGCAGTTGGTGGACCTTGACTACGATCAGGTGGGCCTGGGTGTCTTGTAGGCGTGGCTCGTGGAGGCGTGCTCTCAGCTGTTCATGCAGTTCGACCTGGATTACGACCAGGTGGGTGGCAGGGGAGGGGTTGGGAGAAGGGGGGGGTTGGGGGTGGGGGGTGCGGAGTGGGTGGGTGGGTGGTTGGGTGGGGGGCTATTCGTCAGAAGGAAAGTGTTTGTTTGGTGGCTCGTGGCTGCTCGGCGTGGCTCGTGGAGGAGTGCTCCGAGCCATTCATGCAGTTCGACCCGGATTACGACCAGGTCAGTCAGGCGGGACTGGGAGGGAATTCTGTGCTGCACTGAGCCATTTCAGGCAGCGTGCCGTTTATGTTGGTGTGGCAGTGTCCCGCAAGCCACTGGAACGTACATCTTGCATGTATTTATGTGTTTCTATATATGGGCATGGTTGTGTGTGCAGGTGCTGGTGCTGGAAACAGCAAAGGCCAAGGACGCAACACCGGACATTCTTGCGATACACTCCATCCCATCTCATTGCTCCAGTGACATCAAAGAAGGCCATCTGTCCACAATTGTGTGATAAGGTAGAGGCGTGATAATATAATGAAGATACTATAAACCTTGATTCAGGTAGCCCAGGAACGTATATTTCATTCATAGTGCTTCTAGGTCGTAGAATCAGCCGCTCATGCCTTTTTTCTCACAAGAATTCCCAGGTTTGTCTAATTTTACCTTAAACTTAGTGTAGATTACTAATTCTGAAAGGCTCTATTCACGGTCGAATTGTGGAAAATGATGTTTAGTAGCGAAGAAATCTCAATCGGCTTCATCGCCAATACGGAATTCGCATTATCCAGACCTGATTCCTAACCTGACTGTGCACCTGTCGGCGCGGCAAGTTGCTCAACACCCTTAGCTCGCCTCGGCGATGCAGCAGTAAGTATCGCTAGCTACCTCAACAGTGTATGAATTATTCCGCGCGCCGGCTGCCAACCAGTTCAACGATAGGCATCATTTATCAGGGTCAACGCCTATCTAGTGAAGTTGGCGTCGGCGAGTCGCTCCATTCGTTCTCATGCTCACGCTCGCGCTGAGTCTCGCTGTCGCCGTATCTGGTTGATCCACTTGTTGCAATCGACAGGCGTGATTGTTCCTTCCCTGCTGCTAAGTACTTATCTATGAGCTGATTAGGACAAACCTAAACAGGCTCTGGGTGTCTCTCGCCGATCGTCATGCCAGTGCTAACCCTAGGACAAACATAAGACTCTACCTAGTTTTAGGCTTGTGTCGAGCCGTCTTACTAGTGCGACATCGACCTTAATCCACCAATGACTGGAGACTGGACCATGCGTGCATCTGCGTTAATTCATGTCGTTTCCATCGCCAGCGTTGCATTGCTGCTGGTAACTCCGTCGCTAGCCGTCGGCGATCATCTAGACGGCGGGAGGTTGCAAGCAGACGAAGGCCTCAAGCGCGGTCACGAGCTGTACAAGGTGCGTCTGTCTATCTGTCTGTGACTTTTGAGTCGGCTCAAAGGGGTTTCCTGCCTGCTGTGGAGGGGGAAGCCTCCTCCACGAGGTGACGTTTGAGTCGGCTGAAAAGGCAACTCGAAGGGCTCAAGCGCGGTCACGAGCTGTACAAAGTGCGTCTGTCTGTCTGGCTGTGACTTTTGAGTCTCAAAGCTCTACAAGGTGCGTCTGTCTGTCTGTCTGTCTGTCTGTCTGTCTGTCTGTGACTTTTGAGTCGGCTCAAAGGGGTTTCCTGCCTGCTGTGAAGGGAGAATCCCCCTCCACGAGGTGACGTTTGAGTCGGCTGAAAAGGCAACTCGAAGGGCTCAAGCGCGGTCACGAGCTGTACAAAGTGCGTCTGTCTGTCTGGCTGTGACTTTTGAGTCTCAAAGCTCTACAAGGTGCGTCTGTCTGTCTGTCTGTCTGTCTGTGACTTTTGAGTCGGCTCAAAGGGGTTTCCTGCCTGCTGTGAAGGGAGAATCCCCCTCCACGAGGTGACGTTTGAGTCGGCTGAAATTCAACTTGAAGGGCTCAAGCGCGGCCACGAGCTCTTCAAGTTGCGTCGCTCGATGGTTCAGTCATTTGGTTATTTTAAGCACATGTCGTGGTGCCTCACTCTACCCCTTTGAACCGCACTCTCCACCCCCTTTCCTCAATACTGCATGCCAATCCCTTTCCTCCCGACCTGAATCCTTCCTGCCAGTCCCTCCCCCCTTTTCCCCGACAATTCCTTTTCCTCACAGCAATGGGAGGAGGCGTACGGGCTGCAAAAAGAGTCTCTTCTGCCCCCGGAAAAGATATCCCTGCCCGCTGACGTGGCAGCAGCTCCGCATTTGGAGGCGTGCAGCGAGGTGTCGGCGCACAGACTGGCGGCGGAGCAGCGAGGGCCCAATGGGGAGTCGCCTGAGTGGGCTCGTCCTAAAGACTGCTGCGGCTGCAACCCACAGCCGCCATGGGTGTGTATGGGTGGGTATGATTGGGTGTGTATGGGTGTGTATGGGTGTGTATGGGTGTGTATGGGTGTGTATGGGTGGGTATGGGTGTGAACGGGTGTGTATGGGTGTGTACGGGTGTGTACGGGTGTGAACGGGCGTGTATGGGTGTGTATGGGTGTGTATGGGTGTGTATGGGTGTGTACGGGTGTGAACGGATGTGAACGGGTGTGTATGGGTGTGTATGGGTGTGTATGGGTGTGTACGGGTGTGAACGGGTGTGAACGGGTGTGTATGGGTGTGTATGGGTGTGTATGGATGTGTATGGGTGTGTATGGGTGTGTATGGGTGTGAACGGGTGTGAACGGGTGTGTATGGGTGTGTATGGGTGTGTATGGGTGTGAACGGGTGTGTATGGGTGTGTATGGGTGTGTATGGGTGTGTATGGGTGTGTATGAGTGTGTATGGGTGTGAACGGGTGTGTATGGGTGTGAACGGGTGTGTATGGGTGTGAACGGGTGTGTATGGGTGTGCATATGATGTGATCATCTCATATTTCATCACAACCAGTGACATTTGTCTACACAGACATCAGGCTCGCTCCCGTGTGCGTCAGTAGGCATGTTCAAGCGTCTTTCTTAGCCTTAGCACGGACATCTCGCCTCGGCCCCCATGCCTCTGTTCCCCATCGCGCCACCTTACCTGCTCTTGTCATTGACCACCTTACCTGCTCTTGTCATCAACCACCTTACCTGCTCTTGACGTCAACCGCCTTGCCCATCCCCTTTCCCCGTCTCTCCCGTTCCCCCTCTCATCCCTGCTCTTCCTCCTTGCAGATTCGTGGTTCAGACGCAGCCAATCTGGGCATGACACGTGTGGCACAGAGGGACATATGGGAGCACCAGTTCCCGCCCAATCGGTGTGAGGGCAGGCGCCTGCTCATTGCGCACTGGGCCTACATCGCCCATGGGATCGGGTCGCAGGTGAGTGAGTGTGAGTGGGATCGGGTCGCAGGTGAGTGAGTGTGAGTGGGATCGGGTCGCAGGTGAGTGAGTGTTAGTGGGATCGGGTCGCAGGTGAGTGAGTGTGAGTGGGATCGGGTCGCAGGTGAGTGAGTGTGAGTGGGATCGGGTCGCAGGTGAGTGAGTGTGAGTGGGATCGGGTCGCAGTCCAGGATTTGCATTTCTGTCATTTCTCCCCCTACTCTCTCCCCCTCGCCTTTCATCCCTCCCCTGCATCCTCTCGTTCCCCACAGGTGCACATACTGACGGCCATTCTCAGCCTAGCCATGCGCCACAACCTCGTTCCCTGCCTTTGTGCCCACAACGATCCTCCCCTCCTTCTCTCCCACTCCACCTCCCTCCGTTCCCCCTTCTCTGCACATAATGACGCCCACTCTCAGCCTCGCCATGCGTCACAGCCACCCACCTCGCTTACTTTCCTCCCACCCCTCGTCCCCCTCGCCTCTGTTCCCCTCTCCCCTCCTCCTTTCGTCTTCTCAATACAGTTGCACATCATAACGGCCATTCTCAGCCTGGCCATGCGCCACAACCGCACGCTGGTTCTCCAGTATCCGTCGTTTGACCGCGCCAAGCACGACGAGTGCAATGGTGAGTTTGCTTATAGCGAGTATGTTAAATTTAACATAGTATGCTTATAGCGAGCACATCATCCTCACAGCAGTCTGGCAATGAATGAACCACACTCACTCACTCACTCACACGGTGCTAATCATTGCCCATGTCTCACTCACTCTCTCACGCTACCACTCACCCCCGCTTCTCCCCCCATCTCCTCCCACCCTCCTCTCACACATACAACCATCCACATTATTTTAGTTACAATCACGTTTTCTCCCCTCCCCCCCCCCCTTTCCTGCCCACACCAGCCACGGGAGCGTGGGGCTCGTTCAACTGCTACTTCTTCCCTCTCACTTCCCCTGACTGCGAGGAGATCACACTCAAAGTCCAACAGCACAGGGGCGCTGCCGCCCTGCTGCGCGCCCAGCACCAAGGAGGAGGTGCTTGGTTCGTTTCCTGTCTCCCTCCGCTTATCCCACCCCTCTCGCCTTCCCCCATTCCACCTCTCACCATACCAGCCACAGGAGCATGGGGCTCGTTCAACTGCTACTTCTTCCCTCTGACCTCTCCTGACTGCGAGGAGATCGCGCTCAATTCCAACAGCACAGGGGCGCTGCCGCCCTGCTGCACGCCCAGCACCAAGGAGGAGGTGCTGGCATCGGACCACCCCATTGTGTGCTTCCATGGGGAGCCCTTCAATGGTCTTCAGCTCGAAGCCAGCATTGCCAGGTGATAGAGGGGCCACAACCACAAGCACCGGTCCCTCCCAGCACCTGCTGCACGCCCACCACCCATCACACCCACCACTCGCCACGCCCAGCTCCAAGGAGGAGGTGCTAGTGTCGAACCACCCCATTGTGTGCTTCCATGGGGAGCCCTTCAATGGGCTTCAGTTCGAAGCCAGCATTGCCAGGTGAGGTTGGGTGGGTGGAGGCTATGCATGAGGGCAGTGTTTCCGGACAAGAGACGAGGGAGAGGAGCCAGTTTGCTTGCGCTGTGCCAGCATAGCCAGATGACGGTCGGTGAGATAGAGTAGCAGCAGCAGCAGCAGCACGAAAGCAGCACCTAACATGTATAAATGGTTCAATGAAGGGGACGCGTGTCGCTCCTTCTGGCGCTTTTGAGGCATATCAGCATACACTCCCCCCTTGTCTTATCCTTTTGTTCCCGTGCCAGCCAGTGGGCCACGGCCTACCTGGAGCGACCCAACATGATAGAGCTGCAGGGGCAGGTGGAGAGAGACGTTTGAAAGAGAAGTGTGAAAGAGTCTCAACATGCGATGCATACTTCCTTGCCCTCCCCATTGTCCGCTCCTATCAGCCAGTGGGACACGGCCTACCTGGAGCGACCCAACATGATCGAGCTGCAGGGGCAGGTGGAGAGAGACAATCCCCAGCACATCAAGGTGCGTTGCAGTGGCATCGAGTGGGATGGAGTGGGATGTTGGTAGATGGAGAGGTTTTTGTGGCTCGTCAGTCGGAGCAACGTGATAGAGCTGCAAGGGCATGGACATGATGTGGGTCCATGGAGAGGTGGTGTGCGGTGATGTGTGCAGAATGGGGTGGTGTGGGTGGATGGAGACGCGGTGTGCGGTGATGTGGTAGTTCAACGGGTGGTGTAGGGTGTTTTTGAGTTGAGTCGACTCAAAAACAGGTTCACGGGGTTGTGTAGGTTCGCCTTTTCAGTAACTCAGTTTCTTCCACTCTTTCTCCCTCAACCCTCCACCTCCCACCCCCTTTCCTCTCCATTCACTCACTCGCCCCCCCTAAGTCTTGCGTTTCATTCTGCAATGGCCAGTGGCATACCTCTGTGTGTTCCCACCACACCACATCACGTCACTTGCATGCGCTGCAATCTCACCGACCGCATCCAATCTCCCCCATTTCCCCTTTCCCTTTCAGGTGCACTGGTGGCGCAGCCAAGCGCTGCGCTTCATGCTGCGCTGGCCCTCGCCGTACCTCTGCCATCTCACCAACCGCATCCGCCACGGCGCCTACGGGCTGCGCGTGGCAACCCACACCGTGCAGGCCCGCGATCGCAGCGCCGCCCTCCTCCGACTCTACAACGACCACCTCTCTGCTGCCTCCCCCTCTTCACTCCCTGCTTCTGCCTCCTCGACATCTCTCCACCCCCTCAGTCTCAACCACTCCGATCCATCTTTCCTTACCTCTGCCGATCCATCCATGCAATCCCGGGCCTGGCCCGGGCTCGGCGTCGCCAGCTGCTCAGGCTCGGCAAGCTCTCCCGGTCCTGCCCCCAGCTTCCGAGCCTATCTGACGAGCCTGTACGAGGGGGTGGGGCGAGAGGCGTATATGCCTCGGCCGATGGTGAGCCTGCACATTCGGCAGGGCGACAAGGGGAGTGAGATGAAGCTGAGCTCTTTCAACTCCTTTATGTTCTATATGCACCGCCTCAGACTCCACGTTCCCGACATCCGATTCGTGTGGATCAGCACTGAAATGCAGGTGAGGCGGTCCCAAGGTGAGGTTTTCCCAAGGTGAGGCGGTCGCAAGGTGAGGTATTCCCAAGGTGAGGCGGTCGCCAGGTGAGGTATTCTCAAGGTGAGGTATTCCCAAGGTGAGGAGTTCCTAAGGTGAAACAGTCCCCTTCCCCTCTCCTTCCCCTCTAACCCACCTCTCCTGTCCAGACTGTGATTAACCAATCAGCACAGTTAAGGGAATCTGTTTCCTTTCACTCGCAGAACAAGAGGCAGCAGAGCCGCCCCTCCTTCGCCGCACACTTGCGCTCTCTTCCCCCATTCCCACCCTCCCCCTTCTTCTTTTCAGTCCGTTTCTTGATTTCTCCCCAGTCTATGATCGACCAATCAGCGCAGCTCAAGAACTGGACCTTCTTCTAATCAGCAAAAGAAAAAGACTGCTGAGTCGACTCAAAAGGCACATGACTCTTCTCAATCTCTCCCCTTCCCCTCTAACCCTCCTCTCCCGCCCAGTCCGTGATCGACCAATCAGCGCAGTTCAAGGACTGGACCTTCTTCTATTCGCAGAACGAGAGGCAGCTGGGCGACATGCGGTTGATCGACTACGAGAAGAAGGCTGGCAGGGCACAGCTGGTGGGGGTGAGCTTTGCGAACCTGATTATCTCATCGGAGTGTGACTACTATGTGGGCGTGCTTGGGTCCAACTGGAACCGGTTGATCAATGAGATGCGGGCCACGAGTGGCAGGGTGTTTGCTGGTTATGTTGCGATCAACAATGGTGAATTCTAGATGTGGCTGGCTTTGAACGTGCTGGTTGAGACTCACATCTAGTTGTGGCCAATTGATGCAAAATACAGGTGCTTTCTACGTCACAATAAGCTTCAAGTGTTTTCTGGTTGTAGTTCTTGCTCCAGTTGAGAGGGGCTGTTGGCAGTATAGCCTAGGAAGAAAGCCAAATTAAAAGTTTCTACTCCTCTCCACTATGTCAATTATAAGTGGAAAGGTGGTGCTTAAAATACAATCCACGCTTCAGTAGAATGGGGGTAAACGTACCACAACACAGTTCCAGTGGACAATGCAATAATGTACAATCCCTCCTACCGGTAATTTAGGAGCTCAACCAAATCAGGGGGCTCAACCCAGCTTCAACTTCGTTAATATACTTTTGCCGTTAATTCCCATTTGAGGCCACCGTATGTACTGCCCTCAGAAGTCTATACTGGAGCAGCGGGAAGGGATTTCAAACACTTCGTCTGCCCCCCACCTCACCTTCTTCTGCCCCTGCTTTGTCATGCCACCCCTCCTCAGGTTGGACGGCTTCGTCATAGTCACGTTACCATTAGTGCACATCCCATCTGCTGGCGCCTCCCAAACGTCACTGGAGGTTCGGCGAATGCCAGACGTATTGTGGTTCGGCAAACCACCTCCATGCGTGGTGACATCATACGAAAATGAACGGCTGAAGTTTTGTTCCTGCCCGCTGCCACTGCCTGCTAGCTTCACAGATCCCAGCCCCTGACGAATCGCCTGAGTGACGTCGCCAGCGAGTTCGTCAGACGAATTTCCATTCGCGAAACAACCGCCGGTTATTCCCAGCTGCCCATCATTTGCTGGGGGCAACGAGAAAGGTCGGAATTCGGCGCAAAACGGTGAGACCGGTGAATCGCGTACCCCATGCTGTTCCGCTTCCGCTTCCGCGTGTGCTGCGCTCGGAGATTGCGTTCGTAGCTCCGCAAGCTTTTTTAGCTCTGCGCCACTCTCGGATGGCGCAAGCGGGGGGAGGGTTTGCGCGAGAGAGGGGGAGAATAGCGACAGCCACGCGCGGTGCTTCCGCCGCTGCTCGTCCAAGGCCACCAGCGGATGCTGCTTCGCCGTCGCTTGCGCCACCTGCCCTTGTTGCGATTCGAGCTGCTTTTGCTGCATCGGCGGCGGAAGCGCGGACGGAACAGCGTGCTGAGGCGCACCAAATGACCTGATTTGATGCAACGGCTGAACTTGAACCGTGGGCGGCGCGCAGCTCGCGGGGCCGCTTATAGCGGGTATGGTCCGCAACGTAGTGTCAGACAGCACGGGCGCCTTCGGCGGTAGCGGCGGAAGATGCAACGTCCTCGGCTTAGCCATGCTGATCCTCTCTGCTATAACGGGGCTGCTTATAGGCGAAGTGAGATCACTCGCGCAGCTATCGACCGACGCGGCGGGCGACGACGGACCGCCCGTCAGGACAGACGACGGCGATGATTCCACATGAATCCGGGCACCGGGTTTACCGCCGCGTCCCCCGCCGCCACTCGCGACGCCGCAGCCGCTTCTGTTAATGTCCTCCATCGAGCAGCTTCGGCGAAACTCTCGCTTGCCGTTTCTCGAGTCGCCGCAAAGGCCGCCAAGGCTTCTGTCGCTAGCCGAGGATCGCAGAGGCGAATGCGATAAGTTTCCGCGAATACCGGCAGAAGACGACGCGAGGATGTCGTTCGCGTCGGCGCTGCGACTGTCAGCAGTCGCAGTGCGATGAAGCATCAAGTCGTCAGTGGAGCAAGAGCCGTCGATTATCCAATCCAGAAGCAGCAGCTCGTCCGCGCTTTCCCCGCTCTCCCCAGACGCCGTCCTTCCCAGGCTTCTTCCGCCCTCATCTAACTGCACCTCCGCGGGAGAATTTCCGCCGGTGCACTCTTCCGCAGTAGGCACACGGCATTGCGCGCCCATCTCGCGTTCGACGGTGGGCGCCGCGAAAGGGAAGCACGGCATGGCTGCTGCATGATCGCGCAAGGGCTCTTCCGCAGCGCGCAGAGGCTCGAAAGCGAGAGTGGGCATAGTTGCGGGAGCGAGTTGTGCCGGAAGATGTGGAGATGTGCTGCTCGCTGAGATGGTGGAGATGCGCTGAGAATCTATGTCAGAAGGTGTGCAAATGACCAGCGCTGCGAAATGTTTCTTCAGGGGTGTCAAGTATCGCAGGGGAAGCAGCGCTGCGCAAGGATTTCGCCGCGCAAAAAAATGACTCCTTGGTGCTCACAAAAAATGACTAGTATGCGCTGGTGAGAGGATTCAGAATGGAGATACAATTTGTGCGTTTGAAGGAATGCGGCGCCGAATAAAAGTGAGCGAGTGCTTCTTTTTTCGAACTACGAGAGTAAAAATACACCACGCGACCCAGACGTGCACATGCAGCAGGGGCGAATTTGAGAGGAGCGGTTGCAAACCACGAACTCAATGCTGCCAACTAAATCTGGTCGGGATTTCCGCGCTTTTCCGGCAATCCCAAGGCCACACAGAATCACTCAGAAGGTCCGAGAGAACACACCAAACCAAGTGAAAGTGTACTGGTTCTATTGAGCGGGTCAGCGCGGTACTGTATGGTTTTCAGCACTGGACCGCTGTTGGACAAGGGCAGCTCCTTCACAAGCTGACAGTGTCACAAGGCTTTGAACAAGAGTACATCATCCAACACGTTTCCAATGTGGGCGCGAATGAATCTGCTCTTGGAGGGCCAACCCTCCGACCAATTTCATGCACACAAACAGAAAAAGCAGTCCTGCTACTCAAGCGTTTGTGGTGAAGGTGGTGAGGGAGGGAAAGAGGGGCATTCTGGTTGGTCGAAAAGATGGGGTGATTCTGGTTGTGTATCCATGATTCGCAACGCATGTAGTTGTGGTGCATCCATTTTGTCACGCGTATTATAATATCGGTCTTTCCCTTACAGACGTAAGCTCAGATCAACACGTTTTATGAAGCGTTTGTCAAACTTGACTCCGCACCCCATCCACTAATGCCGGTGTCTGCTGGGGTCTGCCGCATCGTGTTCCTACCGCATCTGCACATTTCCAGCGGGTGGGGTACAGGATGACTGGATTGCGATTTTGAAGTGCTATTACAGTCTTCACCCTACAAAGTTTGAGAAGCTATGGGTGTCCCCTCTACCACTTTTCACAGCGCAATCTTGGGCGCCGTAGTCCATTTCCCGCCACCTACACCCTGTTTCACGCCACACTGACATTCGACATATTGATAAGCCGGTTGGACTGACATCAATGCGTCCAAATTGGTTTTACCGTATAAGAACTTTTACCGCACGAAAACAAACTTAAAAGCGCGTTTAGTTTTTAAAACCGTTGTCTACCGTTCCCCTGAAGTTCATTTCGGTTTCAAGCACCAGCCCATTGAATCCAAACACGCGTGCACACTGTAGCCGGGGCTCCCGTTTGTTCAAGCATCGAGAAACAGGGTGTATTTGTACCCAAAAGGACCCTTTACAAATCCGATGCTTGGGTGCAGCAGCATAATGCTGCCATTTGATTGGATCACGCCCCATGACGGGTGAGAAATCAGACACTGTGCATCTGTATGGATGCGCTCCGTAGGATAGGTGTACTGAAACAACCTTCAGCAAATAAACTCATACAGTGCTCCATAAACTGGTACAAAAACGTCAGATCTCAGGTGCTAATTTTAGGAGAAACATGAGTGTACACCCAGATGTGAGAACTGCTAAAACTTTTGGAGCTCGACACTGTTCAATTTACGGAAAATGCTGTCGTCGTGACGTGACGTGACTCGTGATGGTCATGGCAGCATGTGCCGTTCACAGAGGACACATCAGCAATCATTAGCGTCAGCGGCAGAGTCTTCAGTCGTGTTCATTGCTGCCTCGATAACGCTGATTCGCTATTTCTAGCAAAAAATGGGCGGGAAGGCCCCAAGTGACGAGGCACCTCGTCAGCAACAAGACTGACCAGTCTGTAAAGTCTCTGACCCAGGTCAGCAACCCAAAAGATGCCTTGATATGGATGACGTGATATTTTCGGCTGAAAATATCTGGCAACGCTACATGTCCACGGAATAATGAGTGGTTATCACAAGCGCGTGTGTATATATAGTAGCGCTTCTTTTGCGCAAACTTTGTTAGTTTTGCCTTTTTTGCCTTTCCTGCTCCTTGGAATGTAATGTTTAGGTTAAGACAATTTAGTAAAACCTTAAAACCTCGCACGTTTTGACTTGTATAGTGAGCTTATGGCGTTTACGCGTTTCTTATAAATCGATCTGATACTTTGGATGGTCTCAAGCTCTTGTGTAAACTAGACCAGGTCCGACCAGGGGTGAATCTCTCGTAATATTTAGTCTGAATATTCTGAGCAGACATATGATTCACTGTCACTTGATTTATGAGATTTTCGTTCTGTTTTCTAATTTAATCAGAATCGTAATAATTTCATATCTGTTTTTCTGTTTCACTGTGTACCATGCTCAGTTGTTAGTGAGCTATGACTTTACGGAGTGCGGACTTCCTGGTCAGTGAATGGGACTTTATCAGGCCTGATTGGTCAGCTTCAAAGATCACATCAGGCGTCAACATGTGAGCAATCCCCAGGATTGGCGAATTTATCAGCATTGATCTCGCACTTCACCCTCCCTGGCGTCGCACGCTTTTCGAAAGCGTTCGCCACGCTTCGTCAAGCAGGTTACATTCCGATGAACTTACCAATATCCCGCTAGGAATAGACTGGCTTCCAAACAAGATTCCATCCGAACTCGAGGCATCATCCATTCAACACGCACATCCTGCCACTAAAATTTTGCACCTTCAAGGTTCTGGATTCTTGGACTTAATTCTCAGTCAACCGCCTGCGGAACGCCGCGTCACTGGTGTTACCATGGCGGCTTCTTTATCCCGTGGCGGTGCTGCATTGGCGGCTGGAGCCCGGGTGCGACAAACAGATATGTGCCAGAGCCATGCCTTCGCATTAGCCTCGCGTGATAAAGTCGCAGGCGTCGCCCGAGGGTTTCCTAGCGTTGAAAGACTCGTTCGTACTTCCCAACGGCCTGATCCATCCTTCTGCCGTCAAGTACGCTCTCGCCGTCAAGCATTCGCGCACGCAGCGTCAACCGCGTCTGCGGTAACTACCACCCCCGGTCAGACGGAGCGCGTGTTACACAAGCTACCGTCGGGTTACAAAATGGAGGTCCTGATTCGTCGAGCGGATCTAGACGCCAAGGCCGTGGGTGCAGATCCGGAGCAGCAGCTACCGCCGTTGGTATTTATCCATGGCAGTTACCACGCCGCGTGGTGCTGGGCTGATAAGTGGATGCCGTATCTGTCGGCGCTGGGATTCGACTGCTTCGCCATAAGCATCCTCGGTCAGGGTGGAAGCGACGTCCCGAACGCGCCTGTGGCTGGGACCGTTCAGGTGCGCAGTGATAGCGGTGAGAGGTTATGACGGGACAATATATGATAATGGTGAAATGTGTCAGGCAAGAGGTGACATATGGCGAGAAGTGATAATGGTGAGGGGTGATTCGTTGGGGGTGATCGTGGTGAGAGGTGATTATGGAAAAAAGGTGATAATGTTGGAAGGTGAAAGGAGAATTCGGAGTCAGGACGATCTGCATATGTAGGATGTACGAACGGAATTCAATGATGTGAAAGCTCCTGCGGTTCACAGAGAGGCTAGTCACGCTAACGACAGGTGCAAATGTGTTTGGAGTGTAAATTCCACATGTATCACGCTGAGTGACCGATATTAAAAAGTCTTCATCTGAGCTACGGACACGCACACACCCACTCTCACCCACACTCTCCAATAGCTTCTTTGGAACGAGATGCTTCGTTGGAAGCTTCTGGGTCAAAACTGCTAGGTTCAATCAGGATGTAGAGTGGCTGCTATCAGTGTCTTTCAGCTGCTAATGCGTTATTTGAGCTGTAGGGCTAGGGCGGGATCAGCAACACATGATTCTCAGCCCTGATGCTTATTGCCGCGTGATTCTTTTCCTTTCCCCTCTTCTTGCACCCATCCTCCACATGGCACCTGGGAAGCGCAGTCCCATGCTGCTGACGTGTCAAACGTTATCCGCCAGCTCGTTGGCCGGCCGCCGGTCCTAGTTGGACACTCGTTCGGCGGGCTGATTGTGCAGGCGTATCTTGCTGACGTGGCAAATAACTGGGAGAGCAGCAAGGATGGTGAGTGGTTATTTGCTGACAGGTGAAGGTGACTAAGTGGGGGCATCATTGTGATTGGTGTGTGCATCGTGTGTGTGATTGAGGCTTTCCTTCTATCATCTCCACGCTTCCCGCTCTTTCCATCCCCCATCTCCCCCTTTTAATTACCCCTCTGTATCTTGTCCCACTAAAAGAAATACACCCTCACTGCCGGTTTTAACCACTCAGAACTTCTCTCCACCCCTTCAAATTCATGCTGGGTTTCTCCTGTTGGTCAGACGGAGTCCCCTTCGCCCCTCTAACGGGGGCTGTGCTCGCCTGCTCTGTGCCGCCCACTGGCAACATGTGAGTGTGACAGTAAGGAGGGGAGCGGACAGGATAAGCCAGGTGAATCCTAGAGGGTCGTACGAGAGTGTACAAGTTAACGTGGGATGAGATATTAATAAGGGTGACTGTGAGAGCTGCAATCCACTGACTTGTGCGCCCAGCGATGCACAAGTGCCCCCTCCCCCATCTGTCGCAACTATACCGGTGGGAGATAGTAAAGCAGGGCACATGCTCCCCACTTGAAGTGAGTGAGACGATTCTTTAGGCGCCTCAAAAATCGTGTCAAGAAGGACAGCACGATGCGCAAGTACTCCGCAAGTAAGCAGAGCACATGCGGCATACTTACGCATCCTGCTGCCCTCTAACCAATCCCCGCTTCCCTCCTTCACATCCCACCCATCAGGGAGGTGGTGAAGCGCTACATGCGCAGGCATCCCATTCTCTCCAGCAAGATCGCCGTCAGCCTCTGCACCAATCACTCCTTTTGCCACGACTTCTCTCACTGTCGCTCCTCACCACCCCTTTACCCACCCTACTCCTCCCACCTCTCCCAGGGAGCTAGTGAAGCGCTACATGCGCACGCGGCCCGTCCTGTCCATCAAGTTCACCCTCAGCCTCGCAGCTTTTCCGCCTCTCACTCTCCCACTCTCCCACCCTTCCCCGTTCCCCCCTGCCTCCTTCCACCAGGGAGCTAGTGAAGCGCTACATGCGCACGCGCCCCATCCTGTCCATCAAGATCACGCTCAGCCTGGCAGCCAAGCTCTTCCGCTCCTCGCTCTCCCTCTGCCGCGACTCCTTCTTCTCCCCCGCCCTCCCCGAAGCTGAAGTCAAGCGCTACCAGGCTCTCCTCTCCGACAGCAGCAAGCTGCCGCTGTTCGATCTCAGGCTGCTCAACGCCTCCCTCCCCGTGGCCATGCCGCCGGCCTACTGCCCGCCTGTCATGGTGCTGGGCGCTGCTGATGACGTCATCGTGGTGAGTGGGTAGCAGTGGCTTGATGGCTTGATGCCTGCCTCCTGTGCTGCTATGCCTGGGGGCGCTGGGGGCACCCATCCCTCATCCCTGCAACCCCTCATTCCCTCGTCGACCCCATCCCTGCAACCCACCATCACTCACATGTCTCCTCACCCATCCCCTCATCCCTCCACCCCTCCCCCACTAACCAGGTCGACCAGGGTGTGAGGGAGACAGCAAAGCCCTCTTCTGTGCCCAGCCCACTCCTATTCTTCTCCATCCCCCCATCCCTGCACCCCACCATCCCCCCACCCCGCCATCTCACCCCCAAAAACCAGGACGACCTGTGCGTCTAAGAGGCAGAGAGGCAGTGGTGCTACCAGGCATGCCACATGACATGATGCATGGACCTGGGATGGAAGGATGGCAGGATGCCCCACTCTCCTGTGTCTCCTCATCCCTGTATCTTTCCCCGGCAAACAGGACGACCAGGGCGTGAAGGAAACAGCGGAGTTCTTCAGCACAGAGGCAGTGGTGCTGCCAGGCATGCCGCATGACATCATGCTTGACCTGGGATGGAAGGATGCTGCCGATTCCATGCTCCAGTGGCTCGCCAACCACGGAGCCATCCCCAAGCAATAACACTCAGAGCTACTAATACCGTACTGTAACATTCTATGTGTGTATTGTGGCCTTTTACTGTAGAAGGATGCTGCTGATGCCATGCTGCAGTGGCTTGCAAGAAATGGGACCATCCCCAAGTAACAGCATGACACATGAAGTTATGCAAGAACCGTAAGGTTCTGTGTGTGACTCAATTTGCTCGTTGTGGAGTGTATATTGACACCTTCACAAACACTGTGTGCAACATGAAGCATACTCCGAAGGCACTTGGTGGGAGTGAATAGAGTGAGCTCCCTGGTTTCATGCATTCAGGCAAAGAGGTATACATCGCCTTGACTCCACAGCATAGCTTTTGATACAGTAATCCCGTTGCCTCAATTATTAAAAAATTTAAACACACATTGTGTTTTTTATAATTGTGTATTGTGAAAGCGAAGCTGCTTGTACTGCACAATTGGTATCGTCGAAGTGCGCTAAACGCCCTTCTCCAACTACAAAAACCGTGGGTTGGAGTTCATTTCCCTCCACCCACGTTTCTCGATTTTCAAACGGCTCACTCAACATTTCCGCTCACGTAGTTTATCCCTCCGTCCAAGCTGGCTAGAACAAAATCGCTTTTTAGAGGCGAGTCACCTTCGACTTTACTCAACGATATATTTAACTTCAATCGCTCAACGATGGCACCGACGTCGACACTTAACAACGGGAACTCGTCCAACCCTGCCTCCGACAACGACCGTAACACCCGCGATTTGGCGGGCGAATGCCGTAACAAGCGACAGGCAGAAGATGGACCGCCCGCCCCAACTGCAGTGGACGTGCTGCTGGGCGGGCTCGAGGTCAACAATTCGGCCAACGCCCAGCAGCACCCTTCGGCGCCAGTGGCACCTGCGGCGCAAGTGGCGACGGCCGTTGGCGTGGCACACGCCACTGACGCCGAGCACACGCCAGCACCCGCGGCTGGACCATCGCGTCAGCGCCAGAGGAGGCGGACGGCGGTCTCCTCGTCTGACGCGACGACCGCCCCTGCGTTGACGCAGGCGTTGACCCCGAACCAGGTCAACGCGCTGCTGTCCCTTCTACAGCAGCAGCCCGTCAGCGTTACAGCCGCGGAACCTGCACTACCTGCTACATCTGCGTCGACTAAAAAAGAAAATGCGAAAAAGGAAAAAGGCGCGCGAGGAGCAAGGACCATCCGGCACGACAAGGACGCAGCAACAGCAGCACCCCCCGCTCCAGCGGTCGACAACGACACCGACGACTCTGAAGATGAAGCCGGTGAGGCTCCAGTCAACAATGTTAATTTTAATGGCACGGAACACCTTCCCCCCCTCCCTTCTTCTAACCTCACCTTTTCGGCGGCAACATTCGTCAACGACTCCGTGCGAGAACGTGCTGGAAGACTTGCGCGCGTACCTGCTGCACGCGGAATACAAGGCGCAGCGCGGAGACCCAGCGGGCGGACTCGAACTCATCTCGCACGCTCTCAACCTCATCTCCGGGCATTTCGAGGTGCTTCAAGTGGAGGACGCCTCCGACTTCCCCACGGCGAAGCGCTTCAAGTTGTACCAGCAGAAGAGCCTGCTGACTTCTCGACCCTTCAAGCAGGCGGTCGCGGACATGGCGGCAATGGACCGTGCGGCAAGCGGATATGCTCGTGTCAACCGCGGCGGAAACAACGCGCCGTTACTGTTTTTACCCAAGCGGGGCCCCCCGCCCACGGCCAATTGCCGCGGGTTTCGGGGCTCGTGCTTCCGCTGCGGCCAGTCGGGTCAGGTGGCAAGTGCCTGCCCTAGGAACGGGCACGGTGGCCAAGGACCCGCTCCGGTGGTGTAGGAGCGGGCCATGGGAATAGGCGCTAGAGCGCTAGGCACGGTGCACTCTTGAGTGCGAAAACCGTGGGCAACCCTAGGGGTTTGCGATGGCAAGAGGCCAGCCCTAGTGAAGGGTAGGAATAGGTTTTGGGCCTAGGATAGGGAAGGGGAGCAGCAACCCCCTCGGTCCCATGTAGTTGGCCACTCGGTGGCGTGATGCATGCTAGGAGAGCATTGCTATGTGTGTTGGTTGATTTAATAAAAACTACCTTCTTAAAAGCCTACTGTTTTTGGCCTTCGGCCGCGCGTGAGGGGTGGCAAGGCAACAGTTGCATTGATACAAACACACCATACAAACATGCAGCACTAGTAGGGCCCTAGCAACGAGGCCAAGGTAAGCAGGATAGTCGGGGGCGGGAGAAGATGGGGAACAAGAAGGCACAGGGCAAGGCCCAGCAAAGGCAGATTGTCACACGTGATTCAGCACGTAAAACCGCCGCGGAAGCCAGCAGAGCAAGGACGCGAGCGCGGGCACAAGCTGGAGGGGAGCCTGTTCGGCAGCCATGGCTACCCTGCGGAAAGCCCTCGCGCCCGGCCCCTCGTTCTCGTCAGGGCGATCGGACTCCAGAGGCAAACGGAGGAGGCGCCTAAGACCCTGCGCCGCAGCTTCACGCACAAGGCCCTATTGGGGCTCCGTCAGCTGGGGATCTCGGAGGACTAGATTCCGCGCCTCCAGACTAGCATGCAACTGCTCCAGTGCGGTCGCAACATGGGAGAGACACTCGCCAACCCCGATCATGCGCCACTCCCAGCGAAGCACGTCCAGAACGAAATCGGACCGGATGTCCCAGTCCCGACCCCACAACGTTCCGAACTGGGGAGGAGACTCCCACGAATCGCCGTTCCACCACGCCTCGTCGTCTTCAGGATCAGGTGCGTTGGGAGGAAGCGGAGGAGAATGGCAACGAGGAGGAGGGAATCGAGCGACAGGGGAGGGGTCGAGTGGAATCAGAGGATGTAGCCGCTGAGGAGGATCACCAGGGGAACTTGCAGACGGGGTGGGCGGCACCACGGCAGGAAGCACAAGAGGTGCCCCAACCGCGGCCGCCTGCGACGGGGGAGCCGGAGGAGGTGGCGCACGCGCTGCCGGGGGAGATTGAGTCACCGGGATGGCGGGAGGAGGTGGAGGAGCCAATGGCGTTGACGGCGCCGACTCAGCGGGCACGGACGATAGCTGCTGGGACGACTTGAGAGATGCTGATGGACAACGCCGCGGCGTCGGCACCAAGAGGCGGTGACTGCGCGTCGGACACAGGGGCCCGACAATCTCTCACTGGACAGCGGGAGGGTGTCGAGGCGGACGGCGACGTCGATAGGAGCCGCCACGAGCCCGGAGATGTGGATGGGTCCGCCCGCGGGGAGAGCGATAGACTGGCTCGTGACGACGGGGGGAGGAGCCGGCCTCCTCGTGCGCGACCAGGGCAGCGGCGGCTCGGAGCAGGGCTGGCGCCAGCTCGCCCCGGGCCTGTGAGTGGCTGGGAGTAGCAGGAGAACCAACCGAGCGGTCCGATCGAGAGGAGGATCGACGCTTGCCAGTCATCGCCACGAGGCCTCCAGGCAGAGGGAGGTGAGGGAGAGGAAAATCGTGTGGCGGAGCATCTCGAGGCGAACGAGTACAGGGGGTAAGAGGGGATAGCGTTGGTGATGGCAGCGTGGCAAAGTCGGAGAAACGAAACTAGCCGACAAAGGACCTTACGCGAGCGGGCGGAGGGGAGGGCGATGGGGCAGCAACCGCGAAACGCGGCGGGACGCACGGCCACACGGGGGCGCGGGAGGGGCCGGGGCGAGGGGGGACGGGTGGAGAGGTTGGTGAGATCCGTAGCGAGAGAAAAAGCCAGAACCGGAAATTGGTGGGAACGGCATGGGAGGCCAGAAGAGGAGAAGGGAGAACCAATGAATGTCGCCGCAGAGGAAGAAGAGTCGGAATATATGGAAGAGGAAGAGGCTGAATCGGAGGAGGTGTCTGTGGAGGCCGAAGACGGGATCCCAGCTGGCAATGAGGGCAGACGGCGACGTGGCGGACGCCGAGGACACGACGGAAATAATCCTAACGGGGCTGGATAGGTGGGCGAATCACCAGCCCAACAGACTAATGAATATGCCAGCAAAGAGCGCTCACCATATGACATCGCGGACGATGATGACACATGGCGGACGGTGGAGAGTTGGGACCTAGACCCATTGCGAGTTAGTTCCCAACCATTCTTGGTCAGGAAACTTCCCCCGGAAGAACTGAAGTCGTACAGTCACTGCCTCACGATTCCCCTACTGCAACTCTCGAAACATCCGGGCTGCATGGGCGCGTGGAGGGTGCTCCAATTCCTGCCTCGGCTTACGCTGAGGGCGAGCACAGAGAAATTTCCGGGAAACAGCCTCGACGCGGTGAAGAAAAGACTTCGACAATTCCGAGATGAAGAGTGGGGCTCACTGTACCTCCAAGCCTGCACAATCCTCGACATTTCCCAACCAAGCAGACACGAGCCTGACGCAGAAGGCATCTGCGCAAGGGTAGAGGGATTGGTCCGGAAGGCCAACCTGGCGAAAGCTGCGGCAGCATTACGAACCACTCTATTAGCGGAGCCGTCGCAACAAGCACTGGAAACACTCCGGGCGAAGCATCCGCGAGCGGAGATGGCGATACAGGAAGGGCTAGGGGGTTACGGTGAAACAACACTCGCCATTGGCACAGAGTCGTTCCGCGACATCCTGGCGAAGTGCCCGAACGGAATAGGAGCAGGCCCGTCAGGCACTTGTTTCGAACACCTACGGGACCCTACTCTAACAAACGGGGAGGTATTCTTACTGCTGCACCAGATAGTTAATAACCTACTCAGCACGTACTAGGACGCGCCGCTGAGGGAGCTGCTGCTACCATCGATGCTAATCGCACTGGAAAAACCTGACGGGGGAGTAAGGCCGATAGCGATTGGGGAGGCACTCCTTAGACTCACGGCAAAGGCGGCGCTCCGGGAGCTGTCAGGGGAAATTCGCTCACACTTCCTACCAGTACAATACGGCGTGGCCGTACCGTGGGGATCGGAGTGCATAATACACACGGCTCGTACGCTGCTGGCGGAGGACCCGACGCGCACGATATTACAGCTCGATATTGAAAACGCTTTTAATTCGGTCGAACGTGGGAGT